ACTTCCCATAGAAGCTAAAGATAACTTTTTCCACTGGATGATGTTATTGCCCTATTACTAGGAAGGATATATTCTAAAAGGACGCGCATATTATATTTAAGCAAACAATATACTTCGAGGTGAGAAGATGAGGAAGTTTAAGACTGTTAGGTATAATAGTAGTGAGTGTTCTTTCATCATTCCACCCTTAAGATCATTATGAGGCCCTTTGATGGGTCCTTATCTGCAGTCTATGATCATGTTGTTTATCTACATGCCTAACCTCAGTTAGTCTTAGCACTATGGGAGAGTTATGTGATATTAACATTGCTGTAGCACTTATGAAAGTTATAATAATAGTCTTTTAGATTATACTATCTGTCTATATTATCTAACTGTTTCATGTTAATTGCAGGTGTTCCCTAGACATAAGCTCTTGCTGTATCTAAAAGTAGATATAGGATGCCATAGGTATGTAAGTACCTAAGGTTCAGCTTACTCTACTATTAACTATCTAAACTGCTTTTGTTTGTTCACTTGTAACTATCCCAGTTTAATTAGTAAACTAAAGAAAAGAGCTTTTAGATGCTTAGTTGATTATAGCTGATCAGGTTAATCATGCATGGACTCTGCTCATAGCACTACCAGACTAGTGGAAGGAACAAGGGTTTAGTGGCTTTTATAGCACCCTTAACCTAAGTAGACTGAATAAGTTAAATAGGGTAGAGCACAGTGGAGCATAGTTAAGTACTATATACAGTTAAATAGTTAAGCACATGTAAAAGAGCTCCATTAGGATGACCTAGTTTACTAACTACCCTACTTAGTGGTTACTTTAAGCACTTCTAGATTATTACTTATTAATCACTTTCTTAAGCCTATTATGCACTGAGCCTGGAACCCCTTAGCGCATTCTATTGCATAAGAAGCTATTTGCAAGTTAAATATAAGCACATTAAGTAAACCCTCTGTATAACCTATTATATGTTAGACATAACTAGAATCCATTGCCACTATGCATCATATTACTTTACCTATATAACAGATATAAAGTCCTTCCCCCTTCTTCTTCTTGATATATTCCTTTATTAAGATTCACTCTTATTAGGTTCCTAAGATCTTCTTCATACTATTATAACCACTTATTATGCATCCTGGCGTCCCAGCACCACAAAATAGGGGTATTCCTCCTTCATGGAACCTAACCATGCATCTATAATACCTAATGATATCGCCCAGCCCATTTGCCCCAGGGTTCGCAACAGTCCCGCAAGGATATAGCTATCAAGGTAACCCCATGTGATAAGCACTCTGGGTAATTACTTACTAACCAGGTTTACAGTTCCGAGTGAAGCACAGCCCCAAACCTAAGCTATTAGATAGGTGCTTGCCCAACAACAGGTTCAGCTATTATAGGGGGTGGTAAAGCTGCTATGTCACCTGCAGCTCCAGCTTTAAGGCATACTACTACAGCCCCTGCATCCATAGTAGTAGGTCTAGCAGCTCTAGCAGCTCTAGAGATTTTCCATGCCCATCCTTCCAGTGATATAAGAGTAAGTCACTTAGCTCATTTAATAAGAGGTTTAATGACAGGTTGGCCTGCTATTAAACACAGCTTAAGGGGCTCAGACCGCAAGCTTATAAAGAAGGATTTAGGAGTTAGAGCAAGAAAATGAGCAGCTCTACTAGTGAGGAAAGTAATCACTAGGAATTACTTATATTAAGGGGTAGCCCTGTATAAAAGCTTATATCTTAGATACCAGCACCTAAAAGAAATATAGCTACCATATCTAGTAGAGATTCCATAGCCTCTATAAATATTTGACGCAAACCAGAAAGCAGACATAATTGCAATGGTAATTAACCACTAATATATAACAAGTTATCTCTTGCACCTCTATTAGTGGGGTGATCTTGGGTTACTGTCAGAAAGCCTTATGGGCGCAAAATATAATCCTAGAAAGTGCAGAAGGTTTAGCCCATAATTAGAGAGGCAATAAGACAGGTGAATTCACCTACTATTAATGCACCACACTGAGGTTCATTTAATACATTAGTATATTAAATAGTACCCAGGAGGCTAGCTAGGGTCTCTACATATTAGATGACTCTAAATATTATAGAATTTTCACAAGCCTTCTTTAATAAACTATAGTGTTAGCACACTATTCATTGCAAAGTTGCACTCCATATAATTACTTAAAGCTCTGTAACTTATAATATATCCTCCTAAAGGGATTATCATACTTCTTAACATAAGCATTTTCTTCAAGTCTATTTAGAGATCACCTTAAAGATTTGCTAGCAATTATTAGATGATATTACTAAACTAGCTCTTAGACCAGCACCATTGTGCATAACCTAGGACTTACTAAAGATAGCTATAGGAGGGATATGGCCATTAACATTATTATAGAAGCTGAGGGTGCATCTAGATGAAGTCTAGAGGCCAGTCACCATCATAATTAAATATCTTCAAATTCTGACTTGGAGTGAGAAAAGCTTAAATTATCAGGTTATTTAACTAGAAGGTGAATAAAGCAAGGAGATAGAAAACTCCCATCATCTACACTGGATGCATAGAGCTGGCGCGAATCCTGCTGCGACAGGACAGGATGACTATAGTATAAACCAGATGTTCACAGGACATGTATAAGCAGCTAGTGTAGGCTATTTATTAGATGGAAGTTAGCACCATGGGAGATATTATTGCTTACCATTATCATCACACTAATGTTAGCCTACTGCTGGGGAGGCAGATGATATTAGCAATCACTTCCACTTAGCTAATGCATACATGTTTGAAGGGTGCCATAGACTTGGCTGCGCATTCTGCCTAGCTGTTAAAGATCAGATTACTCTACAGAGTGTTTCCTATAATTAAGGTATATTTCTCACCATTAAGGCATTGCAGAACGCGTCCCTGTAATCTATGTTGTATATAGATATCCAAGCAAAGTCAGGGCACTATACAGAATAAAGAAGAACCTAATAAAATATATTTATCTTTCATATTTCACTATCATACACAGCTGCATCTATGCAAATTTAGCAACTTTGCGAAAATGCATTCTGTTTCAGTCAGGCTACTAAGAATTATTAAAGCTATATCCCTCATTTTCCTAATTATCCCTAGCCGCCTATAATTGCCCTAGCCTTTAAATTGACCACTACACTCTCTGAGGCAGTTTCTTGTGACATTCTAGACATTGTGTTCTTGCATAGGGTTCAGCTCCGGGCAATTCCAATATAGGTGCAATGAAGAAGAGGGTCTGGGATATCACAGACAGCTAATAAATCCCATAAGTTATAGGGTAGTTCAGCATCATGGAGCATCATATTTAGAGATAGATTATTAAGTAGATTAGAAGTAAGCAATATACAGTAGTAGTAAAATAAACAGTAAATTATATTAAGTGTTAGCAAGGCTCTCATATGTAACTACTTATAATAGAAATGGTAGGCATGCCTTTCTTAAGAAAAGCTAGGTAGTGTCTGTGGAACCAACTCTTTTCAGGACAAGAGGGCCAGGTTCTTAGGAGAGTTTATTCCCTCCTGAGCATGAGCCAGTCGCTTCTAAGAGCTTCTACTCTCCTATAGATCAGGCATACACTCCCAGGAATCCAGCATCATCTCACAGGGTATAGTGGAGGACTGTCTTTTTTATACCTATTTCAGCAGCACAATGTTTCAAACAATGAAAATCCATCAGTTATAGATATAAAGAGCCATGGGTGCTGGGTCTGCAGACAATAAATTAGAAGCTGGACTATGCAAAGTCTCTACCTTATAGGAGATATTCTCTAACAGAATTAAAGGTATATATAACGCCTAGTATACACAACTTTTCCCTGATCTTCTTGTCCCAAGGACTAACTATTTTAGATGAATCTACTAGTTCTTCCCAGCAAGTTACTCTTGTGCATCACTACAAGCCTGCCTAGTGTGAAAGACATCTTATCTTTTATCCTGGTCAGCTAGACTACATCTAACCTATTGCTTTCATATTTTTATAAATTTAATATTATGCATTAGAACAGCTTGGCATTGCATTAGGCCGCACAGTATGGAAAACTATAAGTCAGAGATGATGCTCTGCCACCACTAGCCTGATGTTAACACTGTCTATCATACCTATACACCCCTTATATATACAGCAATCCACGGATCAGAGTTAATTATTAAGGCCCTTCTTGCCAGGTCTTAAATTTTAGTTAACTTCCAAAATAAACAAGGACAATGCGCCTTATGGTGGGCAGTATAGTAGGGATTTACTAAAATAGTTAAGGACCTATTATAATATCCTAATATCTAAGTAGACCTCCCTAAGACAGAATATAGCCTCACCCCGCTGGCCACGGCCGTGGAAAATGGGCATGTAATTATTATTAAGTGGCTGATCTAAACCAGCTAAGTAGATGTTAACGCGCCAGACTGATTGTAATAGCCACCAGTTTTTCATGCCATCTATCACCACGATTTGGCTATTCTCGACATCTTGCTTGTGGATAACAGACTTAACCTATCCTAGCAGGATGACTTAGGCCGCACGGCCCTCATCTACAGTATGTTGAAGGGTCAGCCAGTCCTAACTAAGATGCTCTTAGGCCACCCAAACCCCTATGTGGATAGTCAAGATTCAGATAACTAGACAGCACTATGGTATGCAGTGTAATAAGGTAATAAAGACCTTATCTAGCTGCTCCTCAGCAGCAGCTTAGATTATCTATGCCGGGGATATAGACAGTCTCACCCTACTCCTCTTATCAATTAGGCAGGTAAACGTGTCCATGGTGTAGAAGTTGATAAGGTATTCTCATTATGATCATTTGATAGCAACACCTAGTATTAACCATGGCATCAGCACTGAGCCACCGCCATTGTGCCTTGCCATAAAATAGAAGAGTGAGGATATTGTGCAGCTGTTGCTTGATCATAGCTGGAATATAAATGAAGTAGATGTGGATGGCTGAGCACCATTGCATTTAGCAGCTAAGAATGGGGATCATATAATTATCTAGGTCCTTTTGAATCATACACAGGTTGATTTGCACGCGCAGGACTGGTGGAAATTAATAGCATTGCACAAGGCTGCCAGGCAAGGGCACTTGCCTATAGTTAAGCTGCTTCTGGCCGAGCTGAGCATCAACATTAATACTAAGGACAGAAATGGAGTGACCCCACTCTAGTAGGCTACTTAAGGTAATTACAAACATGTGGCCGCATGGCTGCTGGCTGAACTAAATATAGATATTAATGCCATTAGCCAGCTTAAAGGAACTTAATTAATGTCCCTTCATCATGCAGTCTGACAATAATTAAACTTAGTCATCTGCCTGCTTTTAACAAAGAAGAGCCTTAATCCTAATGTTATTAACCATTAGGGCTAGACTCTGTTAGGCTGCGCAGCTAGCCAGGGCAATATTAAGATCATAGAATAGCTGCTCAGCCAATAAGATATCCAAGTGAATGCTACTAAGAAAAATGAATAATCACTACTATAGTTAGCTGCAAGGAATGGCTGTATCTAAGTAGTTTAACAGCTGCTAGAGTACCAAAATATTAATATTAACTAAAGATGGAATGGGCACCTGTCACCACTATTAGCTGCCATCCTTAAGCACTCGTCGAAAATAGTCCATGATCTATATACGGAGTACCCGTATGTAACAGTACATTCGGAATGCCTTGACATGATACGACGTCTGGTCGACTATCGCCAGGCTCTTCTGAAAGCTGGAGTGTCGGTTGGCCCAAAGCGGCCCACCACTCTCAGCCAGTTCTATGAAGTGTTTGAACAACGATTAACTAGGGTGCTTTCTGATGATCCCTTTGGACGCAACGGCTCGTTTGCCCCCCGACGTGTAGTTGAGCCACATTTCTATTACTTCCGGGACACCGACCTCACAATGTCGCGTGGGCTTTTGGAGACCAGAAGGTCTATGTGAGTTCTGCATAAGTATAACCTATGGTGCTTCCATCCCATCACTAACAACCTGCCATTAGGAATACGAAATGGCACCATACCCCATACCAGGACTCACGCAGGAGATCCTTTCATACCTGCGACCTCTTCCGCCGTCCTTGCAAGGACAATCTGGTATATATCTTGAACTGGAGGCACTACCCACTGAGCTCCAAGACATGATTTATAAATATTTACACCTTTTTATCAACCCTGAGCACGCATGCACTCGTTGCTTACCGCCAAGGCTGTGGCGTGACTTGCTTTTCAACCAGCAGATTTTACCATGGCTTTGGGATTTGTACATCTCCGCCCTACAGAGCTGCCCTGTGGCATCCGATGCGGTGGACGTTCCGACATTTGAAGCAGAAGAAGTTTGGGATTGGGAGCACCTTGTTCGCACCCTTGCACAAGTGGAGGTGTTTGAACCAGGGCAACCTTTAGAGCATGCTCCCCTCCGCCTGCGGAATCGTCGGCGGATCTGGAGACTACTAGAGGAGGCTGAGGATGAAGATATTGAGGAGTGGCTTGATGCTCATATATACAACAGAAAATGACGTGGAGATATGAAGATACTAGTAAAACCATGTTATTTAGCCGAGGTTCAGTAGCTACTGTGTTATACCCGAATACGACCTGCCCCATTAATAGAGTTGCATAACCGAACCGCAAAAATCGAACCCGAACCTCACCGAACTCGCAGCGGTTTGGGTTCGGTTCCTAGCCTAGGGAATCGCACCAGTTTCGGTTTCCATTCACTATAAATTGACCGTTAAACGCGACCATTTAGACTATCAGAACTGTGGACGACCCCGACCCCCCCCAAAGCTGTATCAGAGTTTCAGGAGTCTGCGCTGAGTTGAGGGGTTTCCATCCGCTGGATCATGGGTGTACATCGATAGTTGGCAGCAAGAGTCAAGATTTCATTCCGCCACTCTCCCTGGACCGACCCTTCCGGCATATAGTCAATAAGGCTGAATACAGGAGTCCAGTCTTGCTGACTTATAATACAGTCAGACCATCTGATGATGACAAGTCGGAAAAAGCCAACGTTCTGTAACTCATGTCCTAATGTCTCATCCAGAAACAGTATCCTGAGTCTCGTTATATCTCCCCATCGGAGTATCTGATCAGCGGCGCCCATCGCCGGGTTCCGAAGGAATCGTTCATTGTCAAAGTCCGATTTTTCAAGCATAACACGCAGCATGGCCTCTGAACCATATAAGCAAGTTATGCTAAGTGGATCATATAGACTGCTTTCGAACTCAAACCTGGGTGAGATCGCACAATCTGGTCGACAGTTTTGTTGTATCCAATTCTGAAGCCGAGTCGAGCCTGCTCGGCATAGATCCTCTATGCTCTCTAGTCTTGGAAGACAGTTGGCCGTAATAGAGCCAAAATACTCCAGCCAGTGGCATGATGCATACACGAAGAACTCACCAAAGCCACGCTCAGTTGGATCGTAATGGATCATGTTCTCCTCCCAAGATTCCCACGTGCAATATCGGTCGTATTGAACTGGTTCTTTGTTTTCGTCGAACAGATCGTCATCTTGAGGTAATTCTGCAATCGCCATCTGCTCTTCAGAAAAGAGGCTGCGCTGGCCAATTTCATCTAAGAGGAGGTATCTAATGCAAATATCGAAGATAAAAGCATTTAGATCTTCTAATCGCTGCTCAGTGACCATTTGACTGGGCTTTCTGACAGGGCCACCTTGCGTGAGAGGCAGATCAGAATTCTCCAATACGAACTCCTTGACTGATTGATGCACTAGACGAACTTGGCGTGCCCTCACATCCTTTAAATCGACGCGTGCAATGAATGGATGGATGAGAGACATGATTCTTTGGTGATCCACCAGACAAGCAAGATCATTCACAGTGGTAACAGGAGTAAAATCCAGCGTTACGGCCCAGGCTAACTCGAGTATGCTGAAAGGTCTATGTGTGACAGCAAGAAGTTTCAGTGCTGTACTGGCAAGTTGCTGATTTTCTGGATCGTCTGAGGTAGAGCGAGAAAATAGCGTCGCGTAGAGGCTTGTCAGCTGCTTTGGTAGTGGAATATCTTGCATGAAGCGTCGCATAGGATCAATTGCGCTGATTTTGCGGACTTCAATAAGCTCGACAATCATCTTCGTCCATATGGCGCTGCCTTGCGCTAAGCGAGACAACTGATCGCGGACGAGTACTTTGACATTCGGCGAAAGATACGATAGTTGATTCTCAATCATCTTATCTGCCACTATGGCATCGCGCTCAGCGTCGGGATCAAGCTCAATCCAAGCGGCCTCTCCCAGTTGCTGCAATATCGCTTGTTCGGGACGAGTAGAAAGCAAGATTTTAAGCCCCGGGCCTTCCACGATAATGTTCCCAATATACGCAGAAGTCTACCGCGAGACGCTCTATCGCACTCGTCCAGACCATCAATCACAAAATAAATGGGCCGGTCAATCATTTCAAGTAGCCTCTCAAGATACTCTCCCAGTTCTGTAATACTAGCTGCCAGATCGAAAGTTCCAGCTGCTTGAGCTTGTTTGTACCACTCGAAAAATGGCTTTTTCAGGCCTGGAAGTTGCTCAAGTAGCGATAAAATCAGTGCAGAAAGTATGGATGTTCCCTTCCCGGTTTTATCGTCTCGACAATAGTAATAGCATAGCTTTGGTTCGGGTAGTCGTCCTTGATTTCTGATCTTTAGTATATCTACCAGAAACGACATGGCGACAGTTTTGCCACAGCCCATATCGCCGACTAAAACCAACTGCTGAGAATTGTCGATAGCGTCGTACCAATTAACAAAACTGGATGTCTCCAGCAAATATTTGCAGGCCTGGTCAGCTCGGACAGTTCGGAGCTCATCATGGTACTGATACTGGTGGCTCATCTGATCGCTTCCCAGCCATCGAGCAACTAGGAGAGTATGAGAACTAGCCTCCCAGGAATAAGTAAGAGGATCCTTACTCTCATAATCATATAGCATTAATTTGATATCCTCCATAATTTCCCATGTCGCTTTCTGGATAAGATTGCGAAGTGTGTCAGAATACCGCAGAAACTCTGATACAATACTTGGAAGGCGGTCAGTCTCCAAGACCATTTTTTTTATGAGCTTTGCTCCTTTCCGGCTCAACATTTCATAAGCGACTTTGTAGAACTCCAGCATCTTTTGATACACCATAACAAGTACCTATCAAAGTCAGAGACGTACATAGAAGAGTCACAGTTGTAGACCATGCCTTGTGGATGTCCTTTCTCTCTGATTTTCGGCCAAGTGTGTCACAGTCGTCGATGTAAGAGATTTTCTCTAACATCTCTGCAATCTGCTTTGCAAAGTCCAAATCAGCAGTGGCGAAACTGATGGCAATCTTATAAGAATTGTTAGTCATCTGCTGCATAGATATATACTGTATTCGTTAATCGAAGGGCTTACCGCAGTCACGCCCTTGAGTAGACCAACAACTGAGGTTGCCGTTGGCTCAATGCTTGCCAAAGGACTCGTCAGATCCAGCAAGAGTTTAAACCTCTCAAGGGGTACTTTTAAAGAGCGCAAGCATCGTAATCCTCTGTCAAAGGCAGATTCTTGCATCACCTCTCTCTCGAGTTGGTCCAGCTCTGCAAACAACTGCGCCACGTTCTTCCCCTCCAGAATTGCAATGTCTATCTCATCCCGAAAACTTTCAACTGCCTCACGGTATGCTGCACTCCAAAGGTCCGAAGAGTTAATGACTATGCTAGTCTTGTCGATCGTTGATCCATCGGACGTCAGACTTCGTTCAGTACATTCCCTAACCAGAGACCCCGTCTGTGTTCAATTCGGATGCCATCTATTCTTGCATTCGGACGACTACAGGCATTGCTACTCAGGCTATAAGACAGTGAGCCACTAGGGCATATATCAGATCGAGAAATATGCGGGCAAGTTACTGAGCACAAGTTTATCTAATTGAAACGGTACTTACCTGACTGGAAGTTCCGAGTGCGCTTTGGAGATCTGTGATGGGCGAGGGCTGTCCTTTATTGCTGAATCTTGGGACGACTCTCGAGATTTATTTCGGAGTCGATCAAATCGTCGGCGAAATATACTCCTGATCCGACCGGGGTCATCTAATGACTGCGTCATGATACTGAGTAGATTCAGAAAAAAAAAGGTTCTGTTCGGCCTAGACAATGAGATTTTGATGTTGCGGAAAGAATCTTAGTTCTAAGGAATCTGAGGTGGCCGGCTGGCTATCGTCTCAAATACCTGTGAATGAGTGATTTTTGGCTACGCCTAGAAGTCGTCGGGAGGGGACGGGCCGCACATAGCGATTGCCCCACTTCGGGTGCCTTACCCCTCATCAGCAAACTATCTGATTGGGCGGAAGTGGCCATAGGCGTGCCCCTGTCACTTGTCACTGTGAATAGTCTGGTGGCGCCTTTGCAAACAATTTTCTCAAGACAAGGAATGCGAGAAGAACTGAGCATGCTCAACCACCTACTTTACCTGAATGCTTTAAATCATCATCACTAGTATGTGCAAGAATGGTACATCACTGACATACATACTGACACGCATACTGACATGAATTCTATGGCTAGATCATCCTTCTGCCTCCGTCGGACTCTCGCTCCCCGATTTCCGGAAAATATATATAGCAGAATGGCCTTCCTCGAATGCCAGCTTGTTTGCCATCGACAAACTATCTTTATATCGAAGATACGATTGGTCTGCGGTCTCTGAAGCAAGGACCTGCTAGACGTTGGATTTTTTCGCCTACCGATCGAACTTCGCAATCGTATTTACAAAGAAGTGCTGGCTTTGCCACAACAACTCTAACACTATAATGGCCCTGTACCCGGGGGTAATCCTAGGGTTGACAAGGGGGTAGAAACGACGGCGGCAGAATGAATTCCACGTGGAGTGGAGGCATTGCAGTCCCTGGGAACAACCTGAGCGTGGCCAGGTAAATATGCGTGCAAACCCGAACTTCGTTACCAGCTCTCAGAATGTATTGGTCGTCCTTTCCGCATGGGTGACGTGTTAAGTTCCACATTCAGGATCCTGAGGGCAACATAGGCTTCGTCGTGATCGTTACATCACCAGGAAATTCCGGTGTGACACCCCACAATCCATCTGGGTTTTGCTCGGGCAGCATATATTTTGCAATAGGCAGTTCTATCTGCTTTCCAGTTCAGGCCCAAGGCTTGTCGGAGGAAGATATACTTCGCAATGAGGTGGCATTGGATCTCAGTTCACCGCACCCGTGAACACCCTCGTGAACGGCCACATTCACATAGTCGCTTGAGAGCTGCAAGACATGCTCTACCTGTCCAGCCAGGGAGGATTGGCCCGACGGCCTGATCTCCTGGGCGACTGCTTGGAGAGCCATTTAAGAACCAGGAGAAGAGTTTGCCGACCATAGGCATTGCTCATGCTTCTTATACGGTGCCTCGCACATGGTGGACTGCATTTGAATTTTGGGATTGTCCTGACGATGCAGCGCCATACATGAGACTTGTATCTGGCCACTCATAATGACGATTCTATTGCCAGCGATGGATCATATATGATTGGTTCAGACCAGGTTTGCAAGGAGACGGGAATTATCTCTCGTACCTACAATTATCCTCTGATGATGAGCCTGATGAGCAAGAAAGCTTATAAAGAGAAAGAGCACTACTTCACAGTCTGAAAGGGGTGCCTAGCATTCTTCTGTCATAGGTACTACCAGAATATCAGCGGATTGCCGCTGACTACTCGTCATCCCCCGCGTCCTCCCCCAAATCCTCCCCAAAATCTCTCCATCCCAGCTGTGTCAATTTCGCCGTTCTCCTTGGACTTTTTGCTGCCAGTACGATACTGATCAAGCTTTTACTCGAACATAAATTTCTGGGCCCGAGGAGTCAAGGGCTCCTTGTTCAGTTTCTCCCGGTATTGATCTTCTTCATGGAGTTCCAAATCTCCCAAAATGGCATATTTTCGCCTCTCGGCAAGACTGCTGAGACCGAGGTCATCTGCCCACCGCCCGTTGCCGACGATATTGTATAGGAATTGGCCCTTTTTGTCTGTGTTGTGGCCGTGCCAGAATCCCTCGACGACAATTGCTTCACGGCCACCCTCCTGAGATTTCAGGTCAAACCAGTTCTCTCCCACCGCGCCGAAGAAGTCTTTCAGATGAGGGTTAGGATGATTGCCTGCCCAGGTTATCTTAGCGTTCCAACACTTGAACGATGGCAAATCCTTATAGAGTTCATAATGACCAGGGGTGTCTCTGTAGATGGATGAGGAAAAGATCCACTTATTGCTGTTGATGAACGGGATCACAATGGGCGTGATCTTGTGACCCTTTAATTTGAACAAAACCGTTGTGGAATTGAACTATTCAACAATGATCTGAGAAATGCTGATCGGGTGGGACTAGTGGTCAGGGTGTTCACTTACTGTTTGAGTGTCAATGCAGAAGGTTCTGTTGTTCATTAAAGACATTGTGATCAGTGAGCTCAAACCAGGTCGGCACCCAGCCACTGTGCATACCCTTGACCATGCAAGAGAAGTAGGGTTGGCCTTTTGCATGAAACTCAAGATCCTTGATATCTTCCAAGAATCTGATCCCGCGGCCACCCCACTGAAGAAGGCCTAGTCACCGCTTAGCAATTAAGGCTTCCACTCGTGGGTTGCAATGTACACACCGTAGTCCACCCCTACATAATCATTGAGAGAAATACTCGCATTCTAATAGATGTCGTCATAATCAGGTAGCTTTGCGCTGAGCATCGCGTTTCCTCTGTCATTGTTGAATGAGAGACCGGTCGTGAGTTCCCACCATTTAACCATATTGAGAGAGTTGAAGGGTATTCAGACGCTGCGAGTCCGTCAACGTACTTTCTGAATGAGGGTAAAATGCCACCGAGGCACGTCATCCAGAGCGCTTAAATATCTTTTCTGGATGCGGGGTTTCTTCCTGCGTTGATTCTGAGACTCTGGCCGGCCAGATCTGGTTTGCCAATCGCCACGTTCACAGCCTTCATTGGGTGACAAGGATGCGTCCATGCTCCGTGCTGTCCACTGTTCAGCCCAGCACAGGATTTTTGCTCTAATAGGTGAAGTCTCCGTTTGTGCTCAGCCAGCCACTCACTCTGTAATGATGTCAGTGCGTTACTCAGATAGTTGTTTCCTTCATGGAACAGGCCGGGTGCCGCAAGATAATAGATTTGCAGCGTTTGTTGACTGTGAAAGCTACAGCGCTAATCCCTGACTCATGCTAACTATGTAATACTTAAAGTACAGGCGAATGTGCTTTTGAATAGTAAGCCTTCCCTCTGTCTGGAGTATATCTCTCCTTATTGGCCAAGTTCTAATTGAGGAATGAAGATATGGAAGGCTTAAATGTGTATCCCCTGCCTAAAGATGTAGCAGTGACTTTAATAGCTGACCCAGAACTTTTTGTATCTTTGTTTGCATACCCTATAGTCTACTTGGCTAATATTTGTCTAGCGCTGTGTTCAGTCGGCCAGGTTTGTTGTCAATCTAGGGCATTTTGTAATCCCTGCCAGAGAGGTCTGCAGAGGGGTTCTCTACTAAGGAGGCCAGGAGCTCTTTCAACGCAGGGACCAGGCTGATGAAGCTATTTCAACTATCCCTACAGAGCAGACAATAGATGCAGAATAATGCCTCCAACGGGCGCCCCCAAGCTGCAGTGACTGTCATATTCCAGGACATAGGTGAACTCAATGCTCGCAGCGTAAGAAGAACTAGCTTTAGCAATAAAATTATGGATTTAGTGGTTGTAAATACTGTGTGATTTCGACTTCGGCCATAGAAGCATGTAGGGTGGCCCGCTCGACTGTGGATTACGTTATTGTATAGATTGAATGAGTTATACGCACCTAACCCACAACGGGAATCTCAAACTCACCTTACGCATCTCCCCTAGCCGCCTTAAATCCAATTGGGAGTGGCCAGAGGAGCCTGAAAGGCAGAAGCTCTTGGACATGAGCCCTACGAAGTTGTCATATAACAAGACAAACTGGTATTGCCTTTACTGTGACATTGCTGCTAATCAGATGCAGCTGAAGGGTCACAAAACTGTGCTAGATTATGTGATGTTGTGACGCAGATTGCAGTATCACCATAGCAAAGGAATGCCGTTCTCTTGAACCATGCCAATGTGTGATATTTGGAGATTGTTGGTATATAGTCGCAGTAAAATATTGTTTAGCTATATGTCAGTACCTCCCTCTCTAGTCGCCATTAGCCATTCTCCCATCTCGGTTAGATACGACGAGTGTTAGAACGAGTGTTAGCAATAGCCATTCACTTTACGAGGTATAGGGGTCCACACTGTCCATGGGCGATTTGATTCAATCGATAACAGCTGTTCTTTGAGCTTCAAGTTTTGAATATTCTATCCAGTTTTCCTTGGACTTGCGCCGTTGTCTTTTCTTTTTCAGGGTAGTCGCGATGAAATCCGTCAGCTGGTCCAAAGTGTGGTCTGGCCGCCATCATAAGGAGAAGGCTGGCACCTAAACAAGCGGAGCTATTGTGTCATCCATACTAACCGCTACGGCCCAATATTGGTAAGATATCGGTCACGGGAAGATACTACCTTTCGAATTTGGTTTGGCCAATAGATCGCTCAATATTACCATTCGTTTAACAGGCCGATTGCAGATATTTCATGCTGTCTTTACCGAATCCGCGATTTTATCTAGTAAAAGTATGAGGTTAGATAGATAATTGGAAGAATAAGACCTTCATCCTTGTCATTTCGCGCATATACTCATAGTACGTTTACCATGTAAATGGGCTTAGCGCGATACCGCCAACATATCGGCTTTGATGTCCAGCAACGTATGGATAGGAAAATGTGCTAAAATTTACCTTAAATTTCATAGAATGGGCTGAGAGAGCCTGAATTGGTCCGTGGTTCTGCAGTCCTTTGCAACCTCAACCGGCTCAAATTCCAAAAAGAGCTTGACTTCCGCGAAACTTCCGCGGAATTGATCACGATGTACCTCGTATTAACGCGCCAAGCCCTTTGTGTTCTGAAATAACTCGTATTCGGGAAATAAACGTCGTCTATATATACAGGAACCAGACACTGAATTGAAACAAAGTATCCTCAACGCCCCACCCTGTTCGTGGATAAATACCACAATTGCTCTGCTTATTGAACAATACTCATTTTTAAAAGTCGCAGTTATGGATATCTCAACCACTATAGATCCCAATGATCTCTTCTCTGCTAAGGGTCTGGTCGTTGTTATCACAGGCGGAGGCAGTGGTATGCCTGTACTTCTTACGTGGATGTGTCCATTAAGCCTGATATTTCTTAGGAATTGGCCTCGCCATAACCTCGTGTCTCAGCCAAGCTGGTGCAGCCCACATTTATATCCTCGGCCGCCATCTATCTACTCTCCAAGAAGCTGCTACTAGCGTTGGTGCCGCTGTTGTACCCATACAATGCGATATCACTAGCCACGCCTCTGTTTCCGCCGCTGTTGCAAAGATAGAAGCTGAAATCGGCTATATTGATGTTTTGATAAATAATGCCGGCGTGCAGGGTCCCGACCATAGGCCTGCTAGAGATGCAGAAACGATAGAGGAACTGCAGAGAATATTGCTCACTGATCCGGAGGGCTGGCAACCCACTTTTGCAGCCAACTCAAGCGCTGTTGTTGGAGTCTCCGCTGCCTTCTTGAAACTCCTCGATGCGGGGAACAGACGGCGGGGTTGGGAAGGGGGGAAGATTCCTTTGGGGCGACCTCGGCGGCGGGATATCACGGTCTTCACTGAGGAGGGGACCGCATTACACGACGAGAGGAGCAGTCAGATAATAACAGTTGGGAGCATCTCTGGCCTTAATCGCTTTATAACGGCCGGGTTGGCTTATGGCGCGAGCAAGGCTGCGGCAATTCATTTGAGCAAGATGTTGACGTATTTGTTGGCGCCATGGGGAATCAGATGTAACGTGATAAATCCTGGAGGTGAGTTATCTGTTGCTAGGGCCCTAGTCTCAGTTGTTGCTGGATTTTACCTTACCGCTTATAGTGTATCCTTCAAGGATGACAGCCGGGACAAATGACAATTACAGCTACATGGAAGTCCCTGCTGGTCGAAAAGGTATGTATCAGGATATTTGTGGGGTTGTTCTGTATCTTGTAGGCAAGGCCGGAGCCTATGTCAATGGCAGCATGGAGAATACAGATGGGGGGCGCCTAAGTGTGATGCCCGCAACATATTAGTTGGGGGTTAATACATGATAAATTCATATTAAGGCCATAGGGAGGCGGTAGCCCGAGATTCTAACACGTCGCTGTATCCTCAAAAGAACGCATTAAAGCACTCCTAAGCATCTTTATGGTCCCTACCATAGCTTTCACCCGGCAGGAGTGGATTGGAACCGGGATCCGCACTGGGGAAGGTGGGACTTGTCCGATAGGGATACGTTCCAAGGAAATGCAAGTTCATTCGGATCTAGAGCGAATCGAATTATCGTGGTTAGGCGCAACTGATAGCGGGCATCGACTGGCATCAATGACGGTTGTCTGGGTAATGTTTCCGGGGATAATGGTCAAGCAGGTTCAGCGGTAAATCATGATTTTCTTCATTTACTGCATGCGGGCAAGGCGTGCGTCATGCTGCTCAAGGAGGTGTGCAGCACCCGAAGCACCTGAGTCAGCGTGATGGCGATCGATAAATAGGAAACCATGGATATATATAAGCTTCCCTAACACCACAGTAGTAATTTGGATTGCGAAACTAGATCTAAGCTGAAAACGTGCAATGGCGTCTCATCCTCTTCAGGTGAGGCGAGGCCGTGGGGGCAGCTGAAGCTGACTCCCGAGTCATGCAGCTTTCTTCATTGTTCCAGGGCGCCAACGATGGCCCAGCAAAGACCACAGCTCAATTGACTGGCGTTTCAAGCGTCAGGAAAGAGAGTGGATGATGGACTGTACTTCATAAGCAATAAAGGCATCCTGTGTCCTTACAGTAAGACTGCGGGCGGATTATCCCTATTGTCTGATAACTTTCTGCTCGAAAAAAAGAGCAGAACTTCAATCTTTCGAAAAATCTCGAGCGGATGGTTCACCTTTGTAAGTTATCACCCTGAATGGTAGCCACAATCACTATCACTCATGCTAACAATGGCAAGGTGGCAGTGGAGCGTTTAGCTACTTTAAGACCATAAAAAGATGTATTATAACTCTGTAAAGTGAGATACTCGCTTGCGTCTACAGGGACAAAGTCTGAATTACTAATATTATAGGCACATTTCCTAAGGTCTGCTCGTGTAAGAACCCCGGTCTTTGTGCGTTTCTCAACTGTTACTTTGGGTTATGAATATCTGATTCAGTGAGAAACCCACAGAGCTTTGCAATCAAGTTCTACACCAGTGAGGGGAACTATGACATTATAGGACTGAATTTTTTCTGTCTCAGAACTCAGCCTAAGTCAGAGACTAGTACTAGTGACACAGCCTATATTCTTCTATTATGATCCCATCTAGGGCCCTAATATAATTCAGTCCTAGTATCAGAATCCACAGAACTTCCTGCTACATTATAACTCTCTATTTGATCTTCTTGCAAATACTCTAGAAGGGTGAGCGAGGATTGTAGTCTATATAGATTATCCACTAACAGGCAACAGAAACCATACAGGCATGATGTTATTTAGCAACCATGGCACACCAGTCAGGTGGCGTAACCTACATGGGTACAGGTGTCACACATTCAAATGGTACGCGGAGAAATCTTAGTCTGATCATCATACATACTGACAACATTGACAGGGTTGAAAAGGATGGGGGATTGTGTATGTCAAGTATCACTTCGTCGCAAACCACGGACAAAAGCAGTTCACTGCTGATGAAGCCCTCTGGTTTGGTGGTAAGGATCCTGACTTCTCCAAGCGTGACCTCTGGCAGGCTATTGAAAAGGGCGAACAGATCGGCTGGACGGCGCACGTCCAGATCATGAGGCAAGAAGAAACGGACCCGTCCAGGACAAGACCCTGACGACGACGAGGATGGGAACGGCGGCTTCGGAAGATACCGCCCAACAGACTCGGCCAAACGCAAACATTAGATTGGCCCTGCTGAGCGCGGACCCATCAAAGACGTACCAGTAGCATATCGGCAGCACAAAGACAGAATATGTGATTAGGTTCAGGGACATTCAGACATTCAATCTGCTGAAAAAGCTCAGGAAAACACTGAATGACTGCAAGAACTAGGTAACGATTCGAAGTTTGTAAAACCTCGGTTTGGCGTGGTCGTCCACCGCATACCGACCGAAGACTTCGACCCCGAAGGGAACAAAAATGGGTGACAAGATCATGGAGGAAAACGACCTCGGGAGCAAAAGGATTTCAGACTGAAGACATTGCATGGCTGAAGAAGAACTATCAGCCCTTTTACCCTGTGTCAGGCAGTTAGGACGATGGGCTTTTACCTGGCTTTTACCTTCTCGCGGTATCCAGTGTCATTGAATTAAGATACTAGGAATTTCTCCCCCCCTTTCCCCCCCCATATCTTTGTCCGTTCATAGACAGATTGGCTGCATCAATCTGACAAGAGGAGATAGCTATGCACTCATATATGCCCAAGAACAGACTATAAAGTACCCTCACGATAAGCCTCAATCAAGTTTTTCAACCACTCGGCTCTCGTCAGGTCACGCTCCCCCCCTCAGCCATTTGCTTCGGCAGCCCCTGCTCCAAAACAACAACTCTCCAAAACTGATGTGCCTGGCATATCCGGATCCGCATATTCTGCTCCTCGTACTTTGTCATACAGGCCGAGCAGAGGTCTATAAGCGGACACTGCTGGCAGATGAAGCGTATGTCGCACTTTGGGATCACCTTGTCACATACGTCGCAGTATGTATCGACTTCGGCGTATATTGCGCCGGCAGCCTGCTTGTCGTCGAGGTACTGGAGGCATTTGGCGAGCTTGTAGATGTTTGATCGGTCGCCTTCCATGACGCGCGTGGCAAGGCCGACGACACTGGATTTCAGGATGGAGATCTGCTCCTCTGCCGACGTGAGTGATGTCGTCGGACTATGTTGGCTGAGTTCACGAAGTAGGTCGCCGGAGTGATCAATCGATGCCCAGTCAATCGCGCTGCGGCCGTGTACATCTAAGCAATGATATTCTGCGCCGCTCCGCGCGAGACAAGTCACAGCTTTGGGTTCGTTGCTGAGGATTGCATAATGAAGGGCTGGAATTCCGCGATGCTTCCCGTGGTCTGTGTGGAGGCCGATGTTGACATCCACTTTCCGCTGGACAAGATTCTCGATGATACGGGCTTCTCCAATGGTAGCCGCGACTTCCAGCACCGTACGGCCGGCTGCGTCCCGTACCATGTAATCTAGGCCCTTGGCGGTATATGCTGCGAGGAGTCGATCGCAGACGACGTAGTTCGCCGCAGCGGCAGCTGAGTGTAACGGCGTCTGGCCCAATTCATCCCTTGCGGCGATATCCGCACCAGCGTTTATCAACATGGTGTATATCTCCGAATCCGTGTGGGAAGAACAGTGGTGTAGCGGCGTCCTCCCGTCTCTGGCAGGTGCATTCACATCGGCACCTCTTTTTAACAGCTCACGGGTACCCTCACAACTTCTGCGAGCTGCAATAAGAAGTGCGGTGTCGCCATTATTGTCTCTCGCCTCGATCGGTGTTCCCGCCTCCAAAAGTGGTGGAATTGATTTATACCTGTTGTTAGCCACGGCATAGTGCAGCGCAGTCTTACCGTCAGACGTAATAGCCAGGGGTTCTGCGCCGTAGTCCAGGAGGCACATAATCAGTCTGGGCATGGCGCCGTGTGTGGCGGCGTCATGCAGAAGCGAGGTGCCATCTTGCTTCAGGCGGGCCACATCGGCTCCTGATTCAAGGAGAAACTTGAGGGCTTCGGTGTGATTGTGGGTGATTGCACCATAGGCTGCTGACTTTCCTTGATGGTCGACGCGGTTTAGATCGGCTCCTAAGCGAATGAGCTCTCTCATGGAATATAGGCAGTTATTAATCGTTGCTAAATACAAGGGTGTCCTTCCTAAGGAGTCGAGAGTCTCAATATCCAGTCCAGCGTCGATTAGAGGCTGGATCACTCTGAAGTTGTCTTCAGTAGCAGCTACATGCAACGGCCCTGACGAACCTGCTCGTTTGTCAATTGCGACGTGGGCTCCTGCATCAACCAGGGCTTTCACCAGGTGGGCATTTCCGGACTTAGCGGCCAGGAATAACGGTGTTCGGGAGTGCGGGTCGAGTGCGTTTAAATCGGCGCCCGCTTGGATGAGTCGCTCAAGCATCTCCAGCGGCCTCCTGAGGCTGATGCCTATGTGCAACGGTGAGACCCCGTTTTCATCGAGAACACTGGTATTGGCTCCAGCATCGAGCAGAAGCTCGAGAAGGGGAAGAGAGCCATAACGCATACACTGATGCAAAGGTGTTTCACGAAGTAAGGTGGCAGCGTTGACATCAGCGCCGCTATTCAGAAGAAGCTCCACGGCGCCCAACTGGCCGTTTACACAGGCTAAATGGAGCGGTGTACCACGCTGTCCATCTCTCGCATTCACATCGGCGCCGTACGAAAGTAGCAGTCGAACAAGGCCAGGTTTGCCCATTTGCGCAGCAATATGCAAGGGCACGTCTCCCATCCTCATCGGGGCGAGGGGATCCCAACCAAACTCGACCAGCAGCCGGATAATCTCAGAATTGCCTCGGTAGAGGACGCTATATAGCGTATCCGCAGATAAGCTCTGCAGAGGTGAGGAGGTCGTCTTCGCAGCAGCTTCCAACAGGAGGCGGGCAGCACGCACGCGGTCCTTCACTAGCGCAAGGTTCAACGCGCCCATCCATGCACCATCTTCATCGGGATAATGCCCAGGAGTAGCATTTAATATGATACGTAATGGCGCTAGTCGCCAACGAGTCACAGCTATTGACAGGGCTGACTTGAGCTTGGTTATCGGTGTGGAGGCGTTAACGTTAGGCTCAACGAGGATTTTAAGGACCTTAGGCCTATAGCGCGTTATTGCTGCCAGGAAGGCGTTGTTCTTGCCGACAAATAATGAAGGGTCTGCTCCATTGTCGAGCAACTTTCTAACAGCTGAGATCGGGCCATACTGGATCGCGCGGATTAGTGGGGATGTTGTTTCGCCCACGTGTTTGGCTCCGAGCGCATAAAGTCGGGCGGAAAGCAGGGTGTTGAACAGCTTTGCCGTCTGGACAAATGAATTGAGGTCTTTCAGCCAGAGATGGTCTCCTATGTCCAGAATAATCTCGGGAGGAAAGCCGACAAGCTGGGTCGCGGTGTCTTCCATTGCGTGGATGGAGGTGAGAGGAGAGTTGGGATTTGGGAAAGTTCAATCCGATGGGGCGATTCAGCTCACTCTCAGGCCTCAGGCAGCAAGGGCTTCTGCCTATTCTGGAGCCCGCGAACGCTAAAGTAGTTACCAGCCAAACTCAGTGACTCACGACCATTGACTCACCATCCATCTCCCTTGGTTTTCAGCTGCTATCTTCAGGTTCTTGTGACACTTGTCAAATTATCCATCCACCAAAGAGGATTACGATCTGCTCATAGTCGCGGATGGGACGGCGTCCACTGGGGCCGCACTTGAAGTCTTTGAACGCATCGCTTCCTCGGATTATCTCCATCTCCGCTATCACTGAATGTTTCTCTAGCATCGGTGTTATTATCTACCGAGAGTACAGCGACTATGGCTGACTACAGTGGTCAGAATGGCTTCATCTGGCGCCTGACAACGAAACGACAGCGCAGCCTAACCTCATATCCTTCGCCATGAATCTCGCTAGCAAGACTTTGTGACAACTAAAGGAATAGAGTACAAGATAGTTGCCCTCGTAACCCAGACCAGCTGTACTGTACTGTGGTTAAAGATAGTATGGTGGCAATTTAAATAGGCTTGTAGTGCCCAGAGTTCGTCTCCACCAACGATGTCTTGACTCTTGACCGCAATGCTCGCGACCAGCATATGTCAAGCTCGTAGCCGCGTAACTGGAAGTCCACAGGTCAGCCACAGGAGCGCGGAAGACAAGCAGGTCTGCATATACTGTAGTGAAACATATCAATAGCATCTAGCCAATTGGTGCATTTCTGCCCTACCACTAGATATTACATTATAATAATGAAACATTGCTCTATTGCGTGCGGGAGTAGGGATCACGTGGTCTCGTATAAAGTGCTGCCTGCCAGAACTCAGGAGCTAGAGTTGGAGCCGATGCGAAAGGAAAGAAGAGTTCTCTGATCACCACAGCCATGGAGATCGAATACACCCAACATCTCTCCTACGGCTGCTCCCCACTCCATCTCCCCGGCGAAGACTTGCTCTCTGCTGCTACGACACCGACCCTCCCGGCAGATGCCATATCGAAGGCTTCATGCCCACAACCTCCAGCGAATCGTCTGAAACGACCCCATAGAAAATCTCGTCAGGGATGTTTAAACTGCAAGAGTCGGAGAATCAAGGTACGTAACTTACGCGATAGACTCTCTGCATCACTGAAACTAAGCATGGTATACCAGTGTCAAGAAACAAAACCAGCATGCATGAACTGTATACGAAGAGATCTAGCCTGCGTCTACCCAACTAAAGGAGACACAAGATGGCGACTATTGATAGCGGATCGAGCTCAGACACAGATACCCAGAGAATCGCCCATCGCCTCACCATCTCCTCGAATTTCCACCTCCGCTGTCACCGTTGACGACCTGCGCTTTTGGCATCATTACCTTGTTGATGCGCGGCCGGGCCTCCCCATTGGAGATGAGGGCACCTGGTCCTCGCAGATACCCATCTTTGCCCACGATGTGCGTCAGTTTGACCACCACCACATCCTGCCCCCAAATCCATAAAAGATTGCAACTAATGGTGATGATGTATGCGTAGTGCCCCCATCTCCTCCATGCATTGCTTTCACTCGGCGCATCATACTGCTCCCTGGCGAGTCCACAAGGATACCAATACGCTCCCCTTGTTATTGCGCATCGTGGCAAGGCCCTCAAAGCCCTCGGCGCCATCCTTGCTAAGGGAGACAATTGCACCATTACTGAAGTGGACAGTGCTCTAGCGACATGCTATGCACTAACTTTTCAAGCCCGCCATATGAGTGATGGTGTTATTGACTTCGCGGTCATGGTGCGCGGCTGCAGTATTATGACAAACTGGTATTTCCGCCACGGTCGAAAGAGCAATATCTTCAGTTGTCTACAGACTCAGGAACAGACGATGCAAACGACGACCCTACCGTGGGACCCACAGGCCCTGAAGGACCAGCATACCATAACCAGGTGTATAGCAGCCCTGGATAAGCTACAACCGTTTCTGCGGACAAGTGGGCATCATATCTTCTATAATGCACTACGGCTGTGTTACGAGTCGTTGCTTATCTCATACCGACGTGCATTTATTCGGCTCACAATGATCTACGTCTCATGGTCATGCATGGATAACTCAGAGTTTCAGACATTGATCGCACCTCAAAATTATATATCACGGGCACTATTTATGCATTATGTCACTATCGATTCATTCATGCGCCCGCTATATGCCAGGCTTAGCCTCACAAGGAATCTCCAGTCTAAAGGTGGGCACTTCCTACTCTATCGGTGGGCCGAGAATATTTATGAGGGGCTCCCAGAGTCAATACGGGGTTTGGTCTATGATCTGTACCAATGCTTTCTTCTAGACTTGATATCGGATATTGCTCTTAGTAGAGCTTATTTTCCGCAGTGGAATCATGAGCTTGGCAGGTTTGTTGCGTTGCTGCGCAATCGAATACCAAGTGATGTTTTGGATTGGCATGATATTCGTTAGGAATGAAGAAGAGTGAATTATCAGAATGGCCAACAATCCTATCCTAAACACGCCCTCTTGCAGTTGAAATCCACCCGACCCAGAATCACACACTTGCAAGATTTTGGTGAGACTATCGCAGAGCTCTAAACATGGATGTGGGCACGGCTTTTGCTCGTAGACTGTCATCTATCCATCACCATATTGCACCTGCGTGGCTGCTACCAATAGCTTCCAGTGGATACGCGTGGAGCAAACTAATGGACACTGGACTTTGAACCTGTGACTCAATCTATGCGAGATGATGCGAGCACAGCCTAGGTGTATATTGCGCAATTGCTAACGTCCATAAGCCCGCCCTTTCAAACACACGAGAAATATCAAATCGGATGGACAACGACTGAAACCCCACCCGGAGTGGCTCCTCGCCGGGCTGATCAATGACAGGCTAGGGGGGCAGCCTCGTTTAGTTGACGAATCAGGTCGACGATGAATGCGAACCGAACATAAAGAGTACTAGGTAGTATGGGTCCCGGATCCGTCCCGTATTGTCTGGCAAATTTGTGAACACTAGGTAGTAGCTTTCTTGTCATACCGGGCTCTTGCCCTATATAAAGCTCGAAAACATGTGCTTCTCGGTGACTCTCAAATCGACTATCCTCACCAAAGCTGTTGAAAATGTGGATCTCCTGCTCATTTCTTACTATCATTGTACTGGCCATTGTGTCAGAGCTTGCTTCTTCTGCGAACATTGGCAGCACCCTCGAACGGAGCCATAAACTCCCCCTGCTGAAGCTTCCATACGGGACATGGCGGGCCCATCAATACAATGCCGAAGCAGATGTAAGCCTTTCGACAAGCTTGCTGTCCTCGGACGCTAATAGTTCAGGTTTATGTGTTCCGCAACATCCGCTACGCTGCTCCTCCACTTGGTGAACTACGCTGGTCCAAACCAGCAACCCCCGAATTCATTCCTGGCATCCAAGACGGTTCGTACGGTCATAACTGCATTCCTGCTCCAATTCCAGACCAGTTTTTTATGCCAGGCGTCAAAAATCTCACCAAGAATTCAGCCGAGGGTAGGATTTTGGTCCCCGATTGGGTACAAGTCAACTCACACTCTCAGACTGTCTCTTTCTCGACGTTTACGTGCCCGGGAAAGTGGTAAGAAAACGCCAGAGACTGATTCCAGTGGTTGTTTGGATTCATGGTGGAGCGTAAGTCGCTCGATCTACCTCCATATTCGACTTGTTTAAACTCGGGTTTTTCTGTAGGTACGTTAGCGGCTCCAAAGACCAGGCAATAGGGACAGGATACTACGATGGCACAAGCCTTATCCAGCAAGCAGATAACAATCTGATTGTTGTAACTATTAATTATCGCCTGGGAGCTTTTGGCTTCCTTGCCGGAGAGCCTCTGCGCACCCAAGGAGTCTTCAACGCTGGTCTGCATGATCAGCGAGCTGCCCTTGCTTGGGTACAAGCATACATTCATCTACTTGGAGGCGATCCTGACAGTGTCTCTGCCTGGGGTGAGTCTGCTGGTGGTGGGTCTCTGATGTATCATTTGATTGCAGAAGGTGGGAAGCTTGATCCCTTATTCCGGAGGGCGCTACTCCAGAGTCCTTCCTTTGCAGTCAACGCAAACCCCCAAGTGAATCACAAGCTATTCAGAGACTTTGCAGCGGCTGCACAATGCCCAACTGAAGGGGAGGATGCACTCCGCTGCTTGCGCTTAGCAAATAGCACTATTCTAACCAGGGCAAATGAGGAGGTGTATCTCGGTGCGCCCGTGCCAGATGGCAAATATATCCGGAATCCTGCTCTGTTCGAGTACGCCAGAGGTAAGTTAAATGCCTTGAACCCCTTCAAAATAAACAAAAACAATCAAGCTACAGACAAGCTACGGAAAGGAACTAACCATAGCCTCAGGAAATACCTGGAAAAAAATAGAGTCAGTAATCGTTAGCCATGTCATAGACGAAGCAAGCCTTGGCCTCCCCGACCCTATCCCGGAGGGCCAGGTGGAGGCTTTTATTTCTAATAACTTACCACCGAACGCTACCGAGCAAACTAAGACAATAGCCAGCCTCTTTGAATCACTCTACGCCAACTCAACTCAGAAGGAAATGCTGTCTGCATTATACAACGACATTCTCTACACTTGCAACTTACGGGCTGTTCTGAAGGCCTACCCGAGCCCCGCGTGGGCGTTTCAGTTCAGTTTCCTCGATGGCATGATAAATGGGAAGCATGCAAGCGATATACCCGCGACATGGTATAACACGAAGCTCCAGGGCAGTATAGAACCACTATTTGGGCAATTCCAACGGTATATAACTAACCATGCACGGACGGGAAATCCAAATACGCCCCACAGCAAGAAGCATGAGCTTGAATACTGGCCCGAGGTTACCGGGCTGGAAGAGGATATGCCAGGAAATGTGTTCAATATGAGCAACTGGGGATTTGACATTATACGAGATAACCAGATGCCGAAAAGCGTCTGCGATGCTTGGAACGAGGCGCTCGTGGAGGCCGTCGAGTTGAACCGCTGAGTTGTCCTGAAGGAGACTTGGCTCTTCCACGCTGTCAGTTATTTTTCTCTTCTTTTAGTATCAGGCACTCTTGGCTGATCCGATCGGCTTCCTAAGTACTGCCTGGGGTTCCTACTATTTCTCTTCCTCGCAAGGCTTTGCGGACAATATCAGATTAAGCCACACTAGGGACTAGTTAATGGATCTCTCTCTAAGCACACGAACTCGTAGCATAGAGCAAGGGCTTATTTGGTCAGACATGCCTTTGTCAATGCACCTCATCGTCAGGCAGTCCATTGCAGCAATTGCAGAGGTGTTTCTGCAGGAGATTATTGTACTGAGAAAGCAGCTGCGCTGGAGACTCCTCCCACTGACGGGACGTAACTTGTGACCATATCCGTCATGACGTTGTCAATGTAATCTTGGCTATATGGCTACTGTTCCTTGGGGCTGTGATAAGTCATGTGGGATCAATTGATCACTCATGGGTAACTGGGAAGAAGAGTGGCCACAGCTCTTTTGTTTGAATGTGATGACTAGACAGGCCGTTGTTCTTAATGGACATTTACCTTTGGTGATTATTTATCTTTGTCAATGTCATACTATAATAAAAGCTTGGTCATCGTTGTACCGTAGCAGCAATGTCGCATCGACAGCGCAAGACTGGCACATGCCAGGAGGACGGTTGACGTTATCAGACAGCTCCAGTCCTCTGAATGAAACGCGACCAGAGAGGTGAGACCACCAAGCAACGTAGGCGATCCGGAAACGCAGCACCCGTTTCATTGAACAAACCGAGGCTGGAAAACAATTCGTACGTATGCTAGCTGACGGGGAAGGGCTTGAACAAGCCCTGCACTTTGCACGCGCCGATTTCCATGAACGTGGTGACACTGCGAAGTTGCTACTCGACGAAACTATCCCGCAGCCATCAAGGAACTGATTGCCAAAGTCATCCACGCCGCAAAACCACCTCAACAGACAACAAAGAGAAACCTGGTCCTAAGTCGCTGCCCAAAACCCAACAGGTAGCGGCGCATCCGCAGCGCCAGCACCGCGTATCATCCCCAAACGGCATGCCCAGGAGGTCATTGTTAAGTGCCCTAGCGCACTACTAAAGGCCAGCAAGCGAGCCTGCGCTGAGACCGTCCAAGCGATCCGACAAACTACCCAACGAGCGGATGCTACGGCAGTGCGGCGGCTGCACAGCGGCGACTATGCTATCATCTTCACCGAGTCAGCGGACTGGTGGCAGATCAACAACCGCTGTGTCATCGATAGTTTTGGCCCTGAAGCTAGCATCAAGCCATCAACACCCGTAGCTATCCCGCGCTCGCCAAGGCTTTTAAGGGAGGTCGCTGAGCGACCGCAGCGTCGACGAAATCCGCCTGGAATAAGGAAAAGGTACACTATATACTCGTCGCCACGGGCCGCCGGCTATTCAGTTTCTCCTGTTCTGAATATCATATCCATAATTTCATGACCAGGAGAGACGCTCTCAGGGGATAGACTCATGGCGTACAGAAACACTGCATGGCACTAAGCTGGCAGCTGCCATGCGGATCTCAGGCTACACGTGTCAATGGACATCTAGAATCGGGTGTATTGATTAATTAATATAGCGGGGCCGCGAGATTACACCCACTGTTTGTTTCCAAAATGCGAGACGAATGCACCACCAAATCCGCCCTCGATGCTTGCCTTTTCCCAGGTCGATCTGACATGTCGGACGGATTCTTCCGGAGTGATTGGGCCCTTGAAATGAGGCGCATATGTTGCGAGCTTGCCCATCAATCCCATCAAGCCTTGGATCTCTTCTGGAGTGGCTGTGGGTATGCATTAATCCAAATGTCCAGATGTTGTAATCTTGCAGGCAGAAATGAATACGTACCATCCGCGAAGTGGCCCACCTCCACCAGACCTGGGCTGATACTCATGAAGAGCACACCGTCTTTCTTGTATTGCGCGTTGAACTTGGCAACAATGATGTTCATGGCGGCCTTGGAGGCAGCGTATAGAGCACCAACCTCAATCTCGCAATCGTTGGTCAAGTCGAGGTCGGCCACACCGGTGGAAATGGTAATGACCTTCTTGATACTGCCCTTCAAGATAAGGGGGACGAAGAGGTGGAAGAGGTGGATATTACCGACAACATTAGTCTGCCATAGCTGCGATGAAACGGCCTCGACCTCCTCGACCTTGTCGCACCTGTTGAACATATAGTGTTAACGACAGACCGCTCCGGACAGTAGCCAGAGGGAAGTAGACCTACAATGCACCGATGGGTCCATAGGCGTCCAAGGAGGACACCAACGCTGCGTTGGCCACAAGGTAGTCAATTCCACGCTCGCCAACGATCTCGGCCGTGTCGGCAGCGGCCTGCTTCAGTGTGGCATACTTGGTGAGGTCTCCATGGAGGATGTGGACATTTTGACGGTCACCCAGCTCTGCCGCTATCTTCTTCTCAGTGGCAGCTTTGTCACGGACCAGACCGATGACCAGGTTTTTCTGGTCTTCCGAGATCTGCCTGAGGAACTCGAACTAGGCTGCTGCATTAGGTAAAGACAGTGCATCACACGGTAGGAAGGAAGACTCACCCCAATCCCCTTGGACACTCCAGTGATAACATAAACAGACATGTTGATTGGATGGGTAATAATTCTAAGTTGGATGAACTCTGTGTGTGTGTGTAGGATACAATAAGGTTGCGGTAGATGTTATAGTTCGTTTGTTTTGATAGAAAGAAGAAGCTCAAACAACGGCCATAGTTATCTATCATATGCCAGGTGCTTATAAATACTGCTTGATTAATAATAGAACGGGATGGAAAAGCGGCGACACCACTGGATGGAAGCCTTTATTTATTATTAAGCCCGGTGTGCTTATCTCACCGTGCAGGCTTGTACATATATGCATCATTAGGGGCTTGCCTCCAATCTCCTTTGATATAAGACATGCAGCATATGTTACCCATACGGTAGAGTAGAATGGCCTTGGGCAGACTTGGCCAACAATCGATTGAATCAATCCTCCACCAGTCAGATAAACAGTACCAAGATCCTATGGTACATCGAAAAAGAATGGGCGTGGGGATGTCTGTTTTTGTGGGTCCCAGGGGTGTGGTCCCAACTGGGTCGGACCGCCGCCACTAAATTAGAACGATTTGTAAGCAAGGGAGCAAGGAAGCTATTTGTAGTAGTAGTAGACCTGCGTGCTGAATCTGATAAACCAATGAAACAATGAACATGAACATGAACATGAGCATGAACATGCCCACCGAACAGCGGGGGGGTTCTCGGACTTGGACGTTTTGTAGCGCGGCATCATGCCAATTGCATGATATTATCCCAAAGAATATGTCAGCTGAATCTCAGCCAGCTACGAGGACGCGCGTATGCCATTGCCTGCCTTCTGCCCCCTTTGGAGAAGGGCCTTTCCCTATATATTCTTTTCCCCACTCCTACCCGCTATTATCCTCTACTTACGTACCCTGCTAGGTCGCCATGTACTACTAAAGTGAGGTGAGAAGGAAGACTTGCCTTTCAAATCACTGTCAGTCAGGTTGGCCCTGCACAGTGTAACCACAGGTCCTCCGAAGACAACAACAGGCCGCGCTATCTAGGATACAGTGGAATACCACCGCAAGGATGGTGTGTCTGAGGAAGCATTATGCATTGGTTCACTAACCAGTTTTGCGTCGAGTGGTTCCTATCATGACGAAGCACAATATCTTGAAATGCGCAGTTGTGAGTGGTTGCAAGACGGCTATCTTTACAGGAAGAGCTCACTGACACTAGATGACAGAAGACGTATCTCAGAGTCGGCGCGGCCTCTCAGGCCGAGGAGGATCAGGTGCGACCTGGGTGGAAGATGAACGACCGTGACCATGTGTTGGAGTTGGGTCTATGACTTGGAGAGCATAAGAAAGCTCTCCTCTGATCCGGAAGGGATTTAAACGGCTCGCGAGGACAAGATGTCTGGCTTGATACGACATACTTGGTCTACGGAGCTTTTATGAATGTAGCGGCACAGAAAAAGAAACAGGGGCGGCGTTAGCTTCGACTGACCTGTTGATACTTGAGCATGATAGCGGTCATGGCCCTGTTGTTTATTTGCAAACGGCTCCGGCAGCCTGCAAACGGAAGCGGAAGTGAGTAAAACCCCTTTGGTACTTGTCTCCCAGAGTTGTTTGTGGCTTTGTGAGATGGAAGAATGCCGATCCTCAAGGGAGAAGCAAACATCTGCATATATTCACAAGCTTTATATATCCATGCTCTGTTGACAGTCGCTAAGATCCATTAAACAGTCTATCACCTGGGGGCTGGTTTACCAGTTGAATCTAGTATTATCACATTCTGTCCAGTGCACTATTGGTCATATGCTGCTGCCACCTGTTATGAATCCAGTCATGCTACTCGATTCTCTCCTCTATAGGACCCCGGGCAAGTCGTCGTGGTCAACCCATAGAAAGTGAGTTCTGTTTGCGATGGTTGAATATTTGAAGATGTCGGCGCACTTTTCTCATGGCGTCCACTAGGTAGACAACTGTTCTAATATTGGATGAAAAGCTAGCTAGCTCTGCTTGGGTGGTGTGTAAGTGTACAGAGACACAGTTCCACCTGCAATGTTCGATGGCTTGTCTGCAGGTGCTGGCATCAATGACGAAACTTCAGATGACAATCATTTATTGTTCGCATCCCACAGAAAATGGTCTTTGACTTAGCCTGATCTCCCCTGGCACGTTCTATGATTATTATTGGTGATTCTGCTTTGTGGCCCTGCGGATTTGGGGGACCGCAGTGTCCCATCAAAGCGACAACGAGCTATCAACTGCTTTGGCTATCGAATTTAAGTGGACATGTCCAGATTTCTGTTAACGAGAATATGCCTATCATTTTCACTATGCTATAAATGGTCGTCTAGACACCTTTTGGGCGGAGTGGATTGGTGGTAAACACTTTCTTATTGTAAAGGTTGGCTGTCTTGGCATCCTCAGCATTGCACGGGGAACATCCGGGCAGCCGACAGAGGAGAGAGTTCTTTTCGGTATGTTCCCCGAGAATGCCGCATGTCACTATGCTTGAAGGATACGAGTATAAGGCGGGTTCGGCATTTCCCCGAAATTACGAGGTTGTCTCCCCGCAAGCTTCCCCAGATTGACACTTCGGATTGAATACACAGACCTTCCGGCGAGAAATGGCGATTGATAAATCCCCAAGATGCAGGACGTTTGGGGGTTTCCAGTCGTTTCAATTGTCGACAATAGTCATCCTCTCAGCATGTCTCCCAACGTTAAATGGACTGATGTGGCAAGTGAGTGCTGCATGAGCGAGTGGCCACAGCGGCGGGCAATATTGATTATTGACTCTTCGCTCCAGATAATGCCCACCCCATCTGGTACAAAGATGCGGGCTTGCGTCGCAATGTAGCCCTGGGTCTTGGTCTTTGCCTTGTAATTGCCACAAATGTAAGTCATCTCGTCTGCTTTTTGAAAGTTGACGCTGATAATTATTGCAGGGATGTTAGTAATGGCGGGATTACTTAGACGATCGCCAAGTACTGAACTGATCGATCTGTCATTAGACCAAGCAAGCCTTCTCACTGGGTTCCAGGCAATGCCTTCATGGCAAAAGTATGTTCACCTTTGCTGATTCGTTGCGGCCTCGAGTTTGACTTTGCCAGATACTTCAAGAGCCCTACTGGCTCTCTGCTGGGTATTTATGCTGCCTCTTTCTTTATACCCTCGATCTTTACTGCATTCATTGGTGACTTCATTTCCACCAAAATGGGCCGTCGATGGTGTACCATCATTGCAAATATCATCATTACCATCGGCTGCCTTGTCAATACATTTGCCAGCTTTATCGGCATGTGGTGCGGTGGTATTTTCTTCTCTTCCCCTCGTGGTATTGGTCTCCCGGTTGACGAGTGTGTTCAGGTCGTGCTATTATTGGAGCAGGTGTGGGTATGGTGAAGGTTGCGGCTCCTGTATTGATCCAAGAAATTTCCCATCCTCGGCTTCGACCTATCCTTGGCTCCTGCTACCAAACATTCGCATACATCGGAACCTTCTTCGCCGCTATCATGACTTGTGCCTCACTCAAACCTACCTAAACCACGTTCTGAGCTAACCCACGATGCTAGTTGTTGGCCTGTATGTCCCCGGTGACTGGGGTTGGCGATTCCCTTCGATTCTCCAGGTAATCGGTCCAGTTGCTGTTATCATCGTGACCGTGCTTTGCCCTGAATCCCCACGGGTGAGTTTACCCTCCAAAGACAAAGTTGAAATCCCCCTCCACTCACAGGATCGTGCAGTGGCTCATAAAGAATGGTCGCGAGGAGGAGGCCGTCGGTGTTCTCGCCAGTTTGCATGCCAACGGTGACAAGGAGGACGCCCTCGTCCAACTTGAGATGAAGGAAATGCTCACCGCTATCGAACGTGAGATCGTCCAGCGGGAAGCAAGTTTCTTAGACTTCCTGCGGACCCGTGGAAACAGGAGACGTCTGGCCGTGGTTGTAGCTTTGGCATGCTCTCTGAACTGGATGGGTAATGGTATCATCTCCTAGTAAGTTGAATACTTCACCGCGTGCACGGACAGTTTAGCTGATGCTGCTGTAGTTTTCTATCGCCAATTCTCAAATCGGTTGGCATCACCTCGGCGGTCCAAATCACCTTGATAAACTCTGGACTTGGTAAGGCTCGACGGTTCCTTTTTTCCCTGCAGGCTCAAAGATCAAAAGCACAGGCTGGGTTCAAATGGCTGACTACCCTACAGCCCTTTGGAATCTAATCCTCGCTGGCAGCGCTGCGGTGTACTGTGACAAGGCTGGACGTCGACCGCTGTTCCTGACATCAGTTGCGGGGATGTTATGCTCCTACATTGTTGTTATGGGTTTATCTGCCGGCTTCGCCAACACCAAACAGCCCTCACTGGGTATTGCTGTGATCCCTTTCCTATTTATGTGAGCTGTCCTTGGAGTCCAAGAGTGAAGAACTCGCTGACCGTTTCAATGCAGCTATTTCGGGTTTTATGACATGGCGTTTACTCCTCTTCCAATAGCATATACTGTTGAGATTCTACCCTTTACAATCCGGTCCAAAGGAATGGCGCTGTTCACAAGTACCGCTACTTTGGCCACCGCATTCAACCAATTCGCCAATCCAATTGCGCTCAGAGCCATCTCATGGCGATAGTGAGTGGCCCAGACCATCTCTAGTTGCTTACTGCCCATGCACTGACTATGGTATGCTTAGTTATGCGGTTTATATTGCCATTTTGGTCTTCTCCTTTTGTTTCATCTTCTTCATGTTCCCCGAGACTAAACGTCTCTCAGCTGAAGATGCAGCAAGGGTTTTCGACTACAACATGAAGGGCGCTGCCCTGGATAAGACAGGTGATGATGCTGAGCATGGCACTATCAGTCCCGCCAACGAGAAGCAAAGAATCCTACTCTGTCATCGAAGTCAAGGACAGGATTTAAGAGGGTGGTGAACAAGGATGTGGTCATGGTTAGGTAAGGGTACCATATCATACTCATCCACCATTAAGGAAACGACGGCGAACTGTCACTTGGTTGAATCTACATTCACAATGTATTATTCTTCCAAAAGCACTGTAAAGTATCTCACTGTGTTACTGATGATGTTATCTAATTTAGGGTACTTTATATCTCTCTCATAATTCACACATATCATAGTCTCACGAGAACGACGAAGAAAACAGGAAGAAATAATTTCACCAAGGTCTCATAGTTAGTAGCCAGTAGCCACTACAGGTCTAGGGGTTCTTGCCTATACATTAGAGAGGTAGGCAGATAGGAGGTAGGTACTCTGTATTGCTGCAGCCTCCAGCATGTTGGAATAGTTAACTAAGTTAACCTATGCCTTGGAATTTACATAATCAACCAGTTTCCCCGCAAATTCGGCTGATTTTAGCGGGGGTTGATTACTAACAATAGCCAATAAACTACCAGTGTTATTAGTCCGTAAAGTTCGATCGTCTCATTTGATTAGGTTATCAGGTATTAAAACCCAACCATAAGTTGACTGCAAAGATCTCTCAACGCAACCGCACAACATCATGACGCCAAGTCCACGAGCAGCCTCTGCAGGTTCATCCTCGCGGGGCCACAACGGTCTTGATCGTGTAGATCGTCGCAACTCGACGGCGGCTGTCAACAAGAGGCAGTATCAGAAACAGCGAACGCAGCGCGCCACATATGCCTGTCAGCGATGTCGATTCAAAAAGCTTCGATGTACGGGTGGCCACCCTTGCAGCGCCTGTCGCCGAGCTGAGATCGACTGCGACTTTGGCGATCGAGGATTGGATTGGCAGCAGAGTATCTCCATTACAAACCAGCGACTCTTGCAAATCGAGAAGACTGTCATGGAATTGCTGTCCAGTCAGAGCGATCTGAACCATCCACAACAAGCAGCGCCCCCGCAGTCACCTTTTCCACATGCAGGACAAACTGTCTCAGTCACATCAGCTAATTTCGCAGATTCCTTTCACCGTGACACTGCATCTGGGCGGGCAATTAATGTGCATGAAGTCAACGGCCCTTCTCCTCAGATCACACAAACCGCGGGGCCTCCAGATTCATCGTTTCCCCTGCGCAGTCCAATATGGCTCGGCCCACTCAAAGCCAAGGGACAAGTGCGACACTGGAACGTATGTGCACCTCGCCGTTCCACCCTGGAGACTCAGAGGGACTCGATTCACGCTGGGCCGCCCTGCAGAACAATTCAGCTCCGTTCCCCCGTTAATGGCCCACCCAACTGTGTGGTCAGGGGAGCCAGCAAAGACCATTTCCGGCGGAGATTCGAATGCTCAATTCGCTCTCGGCATGACACACTACGAAGCCAAGGTTGACTTACAGAGCGAACCAGTTTCGGGGGAATTGTCGATAAGCGGGTGGCAAGAGCGCTCTTCTCCTTGTAGGTTCTGGGTTGCTCGATTCGATCCATCAGGCCACAGCGGACTCATCGAGAGATAACCCAGGTTCTTCCAGAAATGTCACCCATTATTTCCGCTACTTGAGCCATGCAAGGACATGGACAGACATTCCGAGCATACCCGATCATCATCGCCATTCCTCTTCACCGCAATCCTGGCCATTGCGGGTCGTTACTATACCGCTTACCGGGAGAAGCAATTCACCAGGTCAAACCTGCCACCCATTGCCGGTAGCGCCCTCGCAGCCCTCGCAGACCTCGCCTGTGCGCACCTCGGATTTATCTTCGGCCGTTTCACATCGCTCAAGCTCTGGCCAAGCCTTGGTCGTACATGACCTCGTACAACAAGCTCAACGGCACCCATTGCTCCGAGCATGACTGGCTGTTGAGAGGTCTTCTCCGAACCGAGTGGGAGTTTGACGGACTCGTCATGTCCGACTGGATGGGGACATATTCTGTTGCCGAGGCGATTAACGCTGGGCTTGATTTGGAGATGCCCGGGAAGCCCCGATGGCGCCAACTGCCGCTGGTCCGGCAGTTGATTAATGCTCATAAGATCGCGCCGGCGACAATCGACGAGCGGGTGATAGCCATCTTGAAATGCGTCCAAAAGCTTGTCGTGCTCAACCCTGACACTGTTTACGGCCGCGATGACTCGGTAGAATGGACGCGAACGGAAGACCAGGCAACAGATGCGGCGCTGATACGGCGTATCGGGAACGAGGCTATCGTAATGCTGAAGAACGAATCGTCCGTGCTCCCTATCCGCCGTGGCAAAGTAGCAGTCATTGGTCCCAACGCCAAGAATGCTGTCATTACAGGCGGCGGCAGTGCGAGGCTTCGACCAGCCTGGTGTGTCACACCATGGCAGGGATTAGTTGACCACAGACCTGACGAAGTGGATTTACGATACACCCTTGGCTGCAAGGGCTCCAAATTTCTACCCGTCTTTGGTGAGGAATTTACCAGCATGGATGGTAGCACCCGCGGCTTTGATATGCTTCACTACGCTATTGTCGACGGCAAACAGGCCAGCCAGCCAGCCGTCTCTGAGGTCTGGACCAACTCAGACATCATGCTCGCTGACTTTAGCCACCCGGACCTTGGCGATGACTACTTCACCGAGATCCGAGCTTTGTTCACCGCACCAATTACCGGTGACTGGCAATTCGAGATCAGCGTCACTGGTCAAACTTGGGTTTATATCGACGAGAGACTATTGGCCGATTTATCGAAAGAGCAGAAGCGGTCCTCATCATTCTTTGGAAACGGAGGCAATGGTACTGTTATTACGTTCTCGGTTACTAAAGGCAAGGTCTGTAATGAATCGTTCCCCCCGTCTATCATACCAGTCACTCACGTTCAATCAGGTCTACAAATTCCGTCTCTTGCACGACTCCAGAAAACCGCCACTAGCTCCAGGTCAGGACGGCCAGCCATTACAGCTCATCGGCATGAAACTTGGCTCCTTCCCCGCTATCAATGAGGACCGAACGATAGATGAGGCCGTAGAGCTCGCCAAAGAGTCTGACATCGCCTTCTTGGTGGTTGGGTTAGACCAGGATTGGGAGTCGGAGAGCTATGACCGACCAAACTTAGCTCTCCCTCTCCGTATGAACGACCTCATCCGTCGCGTCGCGACCGAAGCACCAAACACCAAAAAGGTCGTCATCTTGCAGACAGGTTCCGCCGTATCCATGCCATGGCTGGAACATGTCGACACCGTCCTGTGGCCCTGGTACGGCGGGAACGAGGCTGGAAATGCCATCGCTGATATCGTATACGGAACGGTCAACCCTTCCGGACGATTGCCCATCACCTTGCCGAAACGAGAGCTCGACATTGCTGCAAGCCTCAACTTTAAGTCGGCACGAACCAAGACCTACTACGAGGAAAGTGCCTGGGTCGGCTACCGTCCCTTCAACGCCCCCGGCATCGAACCCATGTATCCCTTCGGTCACGGCCTATCATATACTACCTTTGAGTATTCCGACCTCGCCGTTTCACCGTCCGCATCATTCTCTCCTGACTCATGGCACATCTCTGTTTCTGCCAGGGTGACCAACATTGGCACGGTCCCTGGTGCTCATTCTGTTCACTTCTACACTAGCCCACCTCCACCAACAATGACTTCCCTCACGCATCCTGATGTCACTCTGCAAGCGTTCGCCAAGACCGCTGTACTTGTACCCGGTCAGGCAGGCCGAGACGGTCACCGTGGAGATGGACAAATGTAAGTGGACTGAGACTTGATGGCCTTGTTACTCGCTGATGATTAGAGCAGTCGCAATCTCCCACTGGGATGAACTGACTTCGACATGGCAAGCCGAGCCTGGGCAATGGCACGTCAAGATAGGAAGGGATGCACAAACCATGTGCGCCGAAGCTCCGTTCAATGTCTCCCCAGGCTTCAAGTGGCAGGGATTATAGTTTCGGCGTATTAATATTTTACCAAGGCAATATATAAAATAAATACGATATCTTGTAGTGCAAGCAGAGGGTACTGCGAGATAAATGACGTCTTATCGCCTGGTGCTATACTGATCAGCGACGATTGTACTACATCAAACAGGCCGCAAATTTAATACGTACGGCGTCAAGGCTATTTAAATAGAGAGCCGCGGAATAGGGTTACATTGTTCAGTCTGAGTCCGGATAAGTTCTTAGGTAATTAGGACCTCACCTCTTGGATTTTGTAAGGAATCCAGCCGGATTCTAGATTCCGGAACAAGGCCAAGGACCGATATTACTGCGAGATGCTATGCATCTTAGACCAATATAGAATCGCGCCCCCGGGCAGATTGCTTACGGACAGAGGTCTGTGAGGGGAGGGGCTATCATCTGGGATTCAGGTCGGCTTGCACGCAGGATATGCATGGTACCCGGGAAAAGTTTGGACGAGGCTGTGATACGAACGCACATTTGGCCTATTTGCCGGACAGTCTTATTGCTTTTTGCAATCTTTCTCTCTACTGGTGGGACGCGCTGCGCCTTGCAAGGATCATGAATCACAGCCTGGTCTGGGGGTTAGGGAAAGGTCCAACCGTCGTGCAGAGTCCAAGCCGTGCACTCGTCGGCTGGTTTGAAAGCTCACTGAAGTTGGTCCTATTATGCCCTTGCACCCTTTCCTGGGTGTGTACGACAAACTGTCCCCTTCTCTCTTACTCACCACACCTAAATGCATGCTGGCTTTTATAATGTCAACCTCAAGAAATTCCAAATTCTTCGAAGCTGAATGGGAACGTTTCAAGGAGATTATTCGGTCCCTGTAGGAGACACACCCCCTCGCAGAGATGATGTAAATCATGGCGGATGACCACAATTTCCACGCGACGTGAGTTAACATTCCAATCTATGGTATTTGACGTGGTTGCTAATAGCGAGTAGCAAAAGTCAATTTGAAAAGCGGTTGAAGAACTGGGAGTTTAGGTATAAAACGTCCGACGACTGGAGAAAAGTCAGTACAAAGGTTGAGAAGCGGTGACAACACTAGAAAAGCAGTATAGTCGAGTACATAAAGGCGTCCCTATTCCGCCTGAAACTCTCTCTAACGAGGTGTCTCGCCATACACTTTGACTGGATTGAGTCAGGCTACAATTGGTGAATACTGGATAGTATCGTGATTAGTACGAGGCACCATCGGTTAACGCCCCACGGCAGCACTGATCCCAGCGGCTCCCTGAAGGGTTTGTTATATTTACACCTCGTCCGATGAACGATCAATGAATGACTGTTGAGTCCAACCATAGATTAGAAGAGATCGCGACACGCTTTCTAAAAGGAAACTTGACAAGGAAATCAACCAATTCTCCATTTTCTGCTGTAGCATATACTGACATTCCATTTAGTGGCAATTCCCATTGGAACTACAAGACTTAATGACACGCGGCGCTTGAGACGTATCCAATCGGCAAAAGCACGAGGATTTGATGGGAATGTCTGCTACAGCGAGCGCCAGCTTCACGGCAGGTTCGATGACAGCCGCTTCCTCCCTTCTTCCCAACCGCGTCAAGCACTCATGATACCCCTGGAGCGACCAAACGTTGTTCGGGTGGCGGCGGGGCCGAATCAGCGTGTCATCGAGTCCAAGGTCAGCGCGGTATACTTTGGCCGCTTCCTCGATATGGCCCTGTTCCAGGAGAAGGGCCGCGTAGGCATGTCGACTGGGCTGCATCCACGACCATGGTTCACTATACGGGAGCTTGTCATCCAGTTCGATGGATTCGCGCAGATGCTCAAAGGCCTTGTCGCAGTTTTGACGGCGATACTCGATTTCTCCATCCAGCATGGCCGCGGCCACGGCCAAGGTCTGCGTACACTTGCTATTATAGACGCGGCGGGTCTCTGGGACACGTGCACAAGTCTGCTGAAAGAGCTCCCGCTGCTCTAGGGCTCCATCTACATCCCCAGTAGCCGCATAGGCAACTCCCTTGGCGTAATGTGTAGTTGCCGTCGTGACTCTGTATAGTTCGGAGTCTTTTGGTAATTCCATTTGTTTCAGCGCCTCCCACATTCCAAAGCGCACCATGACATGTAAGCGAATGGACATGAAGTTCTCTAACCAATCAGCCATGGGCGGGGACTCGATTTGTAGCACATCTTCAGGGACTGAAGCCTCCATTCGATCGACTGCATCCAGGGCCGTATTCAGTTTGCCGGAAAGCATAGCGGCGTAGATGAGGGAATGGTAGTCGTGAAGTCGATAGAACGTGTAGAAGTTGTATGGACCTGCGCGGCGCACATACTTGTCATCGGCTAGAGTAGCCTTGTAATTGGACGCAATCGAGCGCCGCCAATCCCCGATCAGAATGTCGAGATGAGTTGGCATGTGGTGGATGTGGCCTGCATCAGGCATCAAGTCACGCAGCTGGTCGGCGACATTGATACCTAACTCAGGATTCGGCGACATTTCAATATAGTGGATGTAGAGGTGCAGCAGCCCTGGATGCTTATCAGACCCTTTTTGAGTCAGAGCGCGTTCCAGTACCATCTTGACCTCCATTGTGGCTGCTTTGGGATTGGGTTCGCCAGTAAACAGATCCCAGAGCGCCCAAGGAGTCTGATTCATCAACGCGTCCGCGTAGAGAGCGGCAACATCCAGATCATCGCCAAAGGCTTGGTAAACAGGCTTCATGGCCGTCGCATACGCATGGTTCAGTGCCGACTGCTCCGCAGTATTGGGGGCGAGGCGCTCTGGAATCGGGATTGGATGGCTTCGATCAACCCTTGCTCAATTGGATTCGCATTATTTGCATGTTCTTTGGCCTTGCGCGACGCCTCATATGCCCGTTTCATGCAGTTCTTCAAATCTTCCCTATCAAAACGGTCCCATGGCTTGTTGTAGTTGGGACCAACTGCGTACGCCAGCCCCCAGTAAGCTATGGCGCACGACGGATCGTTGGCGATGGCTTGTTCAAAGCAGTAGGCACCCTCCACATGATTGAAGGCGTAAACCCAACTGAGGCCCCGATTGAACCAGGTCTGAGTGTCGGGGCTGGAGGTGGTGATCTTCCGACCGAACGAGCCGAGATCGTAGTATTCGTCACTAGCCGGCACGGATGGCATGACGTCTGAATCATGAGTCATGGTCGGAAGGGGCTACACCAAGTGTAAGAAACCCAGCGAGGAAGAAGGAGAGGTGATGGGTGTGAGCGAAGTTCTCTTCGTGACAGACGCAGATGGATATATATGTAAGAAGTGGGGTCGTGAACAACATATGACACCGAGACACCGGCCTTTGATTGTGGGCTTCTGTCCATTCATCCATTGATACTCATACACAGCGATAGCATCGGATCTATGGTACCAGTGGGTCAACTAGCCTGACCTCTATGGTCTGATATTGATCACTGTCCAATATTCACTTTTTTCGGCCTTTTTGATCATCTTTCTCTCCAGAGTCCTTCATATACGTGCCGTGGCCTAAGGCCATCAAACGCCGATCGTAGCGGGTGATGACTAATACGTCATCAGTCACACTCGGAGACACATGAGATCCAGAATCAATTGAAGATTTGTCCTTTCGAGGCATAATCTTAGTCATCAGATGGTTTCGAGCGATTAAGAAGCCCAATTTCTCACAAAGAAACCACAGATTGTAGAGCAATAGTATGTCGGCTACCCAAGGCCAGCTCAGTCGCACGTGAAGATGGTGGGTACTATATCCTATCCTAATCATCAGCTTTGCATAAATTTGGCCTGGGCCTTTGCTGGTTGCTTGTCACTGCAAAATCTCTTTCCTTAGTATAGAAGAGTTAAATCCGAGGCCGACTGCTGACGTCTGAAAGCCGCGCATCCAAGACTCGGTGTGATGGGCAGAGCCCGTGTGGGAATGTGGGCTTCAACCTGCCTTGTGCCCTCCTATCGTTTCCTATCCCTTGCTGATTGATCCCTTCCCAGTGTCTTAACGGCCGACGGGAATGTCATTACCCCCCAGTCGGCGCGGTGGAACCCGAAGAGGAATCAGAGCAGCTGAAAGTCTCTGGCTGCAAACAAGCCCCCGTCGTTCCCCCATACGTACATAGCATCGATAATGAAGCCTATCTCTCTCCTCTTTCCTCTGAGACCACTGATATCAACAGTAAGCGAAGTTCTTCCAGAGGGTATCATCAATTCTCTCAGCTTACTGTTCATCGTAGGTCCAGTTTTACAGAACATCATTGGAATTAACTCATCACTTGGTGGTTTACAAGAACGCGATATCATCATCAATCATGGAGCCGCCATGGGCACAGCTCCATCTCCTGTTGAAACGCCTACAGTGACACTGCGAGCATACCGTTGTGATCAGGATTTGTAAGTTCACGGGGGTCTCTTTCAGGTCCACTTATGCCCATCTTGCATGATGCGCGACTGACAATGGCCTAGAATCAACGCTTCCTACATCTTCATCCATCCATATTTCCCATTCCTTCCCCCGTCCATTGTGCCTCAGTATGAAGATCGACCTGTGTCCATTACTGTACCGGACGCCGAACCCAAAGGCCGTATTCTCGGCAACCGGCATTGATTATGTTCGGCCTTTGATCCCGGTGACCCAGTCATACCCTAGTGAGTTGCTCAGTCGAGTGGCCGATAATACCATTGACGCCAACACTTTTAGGACATTCTGTCTGGTGTAGTCTAGGCCTAGAGTTGGTCCCAAGATTACTTATTGCCACTGAAGTAAACCGGCAAATTATGCACGTCTCGTGTAAAAAGCATTATAAACAGCCTTTTGAATGCTCTGGAATTGCAGGTGTTTTACGTATTTAGTTCGCACATGCTACGGTACAGAAAGACCCCGTTCTGATCCTACGAATGGCCACAATGACACACATCCAACAAATCAAACAATACCTTCCATGGGCACAGACCCCGCTGATTATTAATGCGCCCATGAGCGGTGCAGCGACCAGCAAGCTAGCCGTTGCCGTCACCCGAGCTGGAGGACTGGGGCACATTGGCTTTCTGGACGACAAGAAAATGCTAAGCAGGGAGCTCGAGAACGCAAAACGGCAATTATGTGATTTGGCCGTCTCCAGCGGGACCTTTCCAACCGGAGCGGGAGTAATTGTGTTTGGTTCTCCTGTCTCGCACTGGCTTTCCCTCTTTGCTGCATACAAACCAGCTGTCGTTTGGCTTTGCTTTGGAACGTCGAGAGAGTTCCAAGAATGGACAAAAGTGACTCGTAGAGTCTCCCCAGATACAAAGATCTGGGTGCAGGTCGGAAGCGTTGCCGCTGCGCTCGATACGGCCAGAACCTGTCAACCCGATGCTCTGATTCTACAGGGAAACGTTGCGGGCGGACACGGCCACGCAAGTGGGGCGAGTATTATATCGCTCCTCCCAGAGGTGTCTGATGTGCTTTGTGAGCATAGGATGAGCCGGATCCCATTGATTGCGGCCGGCGGTATCGTCGAGGGACGCGGTGTGGCGGCGGCTATCATGCTTGGGGCGGCGGGAGTGGTGATGGGCACGCGATTTCTGGCTGCGGAGGAGACGAGCCTGCCTCATGAGTACCGGGAGGCAATCATAAATGCCGTCGACGGGGGAGTGTCAACCGTGCGGTCGAGAGTATTTGACGGGATTTCGGGTCCGAGTCCGTGGCCGGAGTTGTATGACGGACGATGTTTGAGGAATGCAAGCTATGATGATGTGGCTGCGGGAATTCCCATGCAAGAAGACGTGAGGCGGTTTTACTTGCGTTTGAGGAAAGGGCAGGAGGAGCTTGATATCAAGGATTCAGGAAGTGTGTGGGCTGGCACAGGCGTGGGATTGATGAAGAAGATCGAGGATGCGGCATCCATTGTCAACCAGGTACGACTGGAGGCAGCTAGGAGGCTGGAGAATGGCACTTCCCTCGATGCACATGTTTAAAAAGCATGACACAGGTTCAGACTATGCTCATCTGCTAAGGTGTATGGAATACACCGCCGCTGCACTAGTTGCATGCTGTTTCTGATGTTGGTCATATTTGGTCAGCTTACTATCAGTATTCCGGGCTAAATTTTACCAGCTCTTCATGAAAGTATATTTCGAACCCCGGAGCCACCAGGCATGTTAATGCTTCGACCATTGATACAAACAATCCCAAAAACGTGATTCAACAGTGACCACACCCATAACGAAGATAGTCACAAGCACACTGTTTGTCAGGCTCAACAACGACAACGATGGGGACCCACACTTATCTCATTCGTCTCAGTCCTTTAATCCTCATTTGAATTGCGGCTGCACTGGCCTAGTCCTTCAATGATTGATAATAGTCTGGAATGTATATTGCCCTCTGCCTTGACGGCCGGAGAGGGAGACTTGGAGTTGGTCTTCGACCTGGAGCCCTGCCCCTGGACATCCACCCCCACTATCTAGTATTAATAATTAAGATATTATTCTATTCACCTCTACACGCTCTATTAGACTATACAAATTATAGAGTCCTAATCTACTGGTATAGCTGTAAAACTAGGATACATATATTAGGATTAGCTTACCTAGCAGGTTTTACTAGACATACTACTCCCCACCTAGGCTATACTACTTCTTATACCAGATATCTAGGTTATTTAGCTAGCCTGATTAATTACTCACTAGTTCTATTCCTATATAATTGTCTGTACTAAAATTAGTACCTACTAGGGTATAGAATCCTATACTAGAGGTGCATCAGTATTATAATAATACATATCTCTATCTTCTACCCTATTACGGCCTGTATGCTAGCAGTCCTCTTACTTCTATAGCTAAAACTAACAATTTAGCCTAGTGATTAGCCAGCCTCTCTTATTACTAACTACTATCTATATACTAGAATCCCTCTCACTAGACCCTGTGTAGGTAATCACACTACTAATCTAATACAAGTAGTTTTTAAATAATTTTTTAAAGCAGGCAATGAATAGGTTAACTAGTCTTTATGATAAATAGTGATAGAGCCACTACAGGCCCATTAACAGAGTCTTATAAGGCCATTAAGCAGGGATGAAGATGCCAGTTTGCTTGGTTGAGTTGTCGTAGCATTACTCCTAACTGGGTTCATCCTCGGGTTTTGCGGGCTCGGCTTTTGAGCCCGACTTTGAGCTCACGGCCGGGTTTTGGACGTCTTCCAGTATAGATATCATCTCTGCCACCTGCACTGATCAAGCGACAACGCTGTACAGGAAAGCTCTGGTCTAATTCGTGCGAAAATGGGCTTTTTCGGGAAAAAAGCCGCGCCCCCGCCGCTACGGAACCCCACGGACACAGTACTACCGATCCCGGCATGGGATGACCAACATCGCATGCGCGCATGTTGCCTGCATGTTACTTACCGATTCGACGATGTCCTTGACCCAGAGGTCGTACGCCAATCGTTGGAGCGTCTCTTGGAGTTGGATGGCTGGCGGACACTAGGAGCGCGACTTCGCAAGAAGGTATGGATTCAAAATCACTCACATACTACGTTTGGCGGCAACTCACACACCTTAGGATGATGGCAAATTGGAATACCACATACCAGCGCAATATGATACAAAACGGCCTGGCTTTAACTACACGGTTGTTAAGCACCCTATGGGCATCAACAAGCATCCTTTAGCTGCTAGTTTTCCCCAAGCAACTGGCCAGCCATCACTGCTTGGCGACCCCGCAGATCTCGCATCTGTATGTCTGTCCGCGGATTGCCCCACGAGGATCGAGGACTGGCTCTATTCAGATCGACCGCAACTCGCCATTGATGTGGTCTCGTTCGACGATGCGACCTTGCTGACCGTAACTTTCATGCACACTCTGATGGACGCTATGGGTCTTTCAAGTTTTCTCCAGGCGTTGACTGCTGTCATGAATGGACGAGAAGACCAGATCCCGACCTTTCAGCAGGTCAGCGAAGATCCGGCGACGCGCTTCATCGGCAGAACCCCGGCCAACACCTACGTGAACAGCTCCTTTCTGCTAACCGGGGTCCGCCTCTTAGGTTTCATTGCCAGCTACCTCTTCGAGCTGATCTGGCACCGCGGCCAGAATGAACGTGTAATCTGCATCCCAGGACGATATCTCGACGAGATGCGGGAACAGGCATTGCACGAGCTAGCCGAGCAAAACAAGGAAGGGCCTGCTCCCTTCCTTAGTGAAAGTGACGTACTTTTAGCATGGTGGCTCAAGGCCTTGATTAAGGCCCTGAATCCCTCGCCCCGCCGTTTGGTGACCCTCTTGAACGTGTTCGACATCCGGTCGACCGCCCTCCAGGAATCATCATCCACAAACACAGCCTTTATCACTAACGCTGCCCTTCCATCTATCACATTTCTTCGCACCCAGCAGATTCTTCGCGAACCAGTCAGCTTCATGGCCTCGCACATCCGCCGCTCGCTCGTCCAACAACGCACTCTGCCCCAGATCGAAGCGTTCTTTGCGTTTCACAAATCCACTTCTGAGAAACATCCGCCGGTGTTCGGTGAACCGACCTCCCTTCTCGTCTGCTGTAGTAACTGGCACCGAGGTCGGTTCTTTGAAGTGGATTTCTCGTCTGCGGTTCTTGCCCCGGGCATTCCGCTCCATGACCGTGTGCATCCGCTGGGCAGGCCATCGTGCGTGATTCCTACCCATCATTCGGGTGGCCTTGCTTTGCGAAACGTGGGGCCAATCATTGGCAAGGATGCAAGTGGGAACTGGTGGCTATCTTGCACCTTGAGGACGAGTGCCTGGACTGGCATCGAACAGGAACTGAATGCGCTAGGCGCAAGAAAGACCCAGTGATCGTGGATTGGCGGAGATCCTTTCACGCATCCGAGCTGAGAAGTAGCTCGGCTGTGCGCATGCTATGTGATCTATGCGTAATGCATAGATGGACTGAGGACCAAGTCGCGTTCTCTAACTCGGTATTAGCCGCGTATGCTCCTCATACTTATTTGCCATGCTCTCGCCCAGGATCGCCATGCATGCGCTCGCCTCAAATTACGTCTGGAGTACCGCCACACTGTACAGAAATCCTCAGTTTATGATATGCGAATTGGCTCTTGGGATGCTAGCAGTGGCTGGACCTGCTCTTCCAGCATCAGCTGCTGCTCCTTGTTCACCTGATATGATGCCTCCCTCCTTTGGCTGATTGAATCCGGGCGGAGGACTAGTTGTAAGAATACTCAGCTTCATAGTTTTTTTTATATACATACGACTACGGACTTATTATTAATTCGCATGCATTCCCAGAAGATTTTAAGCAAAAAAGCAGTATCCCATGAAATCTAAAACAGTGTATTAATATTGTCCTCTTTTTCCCTAATAAGAAGCCACTCTCAGAAAGAATTGCGACCCTACTCCAGAGCCATGGACGACTGGATGTTGAGTTGTATCAGGGTCAATGTGGAGTTGGTTTAGGGTTGACGTCCAGTCGAATGAGAGATATCGGGTTGGAATTTTGATATGAGTTAGGTTTTAGGTCAACTCCCATTTCGCTCCTGGCGTAACGCCTTGAACCTATCCGGAACTCTCCCGCTTCCCATGGTAGCTAGAATTAGTCCACTGGGGAGAGACTTTAAGCACCCTAATTCTGCTACAAACTTGGTGGGAGCGTTGGGTTGGGCTAGACCGTTATATCCAGTTCTAGCTTAGGTGCTAATCACTTATTGGCTGATGAGGGTCTCCTACCATCAGCTGGATATCTTATGGAGTCGTTCTCTTTGCCGGCAAGAAAATATCTAGTATGATACGTGCACTCTCTGAACGTATGACAGCCATCTTAGCTTGCACCTCAGCAATCATCTGTGTAGTGCTGAATGCTCATTAGTAGCTTATTGTAGTGGGCTAGCGGTAAAGGCCAGTGAGTAAATGCATTCCATGAAAGAGAACTGCATCTTTTAGGGATCCATACATCCAACTAATCCTAAAGAGATAGAGATCAACATTTTCCTTAGAATATTTACTCTTTTAAGTCCAGTTAACTGCCAGGGATGTAAACCCGCCCTAAGGCTTAAAATTTGCCTGCAGTCTGGATATGGGTGGTCTATCGCGAGTCTCCATAATTCCTTCATCAGAGTCATTGTCTGCAAACACTTCGAGCGCAAGATTGCCTACCTACTCATTGTGTCACTTCTGGAAGTAGTCAAGTTTCAAGGCGAATCCGACGGCACACTTCGACGTTTCGAGACATTGCTGGAGGATCTCATGAGGGAGCAATTACTGGATTAGAAAGGCGGAAGATGGCGTAGCCGGATCGGATTTGTTGTCGTTGCTGAATCATTTTTATATTGAAGATCGTTTGGACTGGGGCTGATTTATTTGATCGTGGATGCAACAGAGGGTATTGAAGAGGACTAGGGATATAATGCTGGCTAGTCATTGCGAGAATCAATCCAGAGTTTATATAGCGGAATGAGACAGCTGGACATACACATTGTGCCTATAAAATTGAACAATGAAATGAATCAATACAATAACAAAAGCTCACTCGTTGTGGCACGGGGAGCACACGCCATTATCTAAACTTTGAACATACAAGGAAAAAGGCATTGTTTGGAGGAACAGAAGGCATGCTCAAAGGAAACCTATCATAACTCCATTTGTAATTCTCAACTGATGTATATACAGAATGAACAGCGCTGCCAGATACTGACCGTCTTGAAGGTTCAGGCGCAGACAGGAGTGCAGGATCGCTAACTGAGAAGATTGCGCGAGGGGAGATTAAGCATGGGCTTCCGTCTTCGGGCGTGCGCAGACGATAAACATCCGCATAACCCGAGCAGGATTATTGACGTGCAACCGACCCGTACTGCCTAGGTGGTCTGGTCGTTCGACGGGCAACGGCGAACCATTTTCTCTTGACGGGATCCCCTGGCTCGAATCCCACCTTCCGGTCTTCTGTCAGCTTCCACAAAGCCTGCAGCAAAAACGGCGCCAAAGCCTGGTCAATCACCTCGTCCGGCACCGCCCCAAACATTGCCCTCACAATTTCGTGCAGTGTCATACCCCCTTTCCTCCTGCCTTCCGTCCCTCTGTCCCCTCCGCCTTCTCCCTCTCCTTCACCAATACTGACAGAATCCCTCGCACACGCATCTCCTTATGCCGGATATATTCCTCCAGCTTGCTAGGAAGGTCACCAATAACAGCCCCATGCGCAGGGTACCCAAGCACACAGCCCAAGCCCGCCATCAGCTCCAGACTCTCCATATACCGTCCCAGATCCGGGGCCACGCTGAACCCGTGCCCCAGCACATTATCCCCCGTGAACAGGGCGTTCTCTTCCTCAAGCAAGAAGCACATGTGGTCGACCGAGTGGCCGGGCGTGAAGACTGCGCGGACGGTCGCCCCCTCCACAGCGAAGATCTGTCCATCGTCAATAGACTTTTGACCTGGATCAGGGAGGTTTTTGTAGACGCGTTCGGCGAGGGTGGGGTTGTAGGAGATTAAATCCGGGACGCCGCCTGTGTGGTCGCCGTGCCAGTGGGTGAGGAGAATATGTGAGATGGAGATGTTGTTCGAGCGCAGGAGCTTAGTGATGCGGCTGAGCCAGATGGGGAGACCCTGCCGGTGTTAGCTTCATAGGGGGTTGGATAGGGAGTTGGTACCTACCTGCCCGGTATCGATCAGGATGCGAGACGGCCCTGTTCCGACTAGATAGGTGTTGGTTCCTTGTAGGTGCATGGCACCTGGATTCCCGCCGAGGATGCGGATTACTCTGCTGCTGAGGGTTGAGGTATCGGGGAGAGAAGGGAGAGTAGCATCCTGCCCGGAGAGGTAATCCTCCCAGAAGGCCTGGTTGAATGGCATGCGGAGGCCCATTGTATTGCGTCCGCAGAGTATACAGGACTCTATATTTCTCACTCAGCGAATACAGATTATCTTAGGGTAGGGAGCTGGCAGAAAGGTTTTGTTGTGTTTTAATCCGGGCTGTTGCTCCATGTTGAATGCTAAAATCCGATATCAGAGATGCCGAGACGCCAAAATCCGAGGCTTGCTTTGTAGCAGGCTACCCTTGTGATGGAGATTGAGACGAACATAAGCAATACGCCCTGAATCTAGGCAGCATTGTGGAAGAAAATGCGGTACAGCCAGGTTGGTCATGCAGAAAGAGCCTGGTATGCTATCGAGATGAGTTTGTAGTACGATGCGAAGAATATCGTGAGCCTGGCTTCTAGACAGAAATGGTCTTATATTGTTTACATTATCTGACTGGTGTATTATGCGAAGCACCTAGAACATGATTGTTGTCGGTAATTTTCTGCCAGAAACCGGCGACCGATCGAAAAAGTCTCATCCCTATTGGAACAGGAAATCCGCCTCCCCAAACAACAGAATCTAAAATCCGGATCACCGGTCGGATGGCTAATTGTCTTATCCCCTACTTCAGTCTAACGGCATATGGAAAAAGAGAGACGGAAGGACGGAGTCTATCTAAGGAAGAAACATGTTCGAATCGGCATAGTCAATATCCGACATCAGCTGCTCCCACGTCGGCAACGACGGCTCCGCGTCCACTTGAGGGCTCTGGCCCGCAAGCAGCGGCGGTTGGTTCTCAATATCGAACTGCAACAACAACGAATCCAGATCGAGTTTGGCCAACGGCTGTACGGGCCCCATTGGAGCCAAATCCACACCGAGCTGGGAATGAGCATGGGAGAAAGCTGTCGGCCAGGACAGGTCGCTGAGGGTCTCACTCGGGGCGCTGCTGGCCCCCGAGTGCGGCGGCGTGGGTGCAGCAGATGTCACGGCACTGCTACCGAGGCTGAATGTCGGACTACGTCTTGCGGGCTGCAAAAGAGGGCCCGCTTTGTCCCGTGTCCGACATTTCAATTTCTCCAGTGGACGCTGGATTGCTTCCTTTTCGCCCGCGACTCCTTTGCGGCGCAGGAGCTGATAACATGCCTCGATGGTTGGCCACGCGGCCTGGATTCGGGCCACATCCGGGCAGAGGATGCACTCGTTGATGGCGACCGCCAGCACGTGCCACGGCATCGTCACGTACCAGCGGAATCTCTCGCCGCGGGGATCTGTGTGCATCAGGAGTGCCTTTTCCAAGACGTTGAGGGCCAGGCGGAGAAGCTCGTGGTTGTGCTCCTGCGGGCCTGGAGACGGCGAGGGCGGCGGCTGGCTACTGCCGTTATTGGGTTGCGGGAGCTGGAGCGGCCGTAGCGCGGACAGCCGGGCGCAAGAGACGAGACATTGCGTGCCGTGCCAGGTGAACCACGCGTACGGCGAGGATTCGGGATCGCAGAAGTGCAACAGGCGGAGCGCATTCTGTTCAAAGCGCTGCGCGTGTTGCTGTTGAGACGCCCTGTGCTGGGGTGATGATGCCGCGGCGCCAAAATTCAGGGCCCGCCCTGCTAGCTGGATGTGGTATGTGACCAGGGCAAATGTGGTATCGCACAGCCCCTCCCTGTCTGGGATGTCATGGGTTATGGTTGGATCGAAATCCGAGTCGTTGATATGCTGAGGCAGACAGAATGTGGAGGTGGCCTCTTCAGTGTTGATGAGCGGTTCGGAGGCCTGGCTGAAGGAGGCCTGCAGGTCCATCAGTGAGATGGTGAGCCACAACCGCCTGCGCATTTGTTGGCTGAAGAAGGTCTCATCTCGGTCCCGGTGGAGACCGAGCGCCTTTGCCAGCCGCACGGCCACCGCCGTCAGCGTCCATGCGGCCTGACTCTGGTTTTCCGATCTCCTGGCAATCTATTCCACGGGCTTTAGTAAAACAGTGCTTGTCTCGGTCTCGAGCCTTGTTCAGGACACTGGTACTTACGAGGTAAAGCACAAATGCTTGCAGACCAGTGATACTGGGAGACACCAGCAACCCACTTCTCTCCAGTGCGGCCTCACACGCTCTTCGAGAATCCTCCGCAATGCCGCTGGACCTGCTCCTTTGAAACATTGCCCAATATTGATCGTCGGTCAAACTCGCGGCAGCCGCGTAGCAAATGGCAGACCACAACGCATCAACGGCAACGTGCCTCTCCGGATAATCGAGGTACCGCTCCCCATGTAGCATCCACTTCTCGACACTTGGCCGGTGCAGGATTTTGATGATGGGGTCGACTTGCTGGAGGTAGATCTGGCATAACTGCCTTGTCATTTCTTTGTCTTCGAGGACTGGAGTCCAGGTATGGGGTTGGTTATTATTTGCACTCAAGCCAAGGAAATGAAACCCGCCGTCGTCCATTTTCGACACGTTAGGTGCTAGCGGGCTATGCGTATCCGATTTGGTCTCTGAGCTCGATCCTACGTCGCCACCAAGGTCTTCTATCTGATCCACCACCCACGGGAAACGGTCAGCATTCCCAGCGCCAGTCTAGATGGGCCCATGCGACATTTGCCTACCTCTCCAAGCAAACTAGTCCAGAAACAATCAGGCTGTGAAGTCAAGGGTGGTTGCTTCTGGTTAATTGGAATGGACAAACTGCATGATAATGAGCTTGTTGGCGCCGGATATGAATTGTTAAAAACCGACTGTTCCTCGTCAGCACGTCCGACTATACATCGGTATGCGCAACTAACCTGGCTAACAGGTGCCGGACCCGGGTCTTGCATGGCCGCACGCATGCTGTTGACTACCGCCTCAAGCCGGTGGACGCGTTTCCTGAGGTCGTCGTCAACTGCCCCCACGGAGTCGGAGGAAGCATCTGTCTGCTTCTTTTCCTCTGAAGATACCGGACCCGCAACAGGGGTAGGCGCGCGTGCGGGCACGAGCGCTGGGGACATTGGGCGAGCTCGCCGCGCATGGACACCTCGTGGCAGGCGTGGCCGATGGACAGGGACACAGACCACGCCTGCCGAGACACAGTTGGTGCAGGGATCGACCTTGTCGCACTTGATCTTGCGCTCGCGGCAGAGCTCGCAGCTGAGACGGGGAGTCGAGGGGCGTTTCCGCTGATTACTTTTCTCCATCTTGATAACAGATGGTGGTGGGATGCCTGGGCACGAGTTTATATCTATATATGCTTTATCGGACCAAACAAGCGAAAAGAAGCCTCATGGATTTCTTGTTTCCGGAACAAGCTAGGGTGGCGCTATCTATATTCAAGTTGCATAAGCCCTAGGTCTCAGGACACGAGGCAAACACGAGGAAGCCACCAGGTGAACACGAGGATGAAACCATTGGCAATGTAACGCAACCCCTGCAAGTGACTGGGATAGACCACCCATTATAAGGATGTTGCCTGGAATCTTCTCTTAAACTGACGGAAGTGGGCTTGGCGCTTTTTCACTTTAAGAGGTGACTCCTACATCTTCTATCGGTGGATCGCAGAACAATGACCGAGCGACTACGATAGGGTAGACAGCCATCACATAGTTGCAGGCAGATGCGGGTTGATTGCTGTTGCGCGAAAGGTGGGCATACAAAAGATGAAATATGCCGGGCAGGATGCATGGCAGGATTCTGTTGTAGGGGAGTGGACGTATCGGAATGCTCGTAGCCTCATTGTACTAACAGCACAATTAGGTAGAACGGAGCAGATATCAATTGGTACTGGCTAGTCATGCAAGCATGCTAGTGTTGTGGAACATGAAATAAGCGACCTGATATCAGCCTCGAGAAGCTTTGTTCTCGACAAGCCCATGTGATGGTGTGCGCGTCGACCACCATGATCAAGATGCCCAGATTCTTATCTCGATCTATATTCTGACACGTATCAAGTTCTCTGCTGATTGGAGCGCTTTTACTCGTGTTTACGTGGCCAAATCTACTCCATTTGCCCAATACGAGCATGGACCGTGGTAGCGTCCAGCGAGAAGGTGGTGATATTCCTTATGCCTATTTCAGTCTGGCCTTATTTTCCATAACCTTATTTATATTCGAAGACGATCTTCTTCAGATAACCCTACCATCACTGCCTAGGGCTTCCGTGCCTTGTACCGTCTTCGTCACTCTTTGCTGCGGTTTTCTTGTCTGTTTCTCATCGAGATGGATACAAGGTCTTTTGATCCTCATTACTCTCCACTGCCATCCATGCATAATAACCACAAAGGTCGCCAGTGCTCTCATTCTCAGCATCGGCCCCACATTCCCAGCCCTAAGTGTCAAGTCTCGCTGCAATGTGGTGGAGGAAATTCATCTGCCTCGCCAATCATCTCAACCCGGCATTATTCCCCGTGAGACTAGTACGTAGTGGACACGGCCAGAGCTCAACTCTTTCAGGATTCCGCACCTGAATTCTTGGCTGGCGGGTCCTCGTGTTCATCACACCATTGCACCGGCGACTCGGATTGCTCTGGCTTCCGATTCCCAGAAAAGCGATATTTGCCGAACGTGCAGATCATACCATAGACGGCTAGAAGTGGGTTACCAGGAGTCCCCAGAAAGGGGTATCCAATCATGTCTCAAGTGCTGGTCCAGGTTTTGTCTCTATAAATATTAGACGCGAACTAACAAGTACTCGGTGTCAGGCCACGTTACACCTCGGTTCCAAGAGAACTCTGTCCAAAGCGATCCTTATTACTACATTCAAGTCTGCAATGAGATGTTCTTTTGTGTTGCATTATCCTTGGGATTCCACTATCAGTAATCTTTTGTCCCACAATAGGGAGCAACCAATTGTATCCCCCAGCCAGCCCTGGCTCGATGGCGCTTTGAGACGGGGCCAGATACCCCGTAAAGTATGACTAGGTTCCTCACTAATTCTGACACCACGCTAAATATTTATTAGCAGAATACAGACCGAGGGCTAGACTGTCTCCGGCCTGCTTCCAGAGAGCGGTTAGGTGGCCTCAACATCACTGTAACCATGTCATTATTATCTAGTAACTAGTGCAAGCCGTTCAAAGGCACACTGGCTTCTTCTGCGAAAGCTCCCGCCACTGAGCCATCGGCCGATGCAGCGCATAGAACCGCTGTTTGGACCGTCGTACCGCGTCCTGTGATCTTTTCCACGCTCGGTCATAGTAACTCCGAATCGCCACGCCCAAATCGCCCCCACACCGGCCGCAACAGCAGCAGCCAGCTCGACACCATCCGCCAGTGCATGATTGCCTCCCTCACCGCCAAATATGGGCATTGCATGCCACGAGTCGCCGACGAAGGCGACGCCCCGACCTACAGCAAGCTGCATGTCCTCTTGCGTCACAGAGACGCACCGGACGGTCCAATGAAACACCCGGTGATGTTGGATAGCCTCACCATTGAGAAACAGACTCCACGGCTTGGCCAGATCGCGGGACGCAAGCTCCTCCACCAGCGCTGGGGGGATCTGCTTCGCGTCCTCCGGGGCGCGATTGGGCCGGTACAGCGGGTCGTCCTCTCCGCCGCTCCAGGCCGGCCGTGAGTACGACCAGTCCATGTGGACGTACGTCTTCGTCATGTTGCAGACGGCGAACGGCGCGTTGAAGCCATCGCCGACACCCGCGAGGACGTTGGACTCTCCGGTGTGTGGCCGGAATAGCCGGTCGAAGTCGACCCTGGGCAGCTGGAACTCGCCATGATAGAGCACCGCAGGGACAGTTTCGGGCTGGACATCCGGGAGGACCTGAGATCGAACTATACACATAATTATCGGTTTAGTCCTACAAATGCTAGAGGAGCAGTTCCTACCAGTCGAGTTCACCCCGTCCGCAGCAACCACCATCAGCCCCCGATAGAACGACCCGTTCTCAAACTCGACCCGCACATCCCCCAAGCTCCCCTCCACCCTCTTCAGCCGATGTCCGTACCGCACATCCAGTTCCTCTTCCCCACAGTCCGCAATCCACCTGCGCAACGCATTCCGGTTCGCGCGGACAATCTCCTCCTTTGTCGACGAGTTCGCGTCCGGCACAAAGAGTTTCTTTGCGGTCCCGTTATCCCATACAACCTGGTCGATCCAGCCCGAGCCGCCGATTTCCCTGTCCGGTGCGACGCCGCGCGTCAAGCTTCGTAGCGGCAGGTCCCCGAGAGCGGACAGCAGTGTCGCGTAGCCCCATTCGCGCAGGCTGATGGCGAAGCCTTGGCTACGATCTGGGCTGGATGCTTCGAAGACGATGTTCGGGATGCCGCTATTTGTTAGCAGCCGGGCGGTTGTGAGGCCTGAGATGCCGGCTCCGATGATAAGGATAGGGAGTGGGGGGGCCATTGTAGTTTACACGGTGATTTGGGCAGGCAAATGGAAATGATCTAGGTCCCCTTAGTTGCTTTCATCTTCTGGTCTTAGGCCAATGTATCGCTGCAGAGGAAAGCGAGCTGCAAAGGCTGTGGGTAAAACCCGAGGGGAAAGAGCGGATTTTGGATGGAGACTCCGGGTTTTGGCGCCGGATTTTAATGATTAGAAGTATGCAAGGGACTCTACAACTATCGCTTTTTAATATGCGCATCAGACAAGGCACGAAGAACAACTAAATTTGGCATGAGGGTAGTCAGTGATGGTGATTCTGGAAAGTGTGGGCGAGATAGATGCTTAGCTAGCTACATAAACATAATTATATAGAATAATCCTTGATTGGCTTGATGATCCAAGTTCGTAAACAGACCATGTGGCTTGCCGATTTAACATTCAAATATAGGATCAGGCTTGTAACCCGGTGAGAAGTTCGACAGAAAGCCCACTGAAGGCTGGAAAAATCCAGGAGTATCTCATGGAGAATGTACACGCCTGTAGTAGATATCCATTTAATTTTACAGATATTTTATCATTTTTCCGGGATTAGAGGAATTGAGTAGATGATAGCTGTAGATTGATTGGCAAATGATCAAGAAAAATTTCTATATGGATAGGCAAAGGAGGATCTATTAGCAATACTCTTCCAACCATGCCGTCATCTCGCCGATAGTCGGACACTCCAGGAACAGCGAGCTCTTAATCTCGATTCCCAGTTCTGCACGGAACTTCTCTGACAACACAAGCGACATGAGCGAGTCGATGCCTAGCTGCACGAAGCTTGCGTCCGGCGTCAGCGCGTCGATTTCTAGCCCGGTCTCGCGAGCCATCACCTGCAGGCACTGGCCCACCACGCCGGCGTCTACCGGATCGCCCCGATCCGATGTGGCCGGCGTTACGACTGCGGATTCGCCCGGGGACTCTTCCTCGGAGGGAGGGGTGAGCGGGGGTGTGGAGACTTGGCTCTTGCTGGTGGCGGCGGGGAATGGGATTGCGACTGGGTTGCTTGTGAGCGCTGGGATTGAGACAGGGACCGCAGCAGCAGCAGGAGCAGTGCCTTTCTTCACGCTGGTGGCGCTGGGAGCGGTCTCCTGCCGCTGCTGTTCCGTATGGGAATCCGCAGCGGGCGAGAAGAACCTGTCCATGAGAAGCCGCGGGACGCGACGGAATCGAATCTGGCCGACCATGCCCACAATCCGCTCGCCCTGCAGAATGTACACGTCACCTGCGTACATGTTGGCCTCCTCCGGCAATGGGAACATGCGCACGTAGCTGCGATATTTGCCGCCGGCCTTCAGCGGGTTCAGCAGACGGAAGCTGGAGCATCCGGGCGTGACGTAGAAGTAATCCCTGGTATTGGACGCATCGCTGCCATTCATGACCAGGCCGGCCAGGTGCGAGACACTGTCAATCCAGTGTGGCGGCGTGTGCCAGGTACCGTGCCGCTCAGCGACGAGCGTCACCTCCGCGACGGCCTCGTGCTCGTGCAGCACCACCTGATCCATCCCCCGATACCGGTCTGCGTAGTCGACGACGTTCTTGAAGAGCGCATAGGCCAGCGGCTTGGAGAGCTTGCTCGCCTTGCCTTCTGCGGCGCGCTGCTCTAGCGCCTCAATGCGGCCTCGGACCAGGTGGGAGATCCGGTCCCACTCCCTGGTCCACGCGGCCGGGTCTTCGAACCGGACCACGCCTGTAGCGAAGTGTTCGGCGGCGCACTCGCCCGTCTCGGCGCTCGCGTTGAACCAGGCAAGTGACATGGAGCTAGTGGACAGGTCCAGGTGTGCCTTGAGCACAAGCGGCTGGACGCTTCCTTTCTTCTCGAGGGCGACCTGGGCGTGCAGGACTTCGACGTCTGAAAGGTTCATGTGCACATCTTTGACCGTGGGAACGAGTCGGCGGTAGAGGTATTCACCAACAGTGAAGGCCATGTCAGACCAGATAGACTGTACAGAAAGTTAGCCACATGATATCTTGCAGGCATATATACAGACGGAAAATATAAGACAAAAAATTCAGAATAAAATGACATACCGAAGTTGCAACGCCGCAGTTATTCATCCTATGACCATGAAGAGCCTCCAGGAAATCAGGATGTTGCATGTCAGAGAGGACATGGAGGGTGGCCGTTGTCGCCTCGACCGTCTCAGCGGTGATCTGGTGAACCAACGAGGTGCGGAGCGCTGAAGGGCGCGACAGGGACAGAGACAGAGGGGCTTTCTTTTGCCCGTACTTGAGCAGTGCCTTGTCCAACGTCCATGTTCCAATGTACGGAATCCAGTAGTCAGTCTCATTCCAGCTGTAGGTGGGCAATTTCAGCAGCGAGTACGCCCGCTCGCGGGGCCGGAAGTATTCCGCCCAGCAAGGCGTGTGCCCTGCTAGGTGAAGGGTGACCAGGCTCTTGGACATGGTCGCCAGGTTGTCTTCGTTGCGCCGGCATGAGGAGATCACGGATGCGGAGCTGTCGATGCCACGCACAAGGCCAGCGCAAATGGGGTGCGGCCCGACATCGATCCAGATCGTCTTGGCGTCTACCAGGCCGAAGTCCTGAGCGGCTTCAATGGCCGCGACAAAATCCACTGCCTCGCGGGTCGCACGGCGCAGGTACTGTGCGTTGATGGACTTGCGGTCGAACACAACGCTTCCCAGCAGGGGGACAGCACGGGGATGCTGGGAGCCTTGAACGCGATGGGCGTCGCCAACGCCTCCAGCGAGTCCAAGATGGGGTCCATTTGTGCGGTGTGGAAGGCGAATGGCACATCCAGCTGCGTGCATTTGATGCTGTTTGCCTCAAGGGCCTGGCGGATCCTATTGATATCCTCTTTAGTGCCGCCGATGACGGTATCTTGTGGAGTGTTGCGACAGCACACTTCGTAGGCTATTTCAGCAGTCTCGGGGCTGCCTGCAGTAAGCTCTTCAATATCATCCTCGGACGCGCGAACGGACAGCATCGACTGGCTGCCTGGAGTGCATCGTTCTTCGGTCAGCTGCGCGCGCCGTCCAACGAGGTAAAGAGCGTCCGCAGCTGAGATGACGCCGGCAACAGCGAATGCAGCGTATTCACCAAGACTGTGCCCCACGACAGCGCTAATGCGAATGCCTAGGTGCGACCAGAAGCGTGCCATGGCAATTTCCAGCACCACAACACTAAGCTGTGTAAGAACGGGCGACGCGGCCCCATCGTCAATGCTACCGTCGATGACGGGGACAACGGACGGGAATCCCAGCCGCTGTGCAATCTGGTCAAGCTGGAGCACCTGCGTACGGAAATAGGGAAACTCGGCGAAGAGCTCCCGGCCCATGCCGCGGTAGTAGGCGCCCTGGCCAGTGAAGGTCAGCACCACGGACGGCGCGTCGTTCGGGATGGCCCGCAGCTCGGCAGACGCCTTGGGATTGTCCAGCCAGGAGCGGAGAGTCTTCTCTAGAGCCGCGATGTTGGAGGCTGCGGCCCCAAACCGCATGCTGTGGTGCATCCGCCGCGCGCAGAGAGTGTATGAAAGGTCCGCAAGGTCTGCGTCGGGGTTCTGATCCAGCCACGACAGCAGTTTCTCGATATTGGCCTGCAGAGACTTCTTGCTCTTTGCGGAGATGACTACCGGATGAGCTGTGCGGTCGTCCTCAGTTGAAGGCTTCACTCTCTCCGGGGCGTCTTCCAGGAGTACGGTGGTGTTGCCGCCGTGCGCTCCAAACGAGTTCACGACCGCAAGACGCTTTTTGCCAGCAGGCCGTGGCCAAGGGGTGTTCGCCATGGCCAAACCCACGTGGCGTCGATCGAGGTCCTTGGGAATGATCGGGTTGATCTCGGTTTTGATGCCGATGTGCTTGGGAATCATGTTCTTTTGGTACACCAGGAGCGCCTTAAGCAGGGAAGCGATGCCCGCCGCTGCCTCACCATGCCCGATGTTACTCTTCACTGCACCCAGATACAGACGCTGATCGGGTCGACGGCGAGGCATAGAGGGCGCAAAGACATCGGACACCGATTCGGACTCCACCGCATCACCGGCCTGGGTGCCAGTGCCATGAAGCTCGACATAGCTCACATCCAGGGGGTTGACGCCCGCCTGGTGCAGCACCTGGCGGTAATTGTCCTTTTGCGCGCCAGCATGAGGGTGTGTGATCGAGACAGCCTCAGCGGAATGGTTCGTGCGAGCACCCAGAACCACAGCCAGGATGTTGTCGTTGTCCGCCTCGGCATCTTCTAGCCGCTTGATGACGACCGACCCTACTCCATCTGCGCGGCAATACCCGTCGGCGTCCTTGTCCCAAACCTTGCATTGTCCCGTCTTGGAGAGGAAGTGGCCGTTCCCAAGACCGGCGTAGTTGTCCGGGTCGGTGATGACGTTCAGCCCCCAGCAATGACCGTATCGGCCTCTCCGGACCACAGTGCCGAGCACGCTGCCTGCACTGCCGCCAGGCCACTCGAACAGGCAGTGTCAATGTTGAACGAAGGGCCGGAAAACTTGAAGAAGTAGTTGATTCGCCCATTGGCAAAGGCGCGCTCGCCACCAGGCACCGCATACGTGCTGATGTTCTGGGAGGCGTTCAGCTCCCGCCAGTCGTCGCTCGCTTGTCCGTAGAATGTGCCGATGCGGTTTGGCTGGGTAGACGGGGTGCGGCCGGGGACAAGGCCTGCCATTTCCATGGCCTCGTATGCGGTGACAAGGGCAAGCCGGTGCATGGGGTCCGTTTGCTCGGCCTAGTTCATTGTTAGTATCGTTGCAAGGAGGAAGACCGGGGTTTGGTAGATGAGTTTTACCTCACGCGGGGACATATTGAAGAACCCGGCATCAAAGTAGCCTGGCCGATCAATGAAATTTCCAAACGGAGTCTGAGTGGCATTCTCCGTCTTTCCTGTAGGGTCATAATGTGTGTTCAGGTCGAATCGGTCCGGCGGCACTGTAGTGAGGGTATCGCGTCCCTGCTCAAGCAGCTCCCAAAACAGCTCGGGGTCATTGGCGCCTCCGGGTAGCCGGCAAGCCATACCAACGATGGCGAGCTTTGAGGCCGCGTAGGAAGAGGGGCGGCGGGCACCATAGTCTCCGTATACCCAGGACACCAAATCGCGCCGGACCCGCCCCAGCGCGGGGAAGTCGGTCTCGATGGCTGTCAGGATTCCATTCAGGACCTGTGACATGCGGAATGAGTCTATCCGATAGCTTCCGGTCGGTTCCTTAAGCTTGACGTGCTCAAGGATACCGGCCGTAACGTTGTCCACGTAGATCGTGCCGGTCAGCAGCTCGGTGCCAATCTCCAGGAAGAGCTCACCGGCTGTCTTGGCCACGAACGGTTTGCCGGTCTGGGAGGAGATCAAGGGGAGTCGCACAGGCCGGGAGCTTGGGATCACAGACTTGGCGCTGTTTATAACAATCTCGATATCGTCGAGACTGTATAGATGCGGTGCGTGACAGAGACCGTCGTACACGGGCAGCGCGAAGGACTTGGAGTATCGCAAGCTGGGCGAGTGTTGGAAGGCGGCTTTGACGCGTGACGGTGGCCCACTCACACTTACGGACGTCTTGTCCGCAGCGCTGACAAAGACCTTGGTGAGCTCCGGGTTCTGCGTGACTGCATTGAACTGAGAAAGCTCCTCTTGAACTGCTTCGTGCGACATCCCCGTGACGACGTGCGCCCAACTCTGAAGCGTTCCATCCGACTGGGGCGCTTCGAGCTTCGTCGAGATGTCGGCAACATACACCCCCAGGCGGAAGGAGACGCGAACGCTTTCGGCTCCAACCTTGGCTACATCTGCCAAGCTGCTGGATAGAGACACGGCAGCGCCGGCGAGGATGCCGATGCTCAGGCCCGCGAGAATGGTCTCGGATGGATCTAGGTCCCATTCGATATCCTCAGCTTCATAGTTCCTAGACAGTTTCCTTAGGTCAATATAAAGTCCAAGAGTCACAGGAGGAGTAAAAATAAATACCCGATGAGCATGCCAAGTTCGAGTATCGTAAGTAACGCACTCTCCATAGCAGCCCCTAGAGCGCCCTGGCGAAAGTCGACCTCGGCCAGCGTGCAGGCCGTGTTGAAGTGAGGCACTAGTTCCTGGAGCTGTTGAGGCAGGTTGGCCACCTCCTCTTTGAGAATAGCCGTGGATTCATCGAGAAAGACCGACAGCAGCCTGAACCGCCGGTCCTTGCTGTGTTGGTGCAATCGCCGGAACAAGTCCTTCAGGTCATCGCTAGGGAATTCATTCCCGAACCATACTGTCTGTGCACGAGGTGTCGCCATGATTGTTATTCGAACGAGGTTGATGTTGAGTGCCGATCAATGCTCTTCTGCAGGATATCGTGAGCCAGATATGGTCGGATTTACGGCCCCTTGAGGCACAATAATAACTAACCTGCAAATAGGCATCCTCCCACGTGTGCTACACTCGACTCGGTTAAATCCGAAATATGCAAAATCCGAGACATTGTAAAAGGCGCAACAAACGCTATTTTCCTGATCCCTAGAATCCGCCTCGTATTGCCCACGATGAACCCGCAAAGGCCGAACAATATCCGGAAAACGGCGCACTTATGCCAAAATCCGACATCGATAAGGAATAATATAATCCGGCGAAGGCTCAAATCCAAAAACCCTGTAGGCCCACAGATACTACTTCTTGCAACAGAGCTTACTTGGAGACCGAGAGCGCTTAAAGCGATCAATTCAAGGCAGAGTTCGTCATCCACCGGGGTCATACATATCCTCAGAGAGTTACCCAGCATGTCTCCTCTTCCGCTAAATGGCAAAAGCCGTGGCGCATCCCCAGGTTACACCGAACCACTGCCCATTTTCGATGCCCTTTGCCGTTCCCTCCCTGTGGGGACTGAGGACGAGCAGTTCTGGTGGAAGCTGACGGGCCGACACCTTGCCCGGATGATGCTCGAGGCGGGCTATCCCGAGCATCGCCAGGTGGAATGCCTACTCTTCCATCGCTTCAAGATAGTGCCAACCTTCGGTCCTCAGCCCCACTCTGCCGACCCGTGGTACAGGAGCCGGGTGGCTGCGAGTGCGGGAGACGGTGCTCCCATCAGCTACAGCTGGCGTTTTGGCACGGCGGACAGAAAGCCCTATATCCGCAACTATATCGAGCCTCTGGGCCCTCTGACGGGGACTGCGGCCGACCCGAATAATGAGACCGCGACCAGGGCGTTTCTGCAAGACCTCACCACCACCCTGCCGAATCTCGATCTGTCGCTCTTCTGGACGTTTGAGCCCCATCTTGTTTCGCGGTTTTCCGACAAAGCGGACCGGGAGAAGTACGCGGGTCCGTCGGTGCTGACTGGCGTGGAGCTTTCGCCCGAGTCGGACGCCATCGAGATCAAGATGTACCTGTATCCTCGGATACCCGAACAGATCAGCCAGCTCCTCAGCACTATCATTCCAAAGGCGATGCGTGAGGCCTACGGCGAAGACGTGTGTCTCGACAGTCTGAATCTCGTGAAAGACTTTCTGACCAACCACCCCGACGGGCGCCAGCTTAGTCCTCGTGGAACAACCGGCATTGACTGCTGCAAGGTGCAAGACTCGAGGGTGAAATTCTACGTCGCGACGAACAACACTTCCTTCGATCACATTGCCACCGTCATGACCATCGGAGGCCACCGGCCCTTGTCGAAGGAGGTCCTCGACAAGCTGCGGGAGCTGTGGTATGAGCTGAACGGACTGCCGTCTGATTTCCCCACGTCAGAGCAGGTGCCAACTGGCCAGGCGGAGGAGGGCCCATCGGGCCACCATGGTGTAGGCTTCTATTACGATATCCAGCCGCGTCTTGCCCTCCCCGATGTCAAAGCGTTCATCAACGTGCGCAAGCATGCCAAGAGTGATCTGGCTGCAGCGGAGACAGTGATTGGCTTCCTGGAGCGTCACGGCCAGGGCCACCATAATCCAAGGGCTTACCTGAACGTCCTCCGGGACATCGTGCCGGCTGAGGAGCTAGAGACGCGCGTGGGTGCCCAAGCCTTCTACTCGGTTGCAGTCAAGAAGGAGGAGCTAGACATCACCGCATACTTCATTCCGCAGGTTTATCGACGCTTTGCTTCCGTCCAGGTGGAGTTGAATGGACAGCGACGGAGTAGATTTGAGTAAGCCAGCAACAGCTGGTGGATCGTTAGCGTATTCAGACGTATTTAGTGCATCCAGGCTTGGCCAGAGCGCCGTTGTTGTTGTTGATGACCTTTCTTATATAGCAAGCACTCTAGCACTCTCAGCACGTTGATCCCGTCAGCTATACTTGCCAACCTATGTTAACGAGTCTCATGTTGGATCTGTCAGTGAACCATCCCACCACAGCAAAGGCGCTGTTTCCTAAAATTGCGTGTTTTTCGTTTGTAGTCCACTCTGGTATCTATTAGAACACAAATGTGTATGACAGAGTAGTGAGGCAGCTCAGAGTATACGGACCAGCCGCGCAGATACCAATACTCTTAGTGGCTATTGGAAATAAACCGTAACTCACCACCCTGTATCCAGAAAGGCTTGACTTGGGGCAGTACTACAAACCACGCCTACTGTGGACCACCACGGCCTCAGCAATTTGCTGAACTCGCAGCGGTTCAAATTCGGTGCCTACCCTAGGGAATTACACTGGTTTTGGTTTTCCCTAGGACGGAACCAATTCAGATTTGTATAAAATTGTTGGTTATGGTTTTTGTAGGTTTATTGGATTAGGTGAATCTGCCTAATCCATTTAGCTTAGTAGGTACTAATTTCTAGGATTTCTCTAGATATTTATCACTAGATAGCCTAGTATCTAGACTATCTAAACATAAGGTATTGATTCAAAAATATCTAGTGGTTGGTGAGACATAAGAGAGTAATCGTTTCTGTCATAGATTAGTATACAGTAGTGGTTTATATATAGGAATCGTCGCAGGTGCATTTCTAACAGAGTCATGAGATACCAAATTACTAGCCCTTCATCTGCTTAAACCTCTCCACTACCAGCCTATAACTTCCCGTTTCCAACTCCTCCACCAAACTCGGCCCGACGGCTTCCACCCAACTTCTCGACAGCCTTCCCATTCGAAGCCCGAATCATCAGCCCAAAGAACCTCGACAGGAATTCCCCCACCTCTCCTCCGCCTCCTCCCTCTCGAATGCCCTAACTGGGACCCCAACCGCCCTCCCAATCGCTTCGGCCAGCATCTCATACGTCGTATCCCAGTCGGCCGTCCCATGAAATATCTCTCCGGCTTGAACCGTCTTATCCGACGCCAGCAGCAAGAACAACGACGCTGCATCGTCCACGTACACACTGGTCACGCACCCATTTTTTACAGACGCAATATACCCGCTCACCCCATTATCAACAGCCATATTGACCATTCTTGCCGCGAACCCCGTCTCGTTCGCCCGGCCATACACATACGGCGGGAGGCGGACAACATTAACCCGGACGCCCCTCTCGGCCCACGACAGCGCATGCTCCTCGCAAACATGCCGCCTGACCCTGGTGTTTTCGGCATAGGGCGCCGATTCGTTGACGACGGTGTCGCCTGTGTCGGGGCGCACGGTGAGAATTCCACTGGCGGCGATGAGGGGTTTGGAGGTCCCGACTAGCGGGGCGGCGAGGGCATCGACGGCCTCGGTGTCGAGCTTGATGATTTGGTCGTAGGATTTTCCGAAGTCGTGGTCGAAGGCGAGGTGGAAGATGGCGTCTGCTTTTGCAGATTGTTCGCGGAGGCTGTTGTGTGTGGCTAGGTCACCGCGGATGGGGACGGCCCCGAGGGAGGTGAGAAGCTCGTCGCCTTGGGGGCTGCGGGAGAGGCCGTGAACCGTGTGGCCTTGTTGGATGGCGAGTTCGGTGATGACGCGGCCGATGAAGCCAGTTGCGCCGGTTATGAAGATGTGCATTGTGTACTGTGTGGGGGTGAGCGATAGCTTGGGCGGTATTCTTGGTTGGCGATCTGGATGACGGGGCCTCAGCCGCGCTATATACCGAGACGGATTTTGGGACATCGGACTTAGGGGTTTAGCTTGATGCGGACAGAGGATTACTTGGAGACTGCACTCAAGGACGTCGACACTGTCCTCAGTCTCATACTCATACGCGGCCCAGAAACCATCACCTACCAGCTCAACTTTCTCGACGCTGCCCTAGAGGCGGCCTATTGGCGGTTTGTACTGAGTGATTTTGCCCTCCGCGAGCAGGCAGAGGCGCAGGTTGACATGCTAGTGCTGAAGATGTGGTCCGGGAGGCAGTCAAGGCAAAGGTCGATAAAGGACTAATGAATACAGAGCGTTTCCCGTGCGGCATGTTGATCAATTTACCTGGAGATCGGGGTCAGAGGTGAGGAAGGGAAGGAGGCACATGCTGGGTTTGAATGAGGGGAGTGTTCCTCGGGCACTTAGATGCTGAGCTGGGGTATAAAGTTGTCCCCGTGAAATTCAAGAATAATATAATTCTGAGGATAAAATTAAAGCGTTTAGTTTTGAGGATATTAATTAAAAAGGGGTCAGTTTTTAAGGGATTAATCGAGGTAGGAGATAATTAAGTAATCCTCTCCAAGAAAATCTTAAAATCCACTAACTTTGAGTAATAATTGTGAGAGAAACTAAGAGAGATATTTAACAATCCAACTTAATACCAAGAGTAAAGAATTCCTATTCTAAAAAGTCTGCGGAACCTTGAGGTGTGCCAACATTATTAGAGGTCTTAGTCTAGGCAGCATCGAAGTCTGGGAGGCGGACAGCGGGAGTGGCTTCTACAATGAGATGCAGCGAGTCTTGAGGAATGTAGCCAATTATTGCATCGCCGCCACCACCGAGGCCGCCAAGCTTGGTGACGACCTTGGGGACGATTGCAAGACAAAGATACAGGCGGAGGCTGGTATTAATGCTAATAATTAGTAGCATACTAAATGTTAGGAAAGAATGACTCCTAAGGGAGGGAAGCCTCTAGGTTGACTGTAAGCCGTGTCGCGAAGAACATCAAAGCTGATTTAGATCCGCGCTTCTGGGGAATTGGAATACCAGCAGGCAGTCATTGGACACAGGACAGCCATCCCCTGGATCCCCGGAAACTATCATGGCTAGTTGCTTGAGCGAGTTCATGTGGGGTACTGGATAAAGCGGAGTTCGACTTGGGACTGCCGGGGCCCTTAGGGGACAATGTTCAAGATGTCGTAGAGTGCAGTTTGTATTTCACCTAAACCTAAGGAGACAATAAATCACAAAATCTACGGATCATACTGACTACAGTGCTATGTGCGTAGCTAAGGTTGAGGCGAGTCATTAATGGAGCTACCATCCAGATGTCCCTACTTCCTGGACGACGTTGGATCAATAGTACTGCCAGGCTGCCGTTACTAGTCCAAGACTGAATATAGTTGGTCTATTATCTTGGTCTATTTGGCTGAACGAGAGTCTTTAGTATACAGCAAAAATGAATGAAAAAAGACTAGCGCCGCAGTAGAACGTGCTTTCATCAAGAGAACAAATCTGGACAATTGGTAGCGCTAACTGTCATTGGACCTCGCGCTTACAGGGCAGCGAGAGCGAGGCAGGTTGCAACGACAGCGCCGAAGATGGAGCCCGAGAGACCGCTGGCAGCGTTGCTGAGGATGTTAGAAGACGAAGGAGAGGAGGAGCTGCCGGTGGAGGAAGAGGACTGGCCGGAGGCACCGGAGGCACCGGAGGCACCGGAGCCAGAGGAGCCGGAAGAGCCAGAGGAAGAGGAGCCAGAAGAGGAACCGGAGATGGCGCTGCTAGAGGGACGGGCCGACGAGGTAGAGTTCCAAAAGCCGGTCCCGTTGTAGGAGCCACCGGGTGCCTTGCCAACGGTGAAGGTGGGCTTAGCAGAGCCAGCCGAGCCGGAGGAAGCGGCAGCGGTAGCGAAACCAGCGGCCTTGCCGACGGCCACGGAGGAGGCCGAGGGCCAGCGGTGGAGGAAGCGGCAGCGGAGGAAGAAGCGGAGCAGGACAGGTCAAAGAGAGGAGTGGTGCTCAGAGTGCTGCCGACGATACCGAAGCTGGGGTTGGGGGTCACCGGGTTGGCATCCTGCAGGATGTACCACCAGGTGTTCGTCTTGCCGAACAGGGGGCATCCCACCTCGTCCCAGTAGGTCTTGGCGTTGGCGAGGTTGGCAACGGCAAGGTTCTCGGTCTTGCCGCTGACGGGCCAGCCAGTCTCAGTAATCCAGACCTCCTTGCCCTTGGCGACAGCCTCGGTCTTGGCCACAGCTTCGTCGAACAGAGCCTTGGCATCGGAGATGGAGTTGGCCATGGTGTTCTGGAAGTACGGGTAGCCATCGAAACCCAGCCAGTCGCAGGCATCAATGACAGCCGAGTTGGAACCATTGACCCAGGCGGTCCAGGTATCGACGTGGCCGATGGGGGCACCGCTCAGCTTGGTGCCGGCAATGGTGGAACGGACCTGGTTGATGTACGAGACGATCTCATCCGGGTTGGCGCCGAGGCCAGCATTGGCCTTGACCCCGTCGACCGAGTTACGGTACAGATCCTCACTGCCGACAGAAATACCGACGACCAGGTTGGCCAAATCATCTCCGTAATCGGCAATGGCGGTCTTGAGGGCAGCGATTTCGTTGGCGAAGTTTCCACCGGAAGCCCACAGGCCAAGCAGAAGGGAGGTTTCCTCGGCGACGGCGGCAGGGATAGCAGCAATGGGGGTGTTGGCGGTGCCTCCTTGCTGGTTGGAGGGTCAGTCTCTTCTTAAAAAGGTCATGACGCATAGAAAAATGCATGGCAACTCACAATCATGGTGTACAAGCGGGCACTGGTGAAGCCGGAAGTGCCCACCAGGTTCTTGGCTGTCGAGAATTCGGACTGGAAGTCAGACTGGGACTTGGCGCTGCCATCGGACTTGGTATTGCCATAGTTGAAGCCTTGGTGAGCGGCCTCGGAGGTAGCGAGCGCCAGAGCAAGCGCAACGAGCTGTGTGAATTGCATCTTGTTGAAGGTTCTGAAAACGAAAGTGTGTAGAAAAGAAAGGTGCAGACGTTGATTAAAGAACGTAAGTTATGTCAAAGTCAATAAAGAAGGATGAACTTAGAGGGAGAGAACGAATGAATTGAACATTGGATGTCAAAGACTAAGACCAAGTTCCAGTTGAATACAACAAAAGCAGATGAGAAGAAGAGAGATAGATGATAATAGAGGGAAATGGACAGCAGAAGAAGAGTCAGTCAGTCCATAAATAACGAAGCAGGTCTAGACTCTGGGCCGGTTGGACCTGTCCATCTGGTAGCATCTGGTCCAAGTGGGCCGGGGACACGTTGGCTCCCATCGGTCAGGGCTTGTCCCGGAACTAGAATAACACTATTAAGTTATGAACACTAAAGATAGCATTGCCGGATCGGAAATGCATGGATTTGATTGCTCCGAATACAATAATGTGTCGCCGCCTGGTGGATAGGGTATTAAAAAATCAGAGAAGAACCATGGAAAGGGACAAAATCCTGAAGAAGAGGGACCTACTGGAGTAATTCCCTCAGTCTCCAATAATGGATGGGAGGAGGCAGTGGCGGAGAGGACTACCAATCAGCACAGATGTGGCAAATGGGAGATGTTATGCAAACAGTTTAGTGCAGTGGATATTGTAGCCACCAGTGGGGCTTTTATATGGCCCTGCAAATGAAATTGGGCCCGGTTGTCTTGCAATCTTCCCTGTCCTGCCTTGGACGCTACGACTAAGCCAAATCAATAGTCCCTCCAAGTCGCTGTCAAGTCCAAATGAAGGCATTTAAAAATAGCAATACTCACTCCGGAGTAGGATGATCTGTCATCGTAGATTTAGCATCAAATCTAGAAGTAGAATGATTACATGCCTTGGGAGCCCCTGATTATCCTGCACGGGTCGGGTACCTGAATAACTGACATCAGGAGCGATTGAAGACAGTGTGGCACTGTCCAGTAATATTACGCCAAAGTATCTCTCTACTCCATATGATCTCTTGCGGACAGCCGAAAGCAGGTTTCTCCTGTCTTCGTACTTTTATTCTCAAGGCATCTAGGGAGCAGAAAGAAGCGCTTTCGCTCCTTTGTGGTCCTGAATCTCCTCCTGGATGAAAGAAACCTTACATTACAACCTTCTCGTTAGGTACATTCCATGTTGAGCTTTCATACTTTGCTCTGCAACATGCCTGGATTAAGCTTAAGTTTAATGTGAAAATATCCTGATGCCGTATACTCCTCCATTTTTCCTGGTCTAATGGAGACACATGTGTTCATTGTCTACCGGACAAGCCTATGTTGCTGTTCCTGTTAGATTAAGGGTATCTCCGTTTAAGGCAACAAGGCGACGAGATATATTTCCGCAAGCGTAGGTTGGTAACGTGCCAGCCAATAAGACGACAATCTCAGGGGGATAACCCAACATTTGAATCTAATAGTACTATTGTTTGACTGCGAAATTGTTTTCAAGATCTTTTGGCATGAGAGTTTTTACTAAAGATTAGCCATGCTCATGCGTCACTCCTCTGGGTGGTAATCACGTGACATGAATCACATGCCTGGGCTCATTCTCCTGCCTCTGTTTCATAGTCTCTTGACCCATTTCGCAGCTCTTGTGGAAATAAAGCGCCTAGTCTCAATGGACGGGGATTACTTTGCTGTTTCCCCCCTGCAGGGGAAGCCCAGATCAGTCGGCAGTCCCAGATCAAAAGAAGCAAGCATTTCATTTCGTCTGTTCAGCGTGGCTTTCCCCCCAGTAAATCAAAATCGACAGGACTTGATATTCACCGGTTTGACAGTCTATAACCATCTCAAACCTCCAACCGGATCTACCTACCATAAAGTGAACGATAAAGATACCAGAATATCAAACAATGATAATCAGCGACTCTCACTTGAACCAATATCCCGTCAGTCCCTCAATCGTCCTCTTGCCGACATTGTGGTGCCGGTTCTCCTCCCAGACCTTGCCTCCCTCTCCAAACTGATTGGATAAATGGCCCAGGAAAAAGTCCAAATTTTGTTGGCACTGAGGAAAGGCATTCTTAAAAATGTCATAGAGATCCTGGACCTGTGGTTTGGTCGGTGCATAGGTGACCTTTTCTGCAAAGAGATCCAAGTATTTCTGCGTGTGCGCAATGTCTGCTTTGGCATCCAACTCCCAACCAGGCTCTAAATGTCCTGGAATGACCTTGACGGGCTGTAGAGCAGAAATGAGCGTGATGGTCTTCTTCCATGCGTCCAGCAAAGCAGGGGTTTCCACCTCTTCCACCCTTGTGTCAAAGAGGAAAGTCAGTAGTTGACGGCGAAATCGGAGGTATTACAGCCTCACCAGACATGTGTGCTTCGACCATAGATAGTATCGCCACAGACGACCGTCTTTTCAATCGGCAGCCAGAAGATGGTGTGGTCAACACTATCTCCTTGCAAGGGCCCCAGCAGCACCACAGGGCTTTCGGGGTTGCCATTCAGCAAGAAGAAACCGAAATTGAATACCTCCGGCTTCCTGGGCGCTTCGGGAACATTTTCCGACCCAAAGATAGTAGGCCAATACTTGACCTTGTCGTCATATTCGCGGTTGATACCCTCTAGGACATAAGAGGCGGCATAGAATTTGGCCGAGGGGAACGCATCCAGAATAGGATTTGCAGAAAAGAAATGGTCCGGGTGATGATGCGTGACAAAGACGGCTTTAAGGGGATTTACGGTGGTTTCTTTGATCCAGCGTACGACGGATAAAGCATCAGGGATCAGGAAGGGCGGGTCTATGAGGATAGACTCCGACGCCCCGACGATCAAGGTAGTGATGCTTGACAGGCCTTTGACGGACGAGGCGTGATGATAGGTTTGTAGAGGCATGATGGATTGAATGAGACTCTAGTGGGTGGTGACCTTTGCGAATATGGTCTTGCGGGAATGAAAGAGGGGTTAATCTATCTCAATCAAACCCTTGCGGCCTACCATCCTCCTCCTGCTGGGTCGTATATCTAGTAGCCTGTGCATGTTTCCCCTCAATTTTTTAGCTCCGCTTATGCCGACCATCATCTGCCGACATCATCGGAAATCTCCCAGTACGTGCATGTGGAATCATCAAATCTCAGCTTTAGATCGGGGAGGATCAATTCTGCCTGTGTGTGAGACGCGGACATCGCCGGTAAACCCCCGAATCAGGATTGTGAAAATTTATTTTATCAAGTCTTTCTTATACGATGTCATATAGTATTTTTGCGGGGGCGATCGTAGTCGATCAAGTGGATCATGTATCGAATCCGGGGGATTCCCGTTCTGCCTAGGTTGGATCCGAGGAGGAGATAATGGTGTCAGACGTATTCATCATCCCCCTGATAAGGGAGGGACATGTGGATGATCCCATTGCGTATATATCTACCCACTTTACTTTTCGAGATCGTCGGATATACCATATAGAGGTCGTCCATCATGGCTCAATTTCATCCCACCATTACGCCCGAGTCTTTGAAGGACAAAGTTATTGTTGTGACGGGTCAGTCGTGTATCTATTAGTTATCCTCAACGTCCGTGGCTCACTAAGCAATAGGCGGCGCCAACGGAATCGGAGCGAGTCTAGTAGAATACTGCTGCCAGCAAGGAGCGTATGTTTGTTTCGGCGATGTTGCTGAGGGTGCGGGAAATCAGATCGCTCAGTCGCTCTGCTCGTCCGGCTCATCCTCATCCCCACGAGCCACCTTCCAGCACACCGATGTCACCAGCTACCAATCCGTACTCGTTCTTTTTGACCTGGCCCTCAGGACATATGGTCGCATTGATCATGCCGTTGCCTGTGCTGGTATCATGGAGATTGGCAACTTGTTCGACCCCGCCTTGACACTGGAGACAGTTCGCGAGGTGCGTTACTAGACTCTACGTATTGAGCTTTTCAAGATATTGATGACGAATAGGCGCCCACAACCAAAGTCCTCGATGTCAATCTGACCGGTTGTCTCTATGTTGCTCGCATCGCCAGCGTGTACCTGCGGCAGAACCGCCCGGAAAATGCAGACCGGTCCATTACCCTCGTCTCCTCAGTCGCTGGATTCAAGGAATCTCCCGGCATGTTTGTTTACCAAGCTTCCAAACATGGAGTGCTCGGGTTGATGCGTTCACTGCGTTTGTACCTATCTTCTCCAACCCATCGCATCCGAGTCAACGCCATCTGCCCATGGATGACGACCACGGCCATGGTCAAGGGTGTGCAAGAAGCCTGGATGAAGGCAAAATTGCCGTGCAACACCCCCGCTGACGTTGCCCACATCATGGCCGGCGTCCTGGCAGATTCATCGCTCAATGGCAAGTCCATGTACGTCGAAGGAGGGCGAGGATGGGAGATTGAAGCGAACATTGATCGATTAGAACCCCAGTGGTTGGGTGAAGAACCGTCGCGATCTCTGACGCAGGGACAAGCAGTCCTCGGCAGTGGCATGGACTGGGCCCAATAGCAAATTGGATTGTATCTATTGCGAGACAAATCAGAATATTCCATCGTTTGTATATGCCACTGGAAGGAACATCCCAATGGAGTCATCATATCCGGATGATCGGCAATGGATATGAGTTTAGCCGGTCGACATGAATTTGCTCCGATGATTGGGACTCCTGTCTATGCTCATGTGTATGCTCCTCTCCATTTTGCTGTCTCTCAGTTGAAACTGATTCTCCTCTGTGGTCTCTCCACATTAATTCATATACCAACCAAACCACCTGTCATGGATCGAAAGCCACCGACTCCTCGGCTACTCTGGATAACCCACCATCCTGCTGTTGATTTGGAGCTGCTGGACGACAGCAATTCTGGCGATGTTGGCCATCAAGGAGATCCTATCTCTGCGCATGGGGGCACCATGTGGTGAGCTACCTCTTGATCGCTATACCTTATATCCACTACTGAAGCAAAATAATCACCCAGGAAGCATGTAGATAGTGGTGTGTTGACTTGGTTGCTGCATCGACCCTACTTCACGACTAGTGATAGTTAATAAGGCCAATTACATCACAGCAGCAAGCCTGTTAATCTCTGAAGGATTTCTTATTGGTGACAGCGAGCTGCATTATGCTATACCGAGTAAAGCTCCTTCACCTTGGGCGTTAGCGTGAGCGTCAGCCAAAATATTTGGTCGGTCGTCTCCGACCTGGGATAATCACCCTAGGCTGGAAAAAGGAAGCCGCGGAAGGTCCAGTCCCAGCGAATAGCCATCTTTCTGGTACTGGTGTATCTGAGGAGAGAATAATCTCGAAGCTATACGTTGTAGTTATAATTAGCCTTCCATGTCAAGCTTTTTAACGGTCTTGCCGAAACCCATACAGCCTCTACTCCGGATATTCGTAGATAAGATGTGAACGAGGGCATAAGACACATTGTGCTCTCCTCGGCCAATCAGAAATGACCATCTCGGGTAGGATAAACGACGATCGACAAGGATGTTCCGCATAGGATATTTTCACGAGATGTGGATCCTCTAGGCAGATGCAAAATTCCCTCAAATCTCACTTCTGCTTTCAAGAGCCAAAGGCAACCAACAACTCGATCACAACAAGTCTTCTTGTCATTCGCACGCTGTCAGACCGAACATGAAGACTGTGGCTGGAGTATTGGTCATTGCTGTCAGCAGCCTGGGTCTAGGTGCTGATGCCGCCAAGCAAGCTCCACCAGCCCCCACGGGGAGCAGCTACCCCTCGGGCTTTGACATGACTCGGAGTTGGGCGAATCTGAGTCCATATCAGGAGGCAGACAGCTTTGGTGTGCCGAAAGGAATGCCGCACCGCTGTGAGCTGGCTCAAGTCCATGTGCTGCATCGCCATGCCGAACGCTACCCGACCCCGTATCCCTTGGACGGGCAGGGGATGGAGGACTTTGCCGCCAAATGGAGCAATTATACCAAGGGACATCATTACAAAGCGCCGGCCACGGGTCCATTGAGCTTTTTGAACGACTGGGAATACATTCTGGGAGAGGACACTCTCCTGGAAACCGGCGCAGCGACGGAGGCTACCGCAGGGGCCAGCTTCTGGGCCAACTACGGACGGCTACTGTACCGTGCTGGCCGGGAGAATGGAGCGGCCTGGAATGCCTCGTTGAATGTGTATCCAAACGGCACGGCACGTCCCAAGCCGGTCTTTCGCACGACCTCACAGCCGCGGATCCTGGAGAGTGCTCGATGGTGGCTGAGTATGTATTTCTTTGGATGAGTAGCAATGCATAGCTAATGGGTACCTCAAGGTGGATTCTTCGGCAATACCGGTGCCAACAGTTCTAATGACCAATATGACTTGGTCGTCATTCCAGAGGTATCCAATTTCAACAACACTCTGGCCTCGTACGACTCGTGTCCTGGAGATATGACCGAAGGGTAAGTGATGACCAAGGAGCTTTCTTGAGGTTTCTTGACAACAATGAGGCTAAGATGATTAGGGATGATTCTGCACAAGAATTCATTCCCCGCTATAGTCGGCAGGCCATCTCCCGTCTCTCCCGACACCTGCCCAAGGACTTTAACCTGACGGCTTTCGATGTGCTAGCGATGCAGAATATCTGCGTCTACGAGTACACCAGCCTTGGAGGTTCTTCTTTCTGCTCACTCTTCACCGAACAGGAGTGGAGGGATTTTGCCTATAATGTCGACGTGCAGTACTACGGGGACTATGCGTATGGCTCTCCCACAGGCCGTGCGCAGGGCATCGGCTATGTCCTTGAACTGGCGGCTCGACTGCAGGGCAAATTGATCTACTCAAGCGACACGAGCATCAATTTTACCTACGACTATAATCTGGCACAATTTCCCCTCGACCAGCCCTTCTACCTCGACATGTCGCATGACGATATCCTCCTGTCCGTCATCACCGCGTTGGGACTGCGCTATTTCAGATATGGGCCGCACGGCCTGCCAGGGAATGTCGACCACGCAGTCAACCGGACTTTTGCCATGAGCCAGATGACGCCCTTCGGAGCGCGTCTCATGTCGGAGGTCTGGACCTGTCCTCGTAATGCGTCATTTGACTCCCTTGCCCCGGTGCTATATCGTAACCCCCGTGTCGAGCGCAGTGTAGACACGACCAGGTTCATCCGCTTTGTTCTGAACGGAGCTCCCTTGCCGCTGGACGGGCTGGTAGGCTGTGAACAATCTCGCCATGGGTTCTGCCCCGTCGAGGGATTCCTGAGCGGTGTTCCGACGCTGAAGAAAGAGGCAGAATATCAAAAGGCCTGCTTCGGACATTATCCGACTGGGAGCCAGGTGGGTAATGGCGCTCCAGAATCTTGAGTTTCATTTATCCACGACGCCGTGTGACAGGGGTGCTGTATTGTATGATTGTATCCTGTGCTCAGTGATCCTTTATTATAATTCTTCTGCTTGTATGAGCTTAAGAGCCATTTTCATAGAGCAAGAGAATTCCACGTCGTACTGAGGAGTATAGTCTTGGCGTTTGACAATGTCTTAGGCCCTTAGCAGTCCTAACTCCTAAGTCTAGGCTCTTCAGGCTCTTCAGGGTCCAGAATACGCTAAAGCACTCCACTGTTTGGGCCTGAAACAGAGAACCCGCTTTGGCCGAAATGGGCTGATAGGCCGAGGCTAAAAAGAGTCATGCAGGACGGCTTGGTCCCTGAATCTCAGCGTGTAAAAAACAAATTTTCGGTGTGTATTGGTGGTGTTAAGGCTAAAATGGCTGGTAGTGCTTCATCGCAAATGGCTTCACAATGGCATTTATCCGAACGCAACCCCTCCTGCCTTTCCCTCCTCAGCCGAGAGCTTCAGCCTGTTGTCATTCTGCAGTGATATTCCCAACCCCATGATCATATATCTTCCAATTCAGCCGGATTTGCCTGCAGAATTCTGGACTCAGGGCCACATGCCCCTCAGCGGTACCCCGGATTAACTGGCGAATCCCTGATGGATGCGACAAAGTCAATCGAGACCCAAACACGTTAATTCCAATATAGCCGCTAGAGTAGCGTTTGTGTCAGGACGTCGCGATGTGGGGTTGGCCGGCATTTGCTCACTCCTCTTCTCCCGGTGACGCAAAGGTATAAAGAACCAGAGGCATCCTCGAGTACAGAATCCACCAAACACTCCATCGGACGATCATCTTTAGTCAAGCAACAATCTCTCCTTTGAACGTCATGGTTTCTTTCTCATACCTGCTGCTGGCGTGCTCCGCCATTGGAGCTCTGGCTACCCCGTCGAGTTCGAGGACAGCTCGTTCAACGAGACTGCGCTGCATGAGTTCGCTGAACGCGCCGGCACCCCAAGCTCTACCGGCTGGAACAATGGCTACTACTACTCCTTCTGGACCGATGGTGGCGGTGACGTGACCTACACCAATGGAGCCGGTGGCTCGTACTCGGTCAACTGGAAGAACGTGGGCAACTTTGTCGGCGGAAAGGGCTGGAACCCTGGAAGCGCTAGGTACAGAGCACCAACATCTGATTTTGAAGGCCTCTAACTGATAGAAACAGAACCATCAACTACGGAGGCAGCTTCAACCCCAGCGGCAATGGCTACCTGGCTGTCTACGGCTGGACTACCAACCCTTTGATTGAGTACTACGTTGTGGAGTCGTATGGCACATATAACCCCAGCAGCGGTGGTACCTACAAGGGCACTGTCACCACCGACGGTGGCACTTACAATATCTACACCGCCGTGCGCTACAATGCTCCCTCCATCGAAGGCACCAAGACCTTCACCCAGTACTGGTCGGTGCGCACCTCCAAGCGTGTCGGAGGCACTGTCACCATGGCCAACCACTTCAACGCCTGGAGCAGGCTGGGCATGAACCTTGGAACTCACAACTACCAGATCGTCGCCACTGAGGGTTACCAGAGTAGTGGATCTTCTTCCATCACTGTCTACTAGGAATACTACGCAAGAGTCTTGCCGAAGGAGGAAAGCGTTGAGGTACGGCTTCAATATTAAGAGGTGATAACTAAGCGGGCTGTGATGTTTTGCTGGATATGAAATGCATTTCTGCTTACACCCTCCTGGAAACCTGTCTTTGGAATTGAGGCACTATACTGAAGTCATCTGCAATGGTGCTTCATTTTTGGAAGTATAAGGAATGAGTGATCCAATGTTTTGAACAGTGAAAGACCTCTACCTGTGTACTTGTCAATCCCTGGCAAGTATCGTAGGAACAAAGGCTTCGTTTCGTTGTACACCCGGTCCGGGAGAATAAAAACGAACAGCTGTAGATAATCCGATCACTACTTGGACGCCTGGAGCTCTTCTCTCATGGCTTCAATCTCCCCACCAAAGTGATTCAGAAAATCTTCATTGCCCCTGGACGTCTCCCAGCCCAGCCGATTGCGAGCGAAATCGGCTCTTGCCCGGGAACTATTTCCGCATTAGTATGTTACGGGTTAGGTACTTGCTTGTGGTACATACTTGGATGCAAGAGTGATTTCCACGAGACTCTCATTGCCCCTAGTGATTTCTGCAGCTGCTTCCTCCATACTGATCGACTCGACGTTGCTATTGTCTACGAATCCCTGCTTGTGAAGAGCATCAGCAATACCCTGGCTAACCTGTAACCATGTATGCTCTCCACTCTCGACGAAGAAGATGGCCTTGGGGCCCGATGGAAGCCAGTTCGGTTGCTCTCGCACAGCCCGGAAGAGAAGGAGATAGAAGTTGGCCAGATCCAAGATATGGACATGGTTCCAGATCTATGACGAGTATGTCAGCCAGAATCTATCTATCATATACTGTATATCAAACCTACCCCAGCTCCACTTTCGATGACAGCAGCATGGCCTCGCTTTCGGGCAAGGCGCGCAAGATTGGGCACCTGTTGACTTAGAGTCGCAAATGGACCGGATCCTTTGCCATCTGTCGTTTGTCAGCATCAATTCACCTTGGTGCCATTGTACCGGCATTGAATATAGCATACAGATAGTGGGAGGGACGACGATATACGTCTTGACGCCAAGCCTCAATCCCGTCTCAACCACCGTGACATCGGTGACCCGTTGCCCGTAGCGCTCGGGGTGGTCCTTTTCCATTGCGTAGACGTCGTCCTTCTCGTCCGACCAGATCTTCTGATTCTGCGGCGTACCGGTATAGGGATGGTCTCCCAGGATTGACGTGCCAGAGGTCTACATTGTCGTTAGCTTTGCAATTGGGATTCGGAAGAACAAAACCTTACATGGATCATGTACGTATCTTTGCCAGTAGCTTTCTGCCTCTGGCTCAACCCTTCTATCAAGGCTTTGGCAGAGCTATCATGGGAGGCAGATGCGGCATTGATGACCACTAGAGCGATGTGTGAGTACAGGTCAAAGCATCAATGTAGAACCAGTCAATACCATCATGCTGGGAAGCAGCGTCTCTACACGCGTCAAGGTCATCCAGTCCTTTGAATTCCAGAGGCTTCACCCCGAGAGACTGGAGTCGGGCCGCCTGTTCTGGTCGACGGATCAAGGCTGAGATGCTCAATTCAGACGCCTCTGGGGATTGCAAGAGTTCAGTGAGGATTGAACCTCCACTGCATACCGTCAGTACTATACTGCGAGTGTTCCAGTTAGTTGCACCACTCACATGTATCCAGTCGCACCGACAATCAGAACGCTCTTCGCTGTAGTGGGAGACGCCATGACTACTACCAGAACGTACAGGCTTCAATCTCAAACGAGTCTGTCTGTTAGTTCGTCTATTTCGTCTACTTCATGACACCCATTTTATATTCTGTCGCAGAGTTGCAGCGGCGGACGTCCATTAGTAATTCCGCCGAGTTGTGACGTCGTGGATCGAAACTCTCCGGATTAGAAATCGCTGCTTGGACCTTCCTCAGATCTGTCTCAATCAGGCAAGTTGAAGCTATTTCGCGAAGCTTCTTTCTTATTGGTCTGGTGCCAACGTTAATAACCTTAAGTTCTTCAAGAGTTCTGAAGAAAAAAATTTGCATTGCTTATTAATGACCATCAAGCTGCCGTCAAAGATGTGGCTGACCCAACGAATGAGAATATGGCGTTCCTGATAAAGATGATCGTCCTATATACATACTGTTTCAAAAGGCTGCAATTGATTTAGTCGTCTGGTAGTACAACTATGACAATGACACTGAAGGTATATATCTGTGCAGCACAGCAGCCAGCGGACATAGCCAGCAATACAACCTATGAAGTAAAGAGGGACATTTTTGATGATAATTATCAAGGTCAACTCGGTCGACATGCATCTTGAACTTAGAACTTGATATGTACTTCTATAAAGGGTCTAAAGGGTCAAAGTACATGGAATGTTCTGCATAAATGCGCTATGAGGTCGCAGTGACATCTGACAGGAACCCTCCAAAAGGGATCTCATTTCTCTAAACTATTCCTGGCGCGGTCAAGGGATGCTAACCTGTTTTGGCATTAGGCAACCAGATTGTGACCATTTGCATTCGGTCATAGTGGGTACTTCTCTTGGCAGGAGAAAATGCCGCGCGCTGATTGAGTTCTTTTTGGGACGGAGGAATGGAAGTGGGGAGACCTTGATGACTGCGGTGAGTTCCCATTGGCTAAGAGCGGTCCCTGAGACACCTGAGTCTTGGCTGCTTCCGTCTTAGTGGTGGATCCGAAGTTTCACAACTGGGTAATATTGGGCCAAAAACGGCAATGACCCAATGATCTGACAATGCTGGCAGCTGTCCTGGTCACAGTGGCATTGGCACCCTTGGCAAGTCAGCACAGCCTTAGACTGCCCCCTTAAAAATTAATGAGGAGGACCAGCACTATTATTATTATTATTATTATTACCTATCATTAATTTTATGATTAGTTTTCCCAGACCACGCTGCCTCAACTGCCTGGCTCCTAACGTTGTTATCGTCACTCACTTCCCACCCCTAAGATACGTAGTTATTATTGTCCCTATTATCCCTATTATTGTTTGTCCCTGTCTGTCAGAGCCTAGCCAGATCATTCTGTTTTGGTACGATGATCCTGGTGATTTGTCGAACCTGACTTCTGCTATCCCCGTTGTTCCCTCCCCTTCCCATTTCTTTGAGCCTCTCCCCGTTTTCCCCTTCTTCGGTCAACCATCGCTTTCGGGATGCGCATGCTGAGTTTGCGCCAACTCTGCGGGGCCACCACTCTGCTCCTCTCTGGGCAGGTGGCCCTAGCAGAGCTCGGGATCCAGGCCGATAATGTTGGTATGTCTTCCAGAAACCTCATCTTTACCTGCTTTAAATGTACGTTTGTAACACATGCTATGATGATCAGATTCACTCAAGTCGGCGGCTAAGACCGTCGCTGCTCCCATGATGGAGTTCTATGACAAGAACCAGACCGAAGGCATTCCGGGCAAGCTGACCGGCACCTGGTATGTGGCCGGCGCCATGTTCATGACCCTCATCCAGTATTGGCAGGCCTCAGGCGATGACACCTACAATTCCGTCGTGTCACATGACCTGATGTTCCAGTCGGGCGAGAATTATGACTTCTTCTCCGGCAATTACAGCCAATGGCTGGTAAGTCGCAGCCGTGTTTAGAGTCTGCTTCTGCTAACATCTCTCAGGGTAATGATGATCAGATGTTCTGGGGTCTCGCCTCCATTACCGCTTCGGAGACGGGATTCCCGGAACTCTCAGATAAACCCACCTGGACCTCTCTGGCTCGCGTTGTTTTCAACATGCAAGTGGCCCGGTGGGATCAGGTAGCATGCGACGGCGGCATGCGGTGGCAGATCTGGCCCTACCAGGCCGGGTACACCATGAAAAATGCCATCTCCAACGGAGGTCTCTTTGAACTGTCGGCGCGACTCGCGCGCTTCACCAGGAACGACACCTATGCGCAATGGGCTGACAAGATCTGGGACTGGTCAGCCAGCACTCCGCTGCTGCAGATGGATCGCTGGTACATTGCTGATTCGACCTCCAATGAAGCCAATTGCAAGGATGCTGGAAACACTCAGTGGTCGTACAACTACGGCACCTATCTGTCGGGGGCCTCGTTTATGTATAACTACGTAAGTCACTCCATGTCCCGTCGACTTGCTCGACCGACTCGCTGATTTTCTATTGGTGGCAAAGACCAACGGTGAAGACAAGTGGCTGAAACGGGTTAACGGCCTGCTGGACTCCCTGATCGGCACCTTCTGCCCCAAGGACAAGGGCGGCAACATCTTGTCTGAGGTTGCCTGTGAGCCCATCATGACCTGCGATCGCAATCAAGTCGGCTTCAAAGGGTACACAGCCATGTGGCTGGCTCATACCGCCATCCTTGTCCCCTCAACTGCGGCCCGTATCTTCCCCGTCCTGCAAGGATCGGCTCTCGCCATCTCCAAGCAGTGCTCCAAGGCGCCCGACAATACCTGCGGCATTCGCTGGTGGCAGCCCACCTGGGACGGCTTCACTCCCGGCCTGGAGTCGCAGATGGCGGCGCTGGCGGGCATCACAGCCAATCTGATGTACTACAAGTCGTCCGCCCCGAACACCATTCAGACGAACCCGGAAGGCAAGGAGCATCAGATTGACACCCATGAGGACGAGGCGCCGGATGCACTCGATCCCATCAACACAGGCGATCGCGCAGGGGCTTGGATTCTCACCGTGATCATCGTGGTTGCCGTCGGAGGGTCCGTTGGATGGTTGATCAAGACTTGATTTTTCTGGGATACTTTCTTGCTCATTTTCTTTTGGAGACAACAGTTGCTTGTTTGTTTGTTGTCCGGCGTGATTTGGTGAGGGTTTGGATTTGCACATTCTGTCATATTCGGGGCTCATTCCCGTTGTGTGATCATTTCTTGTATTAGTTTTTTTTCCCACATTAGAGTTGACATTTTCCAACAATATTGATATCGCTGCATCGGACTCCATCCGAGTGTCCAATGAACTGGATCTCATCGCTCCACTTAAGCTTCACCGATACCCCACCAGCACTTATAAAACAACACAGGATCCTGCGATGATCAGTCGAACAACCAATTCACATCCTGATCGCGTCTATACAAAATGGTGTACACCATCGTCGTCCGTATGTTACACGTTCCATAGTTGATCCCCACTGGTCTCAAACTCATCGTTGCAGATCTCCGCGCAAAGCCTGATCCCGAGTGCATCTCGAAGCTTCACGCAAAGCTCCTCGAGGCATCGGCCGTCTACTCCAAGGACAAGGAGACTCTGTCCTGGTTCGTGATGCAGTCAGTCCATGATAAGCAGGACTTTTGCATCGTGGAGCGTTATCTGAACGAGGGCTCCCAGAAGTACCACCTGGAGAACCCGTACTGGAAGACCTTTGATCCCTATGTCATCCCGCTGTTGGAGAAGCCCATGGATTTGAGACGGTTCGAGGAGTTGGTTCCGGAGGGAGAGAAGCAGTAGATAGACCGATCTTTAAAGCGTAAACAAAGCGCAGAATCGATGAATTTCAGAGAGTCAAATCGCTTTGTTTCTTGACACGGATGCTGGTGGGTCTCTGCCTGAGGAACAAGGCATCAATTTGCTTTTCCGCATCCCCACTTTTTTTTATCACTTCTCTCCCTGCGATCCCCATCTCATGAAAACATCAACAATCGTGTCAATTACTTCCAGAATGTCGGATAATCAATCCAGCGATGCTCTCACATTCCCTGATTCGAATCGGGTATTCTTAGAGCCCCATCTCCCGCCAAAAAGTAAAATTTTACAATCTCCAGATCCTGGTCTTCCCTTCACCACACTCACGTTTGCTACCTCCCTCGACTCGGCTCTGGCCCTGTCACCAGGCGCAAAAACTGTACTCTCAGGACCCCAATCGAAAGCGATGACCCACTATCTCCGGTCGCGTCATGATGCTATCCTCATCGGGGTTGGCACTGCGGTTGCAGATGACCCTGGATTGAACTGTCGCATCGCCGGGGTCGGCGGTTACGGGGGTCAAGGTCTAGAACGACAACCACGACCGATCGTCATCGATCCCGGCGCCCGATGGGACTTTACAGAGAGCTCAAAGATTCTGTCGCTAGCCCGGGAAGGTCGGGGTCGAGCGCCCTTTATCATCACAGGGACGCAGTCCGTCCCGGCAGAGAAGGAAGCTCTGCTGGAGAGACACGGCGGCAAGTTCATCTCTCTCGATGCGGTGACCTCGGAAACAGGCGAGCATCGCATGGACTGGACCACGCTGCTTAAGGCCCTCAGCAAGGAAGGACTGAAGAGTGTCATGATTGAGGGAGGAGGGACCATCATCAATTCTCTTCTGGAGCCCTCCTACCAACATCTCATTGACTCGGTCATTGTCACGATCGCTCCAACCTGGCTCGGGCAAGGAGGAGTGGTCGTTTCGCCTAAGCGACGATTCAACGAGCAAGGCGTGGCCATTCCCGCATCGCGATTGACAGATGTGAAATGGTATCCTTTCGGAGAGGATGTGGTGCTTTGCGGGAGGATCAAGTCCTGAACCTGCATCTCTCTCAGCCGAGACGCGCTAGTCAAAGAGTTTATATCTACATAATTCGGATTCCTGCCTTTATGGCCGGCTATACGGAAATCGTGACCTTCTTTTCATATTGCACCCTTTGTCCAATGATATAACTAAAATACACAACCGCTGTCAAATAGCTGGCTTTCTGTCCGCTGGTACAGCCAGCTTCAACATCACCGGTGACCAATCTCCCCTTGCCATGAAGAGATGATCGCCCCAGGGAACGGGACCCGATTTGTGATTAAGGTCAAGAGAAAAGCTGTTCAACTTGGTATGCTCATGGCGAGAGATAACGACTATCGCGATTCTTGTTGAAGCTACCAGCAATAAGAGAATGATGGACAACTGGTTCAGTAGACCAGGAAGCAGAAAAGACGCGGGGAACAAGCGCTCATGCTATCCTGTGTCTCCTCCTACTGGCACACTGTAGAACCCGGATCTCTTTTCCACGCTTTGCACTGGGTTAGTGACCTTTTCAGGTCAACGAGGATTGGGTCCGTTCCAGAGTTCGTATATGGCCTGGAGCAAGTCATTATTGCGAACCATAGTGTCTTAGGCTCGTGGAGCATACTAAGGTACTTGGTGTCTTGCGGGCGTCTGACCTTGCAATGGACAAATATCGCAATTAACAAAATTAGCTGTGGCCACTAAGCTTTCACCGTCTACAGGGGCAAAGGCTTCGGTAGAATTGCTAAGGGCCATTCTTGACTAGCAGCCATCATTCTGTTCTGACCATGTTCAATTCTTGACGCATCGGAGGTAGAATGATTTCGAGACGGGGCAATGCATTTGATCTACACCAACCATACTTGGGACATGTCTTTGCCTCGGTGAAGGAAGCCATACATAGGTCCTGGCTGGGTCCTTCAGTCTAGGGTCGATAATACAAGGAATCTAGAACATCAGTTCCCTGATCGAGGCAGTGTACTTTTGTATGTTGGCTGCCTCAGGAATCAGGATGGTTGCAACCCAATTTCCAAGGCACTGACTGCACGTGATACTGCCCAGATTCACCCAATCAGATGCGGGAAATGTCGCATATGGGCCCATCATTTTCATCCATGAGCCATTCAGGATAATCTCCTGATATTGGCGATAGCTGCATCTCTACACATAGCACATCCAGGATCATCCGATTATTTATGGCCGGGACATCACGGCAATTCATATCGCTCAGTCAAGAGATCTTAACACCATCATGGTTTGTCCAACCGATCCTTCAAACAAGAGCCGGTGACGGGTTCTTCGGAGCGTTATACGTCATCAAACTGCCTTGTCAACGTCCTCCATCCGGTCAGCATGAGCGTACCACCAGGAGATCCGGTCGTCAATCGTTATCAGGCCATATATATCAATTCGCTGTCTCCATATATAAATGAACCGGTTGTTCTTTCCTAGTGTTTCCTCCATCCCAGTCCGTCTCTTCCACATTCTACTCCCACCCTTTCCTTTTCCTTACGCTTGAGGAGAAAGCCATCGATGAATTGAACTCATTTGCTTGACAGCAATTACCCAGAATGACGTCAAAAGGTGAAATCCAGAGCCTCTCCGCGTATGGAGTCGCTCGGGCCACCATCCAGGGGACCCCCTTGAGCGAGAACGAGCTCCGCAAGATGGATGCTTATTTCCGTGCGAGCATGTATCTTTGTCTCGGCATGCTTTATCTGCGCGACAATCCTCTTCTCAAAGAGCCTCTCAAGGTGGAACATCTCAAGGCTCGATTACTGGGCCACTGGGGTTCCGACGCTGGTCAATCCTTCACATGGATCCACATGAACCGCTTGATCAAGAAATATGACTTGGACGTATTGTTCATCTCTGGCCCCGGACATGGTGCTCCTGGCATTCTCTCGCAGTCATACCTCGAGGGTGTATACACCGAGGTCTATCCGGAGAAGACGCAGGACGAAAAGGGCATGCAGCGATTCTTCAAGCAGTTCTCCTTCCCCGGCGGAATTGGTAGCCATGCAACCCCAGAGACCCCCGGAAGTATCCACGAAGGAGGTGAGCTCGGATACTCGATCTCCCATGCCTTCGGAACCGTCTTTGATCACCCGAATCTCATCACGCTGACCATGGTGGGTGATGGTGAGGCCGAGACTGGCCCACTGGCCACCAGCTGGCACAGCAACAAGTTCCTCAACCCGATCACCGACGGCGTAGTTCTGCCGGTGCTCCATCTCAACGGTTACAAGATCAACAATCCCACCATCCTGGCCCGAATTAGTCACGAAGAATTGGAAATGCTCCTCAAGGGATACGGATGGACGCCGTACTTTGTCGAAGGAAGCGACCGTGAGAGCATGCACCAGGCCATGGCGGCCACCCTCGAGCATTGTGTGTTGGAAATCAAGAAGATCCAGAAACAGGCGCGCGAGTCCAACAAGGCCTTTCGCCCTCTCTGGCCTATGATCGTCCTTCGGTCGCCCAAGGGATGGTCTGCGCCCAGAGAAATTGATGGCAAATACCTCGAGGGCTTTTGGCGTGCCCACCAGATCCCTATCACCGATGTGCAGAGCAAACCGGATCACTTGAAGGTGCTGGAGAACTGGATGAAGGGGTACAAGCCAGAGGAGGTCTTCAAGAACGGCACACTGATACCCGAATTGAAGGAACTGGCTCCGACAGGCAACTCTCGCATGAGCGCCAATCCGGTCGGCAACGGTGGTCTCCTAAGACGACCGATGGATCTGCCTGATTTCCGCGACTACGCCCTGACCGATATCGAGCCAGGCGTCACCATCCGTCCCAGCATGACCAATATGTCCAAGTATCTGCGTGACGTGGTGGCCAGGAACATGACCACCTTCCGAGTCTTTGGACCCGATGAGACCGAGTCCAACAAGCTTGGCGAGATCTACAAGGCGGGTAAGAAGGTATGGATGGCTGAGTACTTCAAAGAAGATGAGGACGGCGGCAACCTGGACATGCAGGGACGTGTGATGGAGATCCTCAGCGAGCACACCTGCGAAGGCTGGCTGGAGGGCTACATTTTGTCTGGCCGACACGGGATGCTCAACAGCTACGAGCCCTTCATCCATGTGATCGACTCGATGGTCAACCAACACTGCAAGTGGATTGAAAAATGCCTCGCGGTTGAATGGCGCGCCAAGGTTTCCTCGCTCAATATCCTCCTGACCGCGACCGTGTGGCGTCAGGATCACAATGGATTCACGCACCAGGACCCCGGATTCCTCGACGTAGTCGCTAACAAGAGCCCCGAGGTCGTGCGGATCTACCTCCCTCCCGACGGTAACACCCTCCTGTCGACCATGAACCACTGCTTCCGCAGCGTCAACTATGTCAATGTCATCGTGGCCGACAAGCAGGAGCACGTGCAGTTCCTCAACATGGAGGAGGCGATTGAGCACTGCACCAAGGGAGTCGGCATCTGGGACTGGGCTAGCAACGATCAGGGCTGTGAGCCCGATGTGGTCCTGGCATCCTGCGGCGATGTCGCTACGCACGAAGCCCTGGCCGCGACGGCTCTGCTGCGCGAGCACCTACCTCAGCTCAAGGTCCGTTTCGTCAACGTTGTTGACCTGTTCCGGCTCATCTCCGATATCAATCATCCACACGGTATGCCCGACCGCCAATGGGGGGCCATCTTCACCACCGACAAACCGATCATCTTTAACTTCCACTCGTACCCCTGGCTCATCCACCGTCTCACCTACAAGCGTCCGGGTCAGCACAACCTGCACGTGCGGGGCTACAAGGAGAAGGGCAACATCGATACGCCATTTGAACTGGCTGTACGGAATCAGACCGACCGGTACAGCTTAGCGATCGACGCCATCGATCGTATCCCGTCCCTTGGCAATACCGCCTCGGGGGTGCGGGAGCGTTTGATCAATCTCCAGCTGGCCGCGAAGAACAAGGCGTTTGACGACGGCATTGATCCAGATTATATTCGCAATTGGACCTGGGATTATCCGCGGAAGAAGTGTTGAGCCAAAGGCTATTGTGGCGATCTTTCTTATTTGACCCTACCATGTTGAAGACTAGCATAATTAATATGCTACCATGACGAATATTGAGTTGTTACGATCTCTTATCTCTCAATGACCACCTGGTATTTTGCATTCTAGGCCTCCTTGACTATTCACGCTGCATCATCTACTCTTGCTAAAACCCCAAACCGTAGTTACTCTATCGACCATCAGTAGGCGCCCCGCCGAGGCTTCCACGCGGGCTGAGGTGCCGGGGCCGGCTTGCGGTATCCAGACAGGATAGGAGTCGAAGCGACAAGCTCCAAACCACCGACCAAAGCTCCTTGGGGTTCGAGCGCCCAAAGTGTTAAGGCGACGTAGTTGACGCCGTTGTAGTTGAGAATACCCTCTGGAACGGGGAAATTGGTTTGTGGGCCGAGATCATTAACTGCATCCAGTTAGAAAGCTAGGAACAAAATTTCATTCATCTTCTTATTCATACCGTATTTCCCAAACTGGTATCCGTTAACAAACAACTGACAGCGATAGCTCGTCCCGGACCTTGCATCTGATGCGGAAGTGTTGAATACGAAGCTCAACGGGATATCATACCCCTCGGGTAGATCCAAGGAGAACGAAGTAGCATAGAATCCAATGCCGGTGCCAGTGAGACCGTCATTGATCGGGCTGGATGACTTCCAGCTGGAGGTAGGCGGACTTGGAAGATGATATCCCTGGCGCTCAGCATACATGGCTCCCTCGTTGAGCGGACCTCGCGTCAAGTCCTGGTACTGCTCGCCGCCGAGATTTCCAGTCATCTTCCAAGCAACATCGGATAGCTCATGGCCCGAGAGCGCATAGTCGAGAATTCCTCGAGGGAACTTGATCGCGTCTGTCCCCGGTGCCTCTTCGTCTTGGCCCATGTGGTCGATCACTACAGTTAAGACGTATGATTCTCCACGAGACAGCTCGTGGGGGAGCGAGATGTTTCTGGGATAGGTCATGTTCTCTCCACTACCTGTCCATGATCCCAGGAATGTTTGATCTAGCCATACCGAATTGGCGAAGCCCACGCCGCCAGATGTGTTGAGGAAAACCCATGACTCGTCTCCGTTGGCCTTGAAATGGCCCCGGTAGATTAGCGAGCCCCCGTGATAGCCGTATTCGTCGGCGTACAGACATGTAGGACCGGTGAACTTGCGCGTGTTATTGGTGTATGTGTTTGTTAGTGGCGTCCAACTCTCATCACTATAATCGGGGAAATTTCGGGGAGAGAGTCGATGTATTTCCACTCGAGACACTTCAGATCTGGCAAAGCTATATCCGGTGGTTGATAGTGAACCGTTGCAGCGAGGTTGTCAATCTTGGATCGAGTTGATTTTAAGGACTTGCCGTTGAAGACAATCCCATCAAGTCGCTTCCGCGCGGAGATTACCTCCAAGGAAGTTGTTGCGTTCACATCACCGGTCAAATGCAGTTTATTGTCGGCAATCGATGCACTGCGAAGCAAATATCCTCCCTTCACAATCACCGTCTCTTTGGATGGCGAGCTATAGTTGGCAATTGGCTGTTTTGCTGGTAGTTCCAAGACCCAGTGCTGGTAGGCATCGTTACGCCAGAGGAGGTGAATCTCAAGCTTCCCTACACGCAAAACCCGTCTTTGAGCGGTTACCTCCCACTGTACAACCCAGGCGCTTCCCTTTTTGGCAATCTTGACGTCGGACCCGTCAACAACATTTGGCTGCGGAAGATGTTTTGGCAGAGCAAACTCATGAAGTTCCCCTTCTCCTCCATACAGCACGAGAACGCGCTTCTCGTTGTGTCCCTTAGCCCAAGTGAAGACCTCTGCGGAAGAGTAGATGAGATTGAAACCGCCCACATCATAGTCAGTGACGTGGAATTTGGAGTCTCGGCCGTTCAAGGACAGACGGCCTCCCAACTGAGGGATTGTCACATTTCCCACGCTCGTCGAAACACTGAGTTGGTATTGAGCATTTCCAGTCGAAGTAAAGTCGGCATGTCGGACTAGATAGAAATTGGTTGTTGTTCCATTGCCAAACAGTGGAGTGACTGCTATATTCTTGTTTCCTGTATAAGACCCATTAAACCCGTTTCCAGGCGTTGCGGTGAGGTACGCAGGAGACACTTTCAGGAAGTTGGCCTGCAGCTTCTCTTCGCTATACTTTTCTCGCCAGATCCGGCGATCCTCCGTAATAGCAGCCCCATAGTCATACGAGGTATATCCTCCATGGTAGCCGAGATTGCCCCAATTGGTACCTCCGTACGTCTTCGACAGTCAGCTAAGAGCGGGAGTAAGGAGGAGGAGGAAGAAGCTATCGCACCATGTAGATGTTGAAAATCTTGACGCCGAAGCCGTAATTGTTCTTGTACACCACTCGCTCAGCTTCGTTGTTTACGAGGATCGCACATCCGTCTTCTGTGGCACCTCCCCTGGTGATTATGTCAGTCATTGCGTTGAACAGATTATTATCCATGGTATTTTTTACCATCCACCGCCTGAACCCCCTTGGAATTCCATAATAGCAAATGGCGTCGTAGGGCTGTGATTGCGGTGTGTCTGCTGCCAATCTCGCGGGAATCGATATGTTGGCCATACATAGGGGTTGCCACCTGATTCTGCATCAGATATAGGTTATTGGCTCTTGAAAGTAAATGGTCTCACAGTCATATCTCATGGGATAAGCGTCAATTCCGTAGAGATCCGTCTCGCCCAGTCCAGTTCCTGGGGCAAAGTATCCCAGGTTCTTATTGTCATTAACAACTGTTGGGACAACTACTCCAGCGTCTCGGAGCTGCTTCTCAGCATAGGCCATGACCTCCTTATTCATGGTCGTCGGAAACTCGGACTCCGAAACGTTGGGCCAAGTCGTGTATTCATTTTCTGGCTGAACCAGGATTACCGGTCCCCCATTGGTAATTTGTGCCTTGGCAATTATCTTCCCTAAAGTAGCCATGTACTTATTTGTCGCATGGAGGTAGTCCTCGCTATTTGAGCGGATGATGCCCTTCAGACGAAGGACCCATCCGGGAATACCACCAGAAGAGGTTTCCGCATTGATATACGGTCCAGGACGAGCTATCAGGTAAATACCAGCTTCACTTGCAGCAGCGAAGAACTCATCGAGGCTCCAGATCCCGTCAGTCACAACGTGGCCGGGATTACCCTCCATGAGACACCAGTCGGTATAGAAGGAGACAGCATTGAATCCCAGACTCTTGATCTTCTGAAACACATCAAGCCAGAGTCCAGGAACTGGCAGCCGAAAGGGATGAAACTCTCCCGAAAAGATCATGAGGCGCTCGCCCCGGACAAACAAAGAGTGTTGGTCCCATGTCACTAGGTCTTGAAGAAGGTCTCGCTTATTCGCAGCATCTTGCAATGAAAGGTGGCTGACGGAGGTTGCAGCTACTACCAAAGAAGCGGCGGTCAATACGATGAGTCTCCTGAAAAGGAACTTCATCCTGCCCTTCGCACCAGAAATGTATTTGCCTCTGGTTATTCCGTCATTCCGCCAAAGAACGGGCATCACCCCTGCGGGAACTCTATCGCAGAATTATATACTCTCAATACGCCCCGCAGAGTGCTCCGGCCGGTGGCGGGGGATCCATCAGAAGGAAACGGAATCCCACCGATTCCCCCTTCGCATTATGTATTATTTTCGATCTCATATTATCATGTAGAGCTTAACGCGGACAAGTCCGTATCCATTGGGGAACTTCTGCGAAGGTCCTTGTCCCACATTGGTGGAGAAACGATCAACTTGCGGGGGACTCGAGAGGATCGACATGCATTTAGCTATTTAGCCTGAATGCTTTCAACATTGAGTGCGGAGAAGAGCCCGATGTTTTCCTAGGATCCAATCCAGGCAAAACATGTTTCTGACTGTCCTTCTTTTCACTTTGATGGCTGCAGTCCACTGTTTCTCTGCCTAGGATAGCCTTCCCTTGGTAGCTGGGACAACGACATGTCTTTGTCGCCTATTTATGGAACACCTAGCTGGGGTTATGATATGCCGCTGATTACATCCTCATAGCGTGCCATGAGTGTGCTTGCGCCTGCTCACGATCATTCTGGTCATCGCGCAGCCTGCGACCAAACTGTCGACTCTTATAAGCGCTGGCGATGATGCAATTGAGGAGGCACCTGTACCAGATGCGGAGCATGTTAATACCACTCAGGCAGAGAAGTCAGGTGGTATATGAATGCCCTCTAGACCTTTGACATCTACAGCCTATGCAACCGCAGTCTTGCCCTCTAATCCTGTGCCAGGGGATCCGCGTGAAATCTCTCAATCGACATTGTCCTTTGGAAATAGTCGGGTGAGCAGATATTGTAGCACATCCAGCTTGCATTGCTTGAATTGCAGTTTGGGGGACTATGGCTGTTGGTGGGATCTGGTGTTGTTGTAGAGCGGTTTGAATGGTAGGAATTAGTTCAGTGAGATTTCCATCCGTGATGAGGGTGATTATCTTTTTCTGGTTGTCATCCATAGTGAAAGTAAGTTGTGGGTTTCGATGTTTCTTTGCGAGGATTAAGTGCACAGATGAGTCCCGGGTAGCAAGAGCAAAAAGGATTTTCTGATACTGATACTAATACTAATTTATACCATGTTCCAGTCCATTTGGAACTCAATCCTTTGTGCTAAACAGCACATTTGAGAGACAATGCATTGTTGATGGCAAGCAACAAAGACAAAGGGACTGCTATTCTGATCCTGCTCTTCTTTGTCTGGCACATTCCGATACTGTCTTATACCTGGTGTGTCAGAAGTAAGACCTCTATCGATAGGATAAATATATATGTCTCGATGACACTCAACCAAGTCTTCAATCAGCTCTTCATTCTTCTTGAATAATCACAGCCCTTCGTCGTGTTCTTGACGCCTTTGACCCCTTCTTCTACTAATCAATCACGTCATTGTCAGCAACCTGTAAACGGCATGATTGAACCGCTACAATGAGACTGAAATGGGATGGGTCAAAGAGAGAAGAGCCATACACAGAGTGTTGATAAGGACAATTCGCACTTACACTCTCGAGCTCCTGAATTTTGTTCTGCACCATGCTATTCTGTCTGGTCTTTTCGCCGTCAGTCAGATGGCTGCCATCTCCGTCTGGGCAGACCACAAGCGAAGAGAGTTCAGAAGTTGACTGAGACTGTTCAGAAATCTCCGGGAGTTGGCTTCTCGGCTCACTTCCGTGAGTTTCTTGCAGTGGGCCTGAAGTTGAGGAACCTCGGTCTCTTCAACCGACTGGAACCCGTGTACATCGGCTTCTTTGCGCAAACGTCCTCGCAGCTTCTGGTAGCCCGGGACGAAACACAGAACATAGGAAGAGATTTCGCGACATCATCGTAATCGCGAGCATCAACGTCTGGATTGAAGTTGGCAGCCTCCTCTTCTTCGACGAGCTCCTGGTCAAGCTCTTTGACTCCAGCGGCGAAATCCTGCTGAATCGCACCCCAAGAATATATTCGTTGCGGCCGGAGATAGCTATCGCCCTCACCTCAGCTTCAATCTTCGCGTCGGCTTCGTCAATGTTTGAAATCTTTTCCCGGACTTCCCTGATCTGAGTCTCGAGATCTTGTTTCTGGCGGCCGCTTTCCTTCGTCATCTTGAGTTCCGAGGTCTTCTCTGTGATTTCTTCTTTAAATCAAGGGAACACGAGACTCTTCAGGCCGATCTTCCCCGTCATCAGCCTCGTCGTCGGAATCGTTGCAGTCTCGGTCACTATCGACATAGTCGCTTTCAGCGTCGCTGTTTGGAGTTCGAGCCTTCTTTTGCCTTCCAGATTTCTCGTTGCTCGAGCTTCGTTTTCGTTTCTTGGAGTTCGAATTCTCGCGGGGAGCAAAAACAGTCTTCCCGTCCTCAATGTCATCTTTTAAGGCCTCCTAGACGTCGAGGACTTCGTCCACCTCATCGGCAGAAGCTATATACACGGCTTTGGATTCTTTCAATTCCTCCAGTCGCTGCTTGAGTACTCGCCTTTTCTTGGCCAGTTCATCAGATTTGGCCCAGTGTGCGCCCATCTCCTCCTCGAGTCCTAATGACTCCTGACACTCGATGAGGCTGGTGTCATCGGTCTTGTTGCAAATGAAGGTTACGGTATTGAAGCCACCATCCATCTTCAGCTGTCGCTTGAAGGTGTCACCAAGCAGCGACTTGGCGGCTTTGTCATCGACTGCTCGAGTAATCGGAGCCACGATCCATAGACCCGTACGCTGTTTCATGTAGCCCCTCTGCAACAGCAGAGCGGGCAGCGTTTGAATATTGAACACCTGGCAGATCAACAATGACGGCGCCGGTTGATAGTGCCTCAGCTTTGACGTGAAGACGGACAACCTTGATCAAAGGCCGTCAATTCCAAATCTCTGCCAGGCTTCTTGTCTTTATCTTTCTCGCCCGTCGTCTTCTCCTTGCGATCGACGAAGAACTGGGGCTTCTTGTAGAAGCGAAGAGAATCGGACTCGGCAATCTCTCGCGTGCTGCCCAGTACATTTTGAACATTGCGATGCCACATCAACTGCTCGACTGAGCTATTCTGCAACATCTCTCTCGTAAATTTAGGGTATACAGCCTTCATTTTGGCGTATGCGACGCCCGCTTCGCTTTTCTCATTCGATGCTTCGCGAGAGACGTTGCCAATGCCATCGAACAGATCATGAAAAAGAACCCTGAGTTCCTTCTCCCAACCTTCCCGTGTGATGAACTAGATTTCGGCCTGATAAGTATCATCGCTGGAGTTGTAGGAAAACTCGGTAACCACCGCCGTGCACGCGCGCATACAATTTGTCTGCACCAATCTCTCCTCATCGAGCACGGCATTGATGATGGATGACTTTCCAGCCCCCGTGTTACCGACAACACCGACAATCGTCTTGGGCGGCGCAGCCTGGCTTTGGACTTTCCCTATAGCCTGGAGCCACTGGAATGCATCTTCAACCGCCAGGCGACCGAGGGGCTCTTTCAAATCTTCAAGTAACTTCACTCCTTGTGCACGGCAGCCTCAAGAAGCTCGGGAGTGCTTTCAGCAAAGAGGTTCTGTAAGGAGAGCTGCTGCAGGACTTTGAGCTCGGGACGTTCTGTTGTCGCACTGGCTTTGACTCTAGCGATTTGGGGCAACGGACTTGTGGTCGAAGAATCTTGATTGGGAGTAGATAGAGGAGGAAGCAGTTGTAGAAAATGTGTGTCGTAGTTCTCGTCCTAGTTCAATCCGCATGTTTTGGTTTTGGTTACATTTGTTCATTCTGTCCCAGACTTGCTTCATCAATTTAGACGCTATATCTGAATCTAAATGCTTCTCATAGGCATCTAAATCGGCTTTGCACGAGAAAAAATACTGGTAGAACCCAGCGTTGTGACTTGTAAACTCACGCAGTTCGGCCAGCAATTGAGAAGTGGGTGCACTGTGGGCCCGAATAAACAAGAGGGCTCGGTTTTATACCGTTCGCGGGCATCCGCAGGCAGGATATTCCACTCCTGAACAAACTCACGCCGATGGCGTTCTGTAGCCAGTCAGCAAGTTGCGTCGTACCTGAGTTAAGACATGGTAGCTCCCTCACCGGGACAATATCCCGCGTCTACACAGCTAGGGAGTATTTCTGTGAGGCGCTCGTGAACAAAGCCACGCATGGCACACTCTGTCAGGTAATCCTGAGAGTCTGCGGGCAAGGTATTATGCCCCGGAGTGGGCTCTTTCGCTCCAAGGAGACGTGCAGGCGACTCCAATTTGCTCATACCGCAGGCGTTGGGCAGCTTGGGTGAGGGCACTCGATTTTCGTTATTAAAGGACCAGCCTTGAGGCTCAGGCTTAATCCTCGTATACGACTTCACCGATGCTACGTTTGCCGGGGCTAGGTTGGAAAGGGGGCTCAAGGGGATCCCGTCGCGCTGGGCTTGTGCGAGAACTCAGGTCTGAATCCTTGATCGCTTCGACAGCAATGAGACGGAACATCTACTTATTAAAGAGATGAAGGACTGTACACAGTTGAGTGCATACCCATACTAAGGCAGCAGAGAGTACAAGTGAGAGTATTGATAGATTGATTGCTGAAGAGGAAGGTGACCACTATCTAGATACATGCGTCCGCTTGGTTTGAGGCCGTACAAACAAAAGCAGAAAGTCCCCAGTGTCGCGTTGACGCGTTGAGAGGTATTTCCTGATCGGGATAGCGAGCCTGGTACATGACACTTTCCGTATTGGGATCAATATCCATATGTCACGTGCAAATAGCCTCTGGTGTCTTCTTCATGAACATGATATGATGGCAGTACCTAGGTAGTCTTGCCTCGACGAACTGACACTGAGACCTGATTTGCGTTTACTAAGGAGTCACAAATGAGTAGGGTATCAAGTGGATAAAAGGTGACAGCTGAGCGGACCGAGTGCCCGAATCAGTATGATTAAAGGATCTAATGGAAGAATCTGGCCCTTTGATTCTTGTGTCGCCGATACGAGCCGCTGAGACAGATCGGGCGGATACTACGGAGTAATGCCTAATGCCAAAACAGCCCTTTGAAGCCACCCAGTCCTCGCTTGTGACCCTCAATTCAGGCTACATATGCCAAGAGGACCCAAATTAGCCTATTTTCCCCACACAAGCTGCATTGGTTTACATCACTTTCGACAGGTGAGACGCAGGCTGTTTCTTCAGCGTTGCAGAATCGAGACAATGCGGCAGAACAGGGCATTTCTCCGCACTATCTAGTGCTCAACCCTGGAACATGACCAATCCTACGGCTGGCCTGGACTATTTACCCCATAAATGCAAGCGCTTTGATGTATCCCGTCCAGCTCTGTTGTAGGGGTGCGGGCTATAAGTATTCTCACATATCGTGCGCTCTTTTGCGTCACGGCTAAAATCACTTTCGACCCCAGGTCTCTTGGGACGTCTTTTGGCAAATTCGTCTTTGGAAGCTATCGATCTCAGCTCGCCCTCTCGGCGCAAAGGAACAGGTTCTAATAAGGGATCCGGACGACAGGATAGACAAGTGGCATTGTATATTCGCATAACGTGAGGATCGGTCTGGGAGGCATCAAGTCTATAAAGAGATCGTCAGGACCATCTTCGGGATACCAGAGGCTTGGTGTACACATTCGACAGGCTCTTTCTGATCCGATTATCTGCCCGTTTCTCAATATCTTTGTCAAGTATGTTGTTCACAGCAGTGACTCTTGCGCTTTTGGCCCAAGCTTTGGCTGGCCCAGTCGATCTTGAAGAACGCCAGAGCAGCTGTCCCAAGATCCATGTCTTTGGTGCCCGTGAAACCACCGCATCCCCTGGCTATGGTTCGTCGTCGACCGTTGTCAATCTGATCCTCAACGCCTACCCAGGCTCCACCTCCGAGGCAATCAACTACCCTGCTTGTGGAGGTCAGTCCTCCTGCGGCGGAGTCAGTTATGGTAACTCGGTGGTTGCCGGAATCAACGCTGTCGCGAGCGCCGTGAACTCTTTCAATCAGAGATGTCCAAGCACTCAACTGGTCCTTGTCGGATACTCTCAGGTAATCTTCCGCTTCTTGAAAATATTCAAACGCGTCTAATCCTGTGTCAGGGCGGTCAAATCATGGATAACGCCCTCTGCGGAGGTGGAGATCCAAACCAGGGCTACCCCAACACGGCTGTTCCGCTGTCCTCATCGGCTGTCAACATGATCAAGGCGGCTATCTTTATGGGCGATCCTCGCTATATCGCGGGTTTGCCGTACAATGTCGGCACCTGCAGAGCGGGTGGTGTAAGCAAGACCTTCAGTTTTCCTTGACTTGTAATGTTGGATCTAACCACTCCCCGTCATCTAGTTTGACCCTCGTCCTGCTGGCTTCAGCTGCCCATCTGCAAGTAAGATTCGATCGTACTGCGATGCTGCCGATCCATACTGTTGCAACGGAAACAATGCCAACACTCATCAAGGCTACGGCACCGAGTACGGACAGGCAGCTCTTACCTTTGTCAAGAGCAAGCTGAGCTAGAGCGGCTCGGGAGGAAGTTCGGGAGGAGGCTCAGGAGGTTCTGGAGGCTCGGGCGACTCCGGTGGAACCGTTGCCCATTACGGTCAGTGTGGAGGTCAAGGATGGACTGGGGCCACCTCGTGCTAGAGTCCCCATACCTGTAAGGTGATCAGTCAGTCGTACTCTCAGTGCCTGTGAGCTTGGCCGACCGAGCATGGTAGTGTTTGAAGAATATTGCTGCCTGGATAGTTTTAGGATGTATCTTTCTTCTTCTACTTGCTTCTTTGCGCGGTGTGTCTTTTTTCCCGGGACCCGACATTCTGCAGAGGACAAATATGAAACATGCACAAGGCGGACGAATCCAAGGACAGATATCGAACCAAGTAGTATGAACTGATAACCCTCGGTATCTGATGCGTATACCCGTACAATGAAGTAGGTGGCTGTTGACAGCGTCTTTGACAATGGAAATTGATGACTCTAGCGTCGATAAGGCATAGTAACACGCGGTAGCTTGCGTACATGTTGCTGTCGCCCATTTTCCGATCGAGATTCACAAGGGAGATATACAATAATGGCATTTTGTTACGCCTTTCGGCTGCCGAGGAGAGCAAAGGGGGAAGTTTTGTCCGCTGTTGTTGTGGTAGGCATGTCTCTGGATTTGGTCGGATTTCCCGCACCTTTAATCATGGATCTTTCATTAATCTGGGCCAATCCATTCATTCTTTTTACCTTCTGGGCTGACAAGGCGGCATATTCGCTGTATGATTCGTCAGACTTTTCGCAGCGAATCCACAATTCATACCTACCTGGGCCACTGAAATGCGGGGGATTTGCGGGCAACTTGGCCAAAGAAGGACAAAGTCCCTTTTCTGCGGAGCGCGGAGTAACTGCTCAGGTGGCTTGGTCGTCCGGGGAAGAATTCTGGGGTAGGATGGCTTCTCCAGTCCTGCCATTGTCCAATGACCAACGTTTTGCTTCATTGTTAGGATATCCCGGTCCAAATATCTTCAAGGAACTGACAGGTCCTACCGACCACATGGAACTTGGGGGTCCTGGAGTGGAATTTGTGCCCGCCCCAGTTACGTCTGGAGGTTTCACGATTGAACCAAATTACATCACCACTGAAGCCACCGGCCTCTGTCTCGTCGTTTTCAATAACCGACTGTCGCTATATATATCTCTCCCAGATAGAAGGGACTGGAGCGAGAAACCTTTCCGTCTTTAGCCATCTCATCTGTTTAGGTCGATTAGCTTCTCTCTGCACTCCACTTGCCATCTCCACCTTTTAAATCATGGGTGATGACCTCGAGGCTAGCAAATCTTCCCTGGATCGGAAAGAGTTCCCATCTGCGGAACATGTCGAAGGAACTACCGTCGGTATCGTTCATGCGGTAGACCCTCACCAACTCGAATCCCTGCCTTATGGTCCTAGCGGAATCAAGGGCATCTTCGGCTCCAAGTATGTCTTTGGCGCAGCTTTCCTGGCCTCCATGGGTGGGTTCTCCATGGGATACGACATGGGAGTCATCTCCATTATCAACTCGATGGCCAAGTTTCACGCGGTGTATCCGCGGGCCGAAACTGCCTTTGGCAAGGGATTCATGACGGGGATGTTGCTGTTGGGTGCATTTGTTGGCTGTATCTTCATGCCATATCTGGCGGATCGGATCTCTCGTAAATGGGCGCTCACGGCTATGGTCATCGTCTTCAACGTCGGAGCCATCCTTCAGACTGCCGCCACCAACTACGACATGCTTGTCGCGGGTCGCTTTATCGGAGGGATCGGGGTTGGTACCTTGGCAATGGTACATGTTCTACCCAATCCCCGCAGTGTTTTCACCAAGATTAATAGGGTGAATCTTAGGGCGCACCTCTCTATATCTCCGAAGTCTCTCCACCCCACATGCGAGGCACGCTTCTCGTCCTCGAATCCATCTCCATCACCCTGGGAGTCGTCATTGCGTTTTACATCACTTACGGCACGAGACACATGGCCACCGAAGCCTGTTTTCGACTCCCCTTTGGTCTGCAAATGGTAACCGCAACTATACTTGGTGCTGGCATTCACTTCTACCCGTACTCTCCTCGGTGGCTTGCCTTGGTCAACCGCCAGGATGGCTGCCTGTCTAGCCTGTGTAAATTGAGAGGTCTCCCAAGCAGCGATGAGCGAGTTCAACTGGAGTATCAGCAAATTATGGCCGAGATCAACTTCCAAAAAGCCGTCCTGGCCAAGAAGCACCCTGGTGCGTCGGGTATCAAGCTCGAACTTCTCTCCTGGATGGACCTCTTCACCCGAAAAATGTGGAAACGCACCGCTGTCGGCATGGGTGTCGCTTTCTTCCAGCAGTTCTCGGGCATCAACGCTTTTATCTACTACGCACCAACACTGTTCCAATCACTCGGACAGACCGCAGAGACATCGCTCATTCTCTCCGGTGTCTTCAACGTTCTCCAACTTATCGCAGCCATTGTCTGCTTCCTGGTCATCGAGAAAGTAGGCCGACGCCCCCTCGCTATCTTCGGTGGCTTTGGTACTGCAGTGGCCTATATCATCATCGCGGTCCTTTCAGGCCTTTACTCAACCTCCTGGGCTTCGCACGCGGCCGCCGGTTGGGGCTGCGTTGCCATGGCGTTCCTCTTTATCCTCATCTTCGGAGTTACCTATTCCCCACTGGGTTGGGCTCTTCCATCAGAGGTTTTCTCGACCACGTCTCGGTCCAAAGGCGTCGCTCTCGCCACATGCACCATCTGGCTGTCAGATTTCATTGTTGGCGTTGTCACACCCTCCATGCTGGCTGACATTGGCTACCGAACCTATATCTTCTTCGCCGTGATGTGCTCGCTGGCAGGTGTCTGGGCGTTTTTCCTGGTTCCTGAAACGGGTGGGAAGTCGCTCGAAGAAATCGACGAGTTATTTGGGGATTCCACTGCGAGAGAAGAGTGGGAACTTGCCCAGGAAGCAATCATGACTGGGAGTACCAAATAGGTAGGCTGTTGTTTTACCTGTGGTAACTAACTGTATCATCAATCGTATGCTCTTAGGCAGATACTGTTGTTTGGCAGTTTAGTGGAGGTTTCTACTATAAGATGAAGGAAATAAATAGTATTATCTCTGGATCTGTCCATCCACGAATAAGTAAATGTGCACAAAGCATGCATAACTTATCTCTTCTCTCCATCTCACTTTACATTTCTCGCATCCTGCTTGCCCCATTCCGTTTTATGAATCAGATTCACTATTGCCTTCATCATTTCGTCTTTGACTACTGTCTTTTCCGTTTTTGGATTCAACGGACATATACCGGGAGGGGGAATATAGTGGTGGCTCTCTTTAGGACCAAGCCACGATGCACTTTGTAGGTGAGATGAGCTTAAGGCCCCTGTTTTGGCGCGTTATGCATCATAGCTAGCGTACATTCAGTCCTTTAACTCTCCCGGACAGGCCACAGGAGCTCTCACCTGTCTTAATTGAGGAGAAGACTGATATTGATCGCTTTTGCTGATGGGGCTGGCAGAGCGTCTTGTCACTGGTTATCGAGGCAGTCTCGTTCTGCAAAGAGAGGCCCTCTCCCGCTCCCTTTCCCGTCTTTGTTTGTATACCATCTTCACCTGGTCATCGTCTGAGATGCTGGGAAAATTAGGAAATCCTAAAGGCATGATGTGAAGATGCAGGTGTCAGGAATCAGAAGTCTGAATCGAGATATTCACAGTCTTTGACAGAATTTGGAGCACAAGGTTATCTGATATTTTAGGGCTCTTCTGTCGGTGTTATTTCCTAGATGCTATAGTTATAGTATAACGAGGTCAGGCGTCCTGGTTGACATAAGCACAGGCTAGCGCATTCTTGTCCACAACGACATGACCATGTATGAGTCATAGAGGTCTGACAAGTTGGAGAAAGAAAAACGCATCATTGAGGCATCATAGTGCTTCACCTGATATTATGTCTGGTCTATACCAAGAATCAAACTGGTGAAGTTCCTGAGACGATGATAAAACGATGAGTTTGTGTATAAGTCCAGGGGTAGAGTGCTAGAGGCTATGGACCACGCAGGCAAATGGTGGCCAATGCTCGTATAAGGAACCTTCAAATGACTCACAAAAGAGTTCTTGACAATGAAGATGACACACAGGTGATAGCCTCTTCTTTACCGAGCACTGATGAGCGCACGGAGCTCTTGATGTCCTTGTAGGATGGTTAACAGGCTTCTCTTCACAATAAGCAGCCCAGTCTTGTGTCTAGGTCCACAAAGCTTGAATTTGATTTCCATTTGATAGCTCAGCTGTCAACTGAAAAGAGGACTCCACAGACTGATCCTTAAACCTGTGAGCATTAATTTAGTGACCTATGGCAGATGCTGTGCTACACGCCTCATTCTCTCCCCTCAGCCCTAAGTTGGCTAGTCGTGACTGCATGACAACAGAGTACATACTTGTTTACTACATGAACTGATTGGAGCAATCTACAAGATTAATTATGAGCACTGGATAGGGCAGCTTAGACAAGACCTAAATCCCTTATTTCATGGGAGCTTGCAGTAGCATTTAGTATATGATTACTAATGAGTTTACAAGGTGAGCGTGAGAGTAAACCAGCAGATATCCATTTGCAATCTACGAAACATATCATTGTATGATGTATGAGGATTGTTGTCAGTATGGTAAGTACCATGGTGACAATGCACTCCAATACCTAGAAGAAGGAAATATATAACATTTCTCTTATTGAGAGAATCCAACGACCATTGTCGTTGACTTGATATATCTGGTGTGCCCAGAGAGCATTTAGCCTGCACAGGGGTGGTCATGCATCTCCTCTATCACATTCATTGTGACGGTATTATCTGAGATCTTGTTATGCTGAACTCCATGATATGTTATGAGTGTACAAGTGCTGACCCAATCAATAGCCAAGATGTTGAGGCCGCATTGCTTGAATTCACTTGAAGGTGGTTGAAGCAGTCAATAGCTGGAAAGCTGCCTAGGCATTCGCTCCAAATAAAAGAATGATCGGAAAGCTATGAGGCCAGGTGAACTGATTATTATGTTTTCCCAAATGTGAGCTTCTAGTCTTGCTTGCTGGCCGACTGTGTGGTTCGGCGTAGGGTTGATCCCTTACTGCGGAAAGCCCTGCTGTACCTTTCTCAGGGTAATTCCGATGACACGTCTACCCAGGATGGATTACTGGTCTAGGAAATCCGAGACGATAAGAAAAGCAGGATAGTGGAGATTTGGGTCTCCCTTGCGCTGTAAGTCACTTGCATTAGGGCTCCCCATGCTGACTGTAGTGAGAGTACCTATATAACTCATCATACGTCGTCAGGTTACTGTGTGTTGGCATTGCTAGGTTAGTTCGAGAATTTGCAATAGATTTCGGATAAGATGAACCAACAACAACATATCTAGTGGCATGCAATAACTATCTTTAATCTCATTATTCATGGATTCTTCATTGAGAGTGGAGCCTTGGGCCTTGCTTAAATTCTATTGGTTGAGCGGACCTCAAGGGAACAATTCTGGAAGGAATCCAGCCAATCGTAATATAATCCCTGTCAGGAACAGCCCACAGATCACCACCAATCACATTGATTTGATCTCACACGATCTGGAGCCGGACAAGAAAAGTTTGACTTCCGGTCTGACCGCAATATTGAGATGGGGATGCAGCTGCAGATCGCTATAGCAGGTCAAAGAGCTCTCCACTCCGGATTGTCTCCGAGTCTCCGCGGTGCCTGAAGTCAACTGAAGAGAATTCCTGAGAGTGATCCCTACTTGAGTCAGAAGCACAAGAATCTACTGCGTAATACTCCGGAGTAGATACGATCTTCGGCTGTTATCCGCTGCATGCAAAGCTCCCGTGTCACCCTCTCAGCCACTTGGTTGATTAGTAATCTGTGCCGCTTCCCAGGTGCCCGGTGTCGGGGAGACGGAATAAAGGATTTTCGTTCCAGGCTAGAAGGGAGTTAGAAAGTGAGGAGGACGACGAAAGTACTGTTGTGTCGGTCTAGACACGTTCTCCTTAATTAAACGACGGCTGTCCTCGATACTAATTTAGTTCCTCTTCTGCTGGTCAAGTGACCCCAACTCGCCGTCCTAAATAATATCGAGAGTAGCTGAACCGGGCAAATCGAGACCTGGTAAAAACAACTATTTTTAGATTAAGCATCAAATAATCAGAAACAGCGGGAAGGCCAGCTATCCAGTTATCGCCTTTGCAGCTGTGGTCTGGAGGTACGTATTAGGTAAAAAGAAAAGGGGCAAAGGGAAGTTCCTCGGGACTCGGGATTGCCTCAAAGGGGCGGATATCGACTTGGCTCTCCTTAGCGATATTCAATCACTTAGCGGTCTACGGGGATAGATGGCGTTAGCCAAAAAACTTGTCAGGTCAGCTGAGACACTAAACAACAGCTAACGGATAGCAGTTCATCAAAACAACGAATGACAACTCATCCAGGTGGATAATGGATTCGGATCAGGGGCAAACTGGCAGGACGCCATTGCTTCCCGCGGGTCAATTGCTTCGGCTTGTGGGTATCGACCCAATTATTGTTGGATTTGGTCGATGGAACGGATCGTCTACCGAAAACTTTTCGAATTTTCCATGTGAGCGTGCGTGACCACCCAGTCCAGACGGCTCCATATGGTCTGATAGTAATAAATGCATTCCACCCTGTCTCGAGAGTAGAGATAGATCATTCATCCCCCGTCAAACCATCAACCAATCCTTCAATTGCATCGCCACTTGATACTCCTCCCGTGGATACACCGGAACTCAATCCAGTAGTCGCTATGGCCTACGACTGCTACTGCGCCATCTGCGGCGTCGGCTTTTGTGGAATGCTGATCGAAACTCCCTCAGAAACAGCAACCGAGCGTCGAAGACGGTGGATTGAAAAGAGATCCCAAGCCCTCCAAGCGGGTCAGTCTATCGACCAGGTTCCCCAGGAAGGTGAAGAGCCCGTTCGCAGTTACGATCCCAAGATTGTTGGCTGGGAGAACGTAGCATGGCTCTATAAGGCATACTGTCTCGGATTCAACCCTCAAGCTGCCTCGGGAAAGGGAAAGTGAGTGCTGATGATCGGCTTTTGCATCGATCAAGGCAGTTTATCTAACTATTTTTTAAGAACATTTGTCTCCGGACCGGGTTATTACGCAGACGTTGTATGCTTCTCCAGCCGATGCTATATGCACAATTCAGCAGGCTTACAGATCATTGCAGGGAGAGATCGCCATCAAGTCTGGAACTGACGCTGTACCGGGCCAAGACCGGAATGTCTATACCTGGTTTGACCACCCTATCCATCAAACTGGAAAGGATTTATTCTAATATGATGCAGCTATGGTTCCGGGACCGACGACACTCCCGGACCAGTCATTCCCTTCCACGGATGCTGCTTTGAGATTCTGACACGCGTCCTCACCGGCTCCACCGATAGCTCAACCATTGACATGAAAGTACTGTACAATGTTATGACAGAGTTGTCCAACGAATCCTCCTCCGCTCTGCGGCTGAACTACGGCGACGACATTCGGCGGGCGCAAGGCCGGTACTGGGAGTGCATCCCTGGCGCAGAGGCAAGCAGCAACGACTAAGCTGTATCATACTCACACTGACCAGTTGCAGTACTGCGCGACTCATCCAACCGAGACATCCGGTTTGGACGACTTTCTTAAAAAAGATATGACCACGGACAGCAAATTCGAAAAGCCATTCGCCCAATTCGATCTCAAGGGTCGCTCGCCTGCCAGCCCCTTCGGCAAGCTCCCACTCGAACTCGTCTATCAGATCTGCTCATATCTGCCCGGTGATTCGCTCAAGGCATTGACTCAAGCGTCACTGAGCGTTCAGGTTGTCACTCAGGACAACTGGTTCTGGAAGCGATTTATCCAGTGGGATATGCCATGGTTCTGGGAATTTTACACCTCGCAGAACCCCAGAGATTTGCCGGCCAATGTCAACTACAAGCGCTTGTACATGTGGCTCGACAAGATGACCGCTGCTCGCTACGGCATGGACGACCTGGCGCTGATTGGAGTTGCGAACCGTCGACGCATCTGGGGCGTATGTGAAGAACTGGCCAGCCAGTACCACAAGGCTGTGGCAGTAGCGTGAGGGGATGACTCGGAAATTTGACGTTTCGAACCCAACATAATGATATGGCCGGTCGGCTGAAGCAAAACCGGCCACCTTCATCCGATATTCTCGGACTCGTGGTACAAAGCGAGAATAAACCTCGGAAGATTTTCCAAGGATCGCCACTTCCCATCCGAATGAGATGATTCAGCCAAAAGGATAGAGCACTGTGGCGGTCGGCAAAGTCCAGGGAATATCCAATGCAGGAACGAATTGAAAAGCCATCAATTATAGCCGATCACGGTTCTGTTGAAACCGCGAGGGATTGCCTTGATGAGGAAATCGCAATGACGGGACCAAACTGAGACGGCTCTTCCAGAGCAAGTCGCATTCCCGGACGCCAAGGCACAAGGCAGACCGTTTCTGTTTGGTTGCGTTCGCTTTGGAACATACGATTGCCAAATATACAATTGTCCGAGTTGTGGAATGGTTGAGACATATCGTTGATCATCTGGGGGGCAGTACAAGGGCAAAAGAGGGCCGAAATAGGTCGTCTATACCATAAAGGAAGAACATAGATCAATACCTGGAGTTTTGGATAGACGGATAGATGATAAAATAGACTTACTTTAGTATTAATTAATTAATAAAGACTATATTCTATTCATTCTATGTGATACATTTGTGATACTATAAAGCTCCGAGGGTGTAATATGTGAACTACATATGTCCATACACTATGTATCTCATGCTGTCATATGAACTACTTGCAGGTCTCTGGTTACACGTCTATTTAATACAAAATGAGCCTCCCATCTGTTTTGAAAGGTCTAGACTCATGAATTGCCAGAGACAAAATGAGTCTCCAAGCTTGTCCCAATCCTCCTAGACTACTAAAATACTAGTTACTGGTACCCCTGGCTGCGGGGTCAGCGCTAAGACGAAGTGAGACATGTGATGATGTGAGATGGTTGCCTGCACATTGATGGACCTCTGTCTTCCGTGTCTTGTTTATAAAAGGCCCTACGTTTCGACCTCAAGCATCAATATCGGCCAGAAATAGGTCGAATCAGAAACAAAAGCACATTTGCGCACCATGGCCGTCATCCAAAGAGTCGCTATTTTCGGTGTAAGACCGACTGTCTAGCGTTCAATATGACGGGAAACACCCCTACTGACCTCCCTACCGGCCTCTGGCAACTTTGGCACCCCGATCACAGCAGCCCTACAACGTGCGGGCTTCACAGTAACGATCATCACCAGGACCGAATCGAAAGCGACGTTTCATCCCGATATTCCAGTAATCAGAACGACTTACACCCTGGAGAACCTCACATCAGCCCTAGCAGGACAGGATGCAGCCGTCTGCGTGGTCGGTCCCGGCGGTATCGGGGCACAAACCACCATGATCAATGCGGCCGAGGCTGCGGGCGTGAAGCGCTTCATCCTGGATGATTTTGGCTGGGGTGGCAATCCCAAGTCTTTGCCTGAGTTCGCCGCCATTCATGCGCAACGTCGTGCGGGATGGGATCATGCGAAAGCGAAAGCAGAGAGGAATCCCAATTTTACATACACCGGAATCAGCATTGGGAATCCAATTGATTGGGTAAGTGATAGCAATTTATCTCATACTCTTGCCTCAGACTAATCAGCTCTCAAGGCCTTGAAACGCTTCCCCGCGATGGGCTTCGATATAAGGCACTGCTCGGCCGTCATCTACGACTCTGGCACCGAACGGTTCACCGGAACCACGCTCGAGGGTATCGGTCAGTCGGTAGTCGGCGTCTTGCAGCATCCAGACGAGACAGCCAACCGCTTTGTCAAGGCGCAGTCCATCATAACCTGTCAAAACGAGCTGTTGGAAGCGTTTCAATCTGTGACGGGGAAACAGTGGGAGGCACAACGAGCGTCCACGCAAACGCTCATGGGGAATGGGAAACGCAAATTCCAGGAGGGTGCTAGTGGTTGGATTCTGGACCTGGTGGTGGCACAATTGTTCGATGAGGGTCAATCTCGATGTCTTCTTGCTCGGTCGCGAGAGGAATCAGACGCGGATTTATTGGGAATTGCAGAGGAGAGTCCGGAGCAAGTGGCGGCCAAGGCTCTGGCTTAGCAGTAGTGTACTACGAGATTGAAATTCACCGGCCAGTATGATGTTGGCTTGAAAGCGCCATCACTACGTTTATTAGTTTAGGAGCCTGAATCAAGTCCTACGTTGAGCCGAGTCATGTTGGCGTTGCGACTGTTCCCACCAATATCACTGCTTACGCTGATATCGGAAGCTCTGGGAGATCAGCTAAGCATCATTTGTAAGGTTAACAATCGAGGATACTTTCCGAATGATGATGACTGTCTGTCTTGATCAATCACTGGCCAGCGCTTGTAGTTGCCAGTTGCCACGCAATGAGGTGGCTGTGCATAATACCCTAATTGCGCCCGGGCAAACATACGGGCACTTACGCAGCAAAAGATGATTAGCATTCTCTAGCACGAGCTCAGAAGTTGCGTTGCGATTTGATATTTGTCGGACACTGCCTGGTTGATAATCAAACATCAGAAGACACCAGAACCTGCCTTGAGGAAGAATATCTTTGCATAAATCACGACGTACTTGTCCTGCGTAGACAATCAAGTGTAGACCCCTTCTCCCAGAATACATTGCAAATCAGACATCAAACATGAATACTTTTCGATTAAACACGGACTACTTTCCGGTTTCCAGAATATCCTCTTCCTTTTGTTAGCATTTATTTGTCAAATCGTTTGTCTATGGAGTCCATGGGGGACTGTACAGTAGTGAACCCATATCAACCAGACCCCAATATTGCCGGAGCAGGCGTGTGTTTCCCAAAAGCGTTTTTGATAACAAATGTACTAACTGGACCAGGTAATCAGCGGCTTTATATTGACCGGGACATTGACCTTTGTCGCCTCGTATGCGGTTCTTTACCTCCGAAGACGCGGTCCGTCCCCTTCAGCGTCCACGATCCACGAGGAGCAATACGGGAAAAACAGAACATTCAACCATTCAGACAAATTTTGGATACGCGTCTTGACCGCTTTTGTGCTTCAGCTGAGTGACCAGCAACTGGTGACCGGACTCTTGCTGCTCGTGTGCGGCTATGCTCAGTACTGGCGATCGTCCGTCCACCACGGCGCCAACAACCTATGGACAGTGACCGATGTGGTCTGCTACTCCAGTTTCACACATGCAGCCACGCTGCTCTCCCTCCGTCCCTACTTCCAGCGCCATCGGAAGCTTGCTACGCTCCGTGTAGTCATCATGTATATCATTTACGGCTTGTGGCTGGTCGTCGCGGTGCGCATTCTATCGCCTAATAAACCGAAGGATTCGGAGAAATTGCCCTCCGTGGCCAGCAGATTCTGGCATGCAGCGACTGTGATTGAGGCCATTGGCATTATGTGGATATATCTGCTCACATATCTGCCCGTCTTTCTTTCCGAGCAGGCAATGGAGGTCAGAACCATCGTCAGCCGTGTCTCGCCCTCGGCGCAGGAGATCGTCTTTATCCGGGAATGGTTAGCTACGGTGAAGCCCTTGTCGCGCAGCGGTGCTTCGGACTCTATATGGCAGCGGTGTAACCCGTATGCCATAGCGAAGCGGTGTCTTTTCAACATTGCGGTAGCTTTCAGCGAAAGGTATGTGGAGATAGATTGCAGACTAACAAGATGCATACTATCCTTGATTGCGGAGGTTATCTTTCCATGGAGAATGGCGGGTGTCTGGCTGGCACTGTTGTGGGCTTTCAGCTTAGGTGCTCTGATTTACAGTCTGCTCCAGAACGGGCTCACATCATCCTGGGATTTTGGTCAGTTACTCCCCGTCTTCATGATCCTGCTGCCGATCGTCAGCTTGGTCACTTCTATAATTGGTGATGGGAGCGCTTAGGCGCATTCTGACGGGTTGCCTTGATGTTTTTTGGGTCCGAAGCTGGCTGATGGCAGAATGTGGACGCATATGATGAGCAGAAGTGAAGAGAGGGATGGATGTACAGCAACCCGTCTTATTTACTTTTCCTTCCTGTCCTGTGAAGATATATAGTAATCCTAATACAAGTGTATAATGGTCAAGGAGCGCTACGGACGTGGAGAGGAGGGATGACCCGGTCATTCCAGCCTCGACACTATCTCTACTGACGTAGTTAAATAGAACCTACGAGCCCCAAAGTAGAAGTGAGACTGTTGTTGATTCCTATGCCTCCTCAAGAATATGTACTATATCTGAGATAGCGGAAACGATAGGATCACCACTCTTGAATATCCATCGCATATGTTCAGATGTGCCCATAACTTGGATATAACCCTGCAAGAAAGTGCTACAAGCACTGGGAGTAGTACGAGTTGGAGGCCTTGCAAGTGCCCGAAGAGCAGCAAGTAGGGCCAGACCAGCCGATTCCACCGCACTGGCCCCACAAAGCAGAGCACTATCACAGTAAGAATACGCATAAAGCCACAGTCATGTGGAAGAAGACTTACACTGCCGGAGCCACCAGTAGGGGAGCTGCCCGAGGAAGTAGTAGACGAGCTGCCGCCGCTTCCGCCGGAAGAGGAACCCCCAGACGAGACGGTGATGGTCGAGGTACCGCTGCTTTCATATCCCTCGGTGGAGACGATCTGATAGTTATGTGTACCCAGGTTCATTCCTAGGCTAGCCCAGGCCTTGAAGTGATTCGCGGTGGTGACCGTGCCGCTGGACCGCTTGTTTTGACGGATAGACCAGTACTGGTTGAAGGTGGCCGTGCCGACGATCGAAGGCTGGTTGACCTGTTGGTGCTCATAGATGTCGTAGGTGGATCCGTCGCTGGTGACAGTGCCCTTATGCGTCATGCTCGAGCCAGGATTGTAGCTGCCATAGTTCTCGAGGATGTAGTATTCGACTAGGGGGCTGGTAGTCCATCCATACACGGAGAGGTAAGCATTCCCGGAAGGATTAAAGCTGCCAGAGAAGCTAATGTCACTAGTAGAGAGTTTAGTGCTTTCTTCGTATCTTTTTATAGTTCTCTGGCATTACCTACTGGTCACTGCCAGGATTCCAGCCCTTCCCACAGGTAAAGTCACCACCGTTCTGATTCGCCCAGGTCACACTATATTGGCCACCGGCGCCGTTGGTGTATTACACTGACCCGGCACCATTGGTCCAGAAGGAATAGTAGTAGCCGTTGTTAGTGCCTGTCTGGCTGGACGTGATGGTCTGACGTTCCGCTAAGTTGACGGACTTGTCACCCGGAGGAGCATATGCGCCGGCAATAGCGGCGAGTCCAAAGCTAAGCGAGGAAAAGGATATCATTTTGAGACTCAATTGTAGGCTCTAATGAATAAAGTGATGATTGTCAAAGTGCTCTTCCAGGAGGGGGACAGACCCTCCTTTTATGTTATCTTTCGGCTAAATTTATGTCTTTTCGAACAGAAACAACCTAGCTGAATGATCACACCACCCTAAGAGTAAGCTTTGCTTGGATGATCTTTGCTTCTCGGCAGTAATGCTTTCCCCAGGTTTGTCCCAGCGGCTAAAAGCTTAGCGGTTGCTTCCCCTCTGCTGCAGAATTACCCCAAGCTCGGCAATCAACAATCTTCACGGAATCAGGCCCGACGAGACGACACTTTTACCAACAGCCTAAAATGACGGTCTTCTGACAACCCAGATGGAAGGACCTAGAAGGACAGAAGGTCTCAATGCTCGTTACAAACTTACAATCTAGGACCGATGACGAGCAGTACCCAGCCTAAGGCTATTCCGGCCAGTTAGGAGTTAATGGATATCATTTTGATGGATCCACTCATCCCTCTAATCATTCCACTTTCCAAATTAGCCTAGAGAGTAGAGGGAAATTGCTTCTTGATGAGACATGTTGGCTTCAAGAAATGCCCAGCCTCGGCGGCCGAAGCTTAGTTCTTGCTAGTAACTACTCTCTGTTCGGTCCAGTATATTCCATTCAAAATGGTGATCATGATAATACATAATCTGCCAGAATTATTATTATCAATGTTACTATGAGTCTACTTATTTTGCCGAAAGTCTGAAGATAATTGCATCTAGTGGAGCATGACAGCCTGGGAAGGAGAGGGGCTGATAGTATGAATCACTTAAGCTTTGATTATTGTCTGTGATTAGTTGAGGATTATGACTACCTAGTACTGAGTCAATATTAATCAACTTTGATGGCCAGTGTCGGAAAGTGAAACCGACTATAAAAGCATTTCCGGTGCTGAATTTTTGCCGGACGTTTCATAAACCAACTAGTGGCATAAGACCGAGTCAGAAAACTCCAGCAGTTGGCCGGATATCGATAATAATAGCAGAAAGATAGCATTATTATTAACTAGGATGATTCGTACTTTCCCTCAATCTAAAGCTTTACTTTTCTATCTTTGATTTCCAGCATCTCGACTTCTAGACCCCGAAAAACAAGCACCCAACCCTGTATACAGTCTTTCACCAGGCTCGCCCCTTGGTGTCGCTTTGCCAGGTAGATAGGATATTGATGTTTCCAGATAGCCGTGCTTGCAAGTACTCCAGCCGGCCTTCGAATACGACGCTCCATGGCAGATGTCTACTTATTCCGCTCTGGTAGCGGATGGCTCTCTTCATCCTTCTGGCGGACAAAGAGGCGAAACAGGCCAAATGTCAGCGCATTGACGGCCGCATACGTAGCTTTAACCAGAACACGTTGGCCATTGCGGACTTCCTCCTCTTCGGTTTCCGTCGTGCCGTCCGCCGCCAAATAAACCGTGTGGTGTCTGGGCAGATACCGACCCGGATTGAACATATTCCACAAGAAAGAGTTGAGGAGCATGAGCGATGCCTCAAAGACATAGAAGAACCTGCTGTAAATGAACAAACACATATGGAGGGTATACCGTACAAGTCACTCTTGATCCAATCACGTATTGTCTGGAGTGTCAACAAGTCCTGAAAACTCTCTCTTGTCTTCACCCAGCAAGGAACTGGTGTTCCATCAACTCACCAGCTGTCTGTCTGTCATCCGGAAGCCAGGCAAGCGTGCGATCAACAAAGGACAAGAAGGCTTGTCACTCCTTCTCCCCTAACGTCATGAATGACTTTTTTATGACGGAAAGCTATTCCCATATAGTTCAAGCGAGGGGTGCCTCTTCCAGCGCCCTCTGCGTTATTTAGCACAGAGCTTTGGGCGATACTGCAGGCGAAGGGTCTCTGTGATATTATAAGGATTCAGGCATGCACGGATAATGTTGTCCGGAAGGAGAGCACGGATCATGAAGCAAGAATCAGCACAAGAGTTGAGTATCCTGAGTGCGCCCCAGAGCTAATGGAGACATGTTTAGCTATGGCATCCTTTGCATCTTTTAGTCCAAGTGGGCAAGGGAACTTTGATAGCAATCGGTTTATTACTCCGCGCAATAAACAATTGCAATAGAATATAATCGGTTTTACTGTTATATATGATATTCAGATTTTGTATAACATTATTTTATGACCTACTCAAATCCAGTAGAGCGGGACACGGAAGGTGCTTTCTGCTTGTAATGAAACATCGAGGAGCCCATCCTCACGGCGATGTCATGTTCCCACCCTCTTTCGCTCTTGATTGACGAACTGGATCAAAATACCCTTCTGTGGGTTGGTCGGGGTCCTGATGTGACTGTTGAGCTCTGCTCCCTGGATGTCGGCTTGGTTGATATGGGAGTCCTGTCAAATGTCAGTTAGATTGGCTCGGTGGGAGATACCAAGCACTGCAGCTCTCCAGCATGTCAGTAGTTAACAATGTAATCGGAGCGCCCAAGTGATTCCTGCATTGTGTCGAGAAATATGATATGAGGATAGATTTTGGCGCTAGCGCTAAAAAGAGTGATACAATAATATTATAAGCTTACGCGAGGAGCCATGGATGCTCAAGAAGTGGTTGTGTTGTCTAGCGTTCCTCTGGCAGCCATTTGAGCATTGACCTCATGAACTGGAGATACAGTCCTTTCTCTTGTCCAGAAAGTCGCTTCCCCAGACTCTCCAGAGAAACTGATGGTAAGGCTGCATCTTCATGTGCAATCCATGCACCTATATGCGCATTAGCAGCAGATCTGTGGTCAAGCCAATAATACTTCCAATTCCAAGGCATGGTGCTTACCGCTAGGCTTAAAACACTGCTCCGTTGTCTCACTGCGTTTGACAAATTCGCTCGGCGGTGGCCCCATCAAGGCGATCATCAGCACTAGATGCTTGAACGGGTCGTGGCACCCTGTTGGAAAGCGCAGAACCGTATGAGATTTCGCTATCACTAGTAAATTGCCTACCAATGATAAAGTTCGGAAGGTACAGTTCTTTCAAATCTATTGTCTGACTAGCTAGATTTTATACCGTCGGATGCAGGCATCTAGAGAGGGGTAAACTACTGATTGTCGGCCATTAAAGGAGTGTAATTGATCTAATTAAAATCGGGAAGGTCCATGCCATAGCCATAATTCAGGCCAGGGACTTGAGATAATAGATAGGCTATAGTCTAATAAGCTTGGCATAGGTATATATGATGGAGGGATATATTCACTATCTAGTAATTCACACGCCTTAAGATAATGGCTGTATAACTCAAAGAAGTAAGGGAAACAGATATAATTAACTATATATCATAGCTTTCACTCTAGGAATGTTGTGGGTCTGTTTAGCCAGAGACTGTACAGTAAAACCTCGTTATAACGAGTCTCGCTATAATGAGAACCTCGTTATAACAAGATAAATCTCTTGCTTTAATTAATTTTCCATATAAATAACAAGATCCCTCGCTATAGTAAGTCTTGTTAACTTTGCCTTCTCTCCCATACAAAATCTTGTTATATCAAGGGTTCTTATTAGCTAATATACCTCAGAGAAAGCCTATCTTAATGTCCTAGAAGGCTGCTTTATGAGCCTAAAAACACCTCTATCCAAATGCAATATAGAAAGAGCTTCATAAATAGTTTCAGGACACCTATAATTATACTCTTTCATCTAGTCTCATCTCTGATATCTTATCCCATAAATATAAATATCTTAATGCTGATTCCCTCCCTTCCCATAATGCAAAGCACTAACACTATGAGAACTAGCCAGAGCTAGAGAACACCTTATTTAAGTGGATGATACATGTAGAGGAACAAATACCTATCTCTATAGAGATTATTCAATAAAAGGCTTAGTCTTTTTAGGAGAAGATCTATCCAGAGAAAGAGATACTAGTATTTAGTAATGGATAGCTTCATAACTTCCAGATAAGGAGGTTAGTAAGATGGTATTAATAATATGGAGAGGAGGGAAGTATTCTAGCTCAGGCAGACTAAGAGATGTGTAAGGATCTACGTATCAGGGTAGATGGCCTGTTGACTAGGTAAGAATTGGTGATGATAATTAATGGAAGAGGATGGTAGAGAGTAGTAGATTATATGAAACAAAAACTAATCCTTATCCTTCTTAAATACCAGACAAGGGGAATACTATTTATCTTCACTGTCTATCCTAGATGCATTCAGTGATGATTCGAAAGCGGCTTAAGGTGTGAAAACAGGAGGTTGAAAATAATTAGGAAGCAAGGGGTGGCTGCATAATTAAGTGGCTGGGCTGCAGCTAAGCCTTTATAATTATACCCCTCCAGTTATAATAACTGTCCTCAGTCAGAGTTGTATAACTTCAAATTTTCCTAAAGAAGTAAATAATATCACGATAGTTAATGCAACATAATGTTATTAATAGAGATAACTGATCATAGGGCAGGTGTAACACTTCTATTATGTTAGCTTTGTGTGTTTTAAAATTTATTATGTTCTTTGTTGTTATATACTGTGGTGTGGTAGTAAATAATATTATTATAGGCAACAACCACAGTATATTCATCTTAATCATGTCTTTATTTATATTTTCTCTTCTTTTACCTTTATATATTAATACTTCTCTTTCACATTGCAGTGTTTTCTTTAGTGTCATGATTACTTTTCATTTATTAATACCCAATATTTAAGTTCTCCTAATCCTCATGATATCTTGTTCATTTCTGCTATATTTTACTTCCTCTTTGTGTTTCTTGCTATCATGTAGCGGGCAGGGCCTGCTGGGTGCTCGGGCTGTTCAATCAAATCGTACAGCCCTCGCGAAGTCACATCCAAACTGGACACCAGCTGCAGGTCACATGACCTCATACTAATCAATGTAACAATCTACCCAGTCACATGACCACAAGAACCATTCACACACTCCTTTTTATGTTTGGCCGCCGCGGCCCTAGCTAGATTTCTCCCTTAGTGATTTCTTACCATCCAAACCTAGGTCATAGGTTGAACTGGCTTCTAGCCCATGACATTAGAAATCGCTCAGCACCTCTAGACAAACCAGATGAACTAGATGAACCAGATGAACCAGATGAACCAGATGAACCAGACGAACCAGACAAACTAGACGAACTAGATGAACCAGACAAATAAACTAGACAGGCGATATGGACGGCATAAGCTATAATAACATGTTATTACAGATGTTAACATCCCCTAAAGGACCTAGCAAAGAACGACAGTCACAGTAGAATAATATGTAGATGAATCTCATGGCCTAAATAGCCTAGCAGCTACAGAACATCACTAATTAAATAGCTTAACTTAAAGAATGGTAAATAACCACCACTATAGCAGTACCTACTCCCTAGATAACCCCACTGGCTACCTTAGTAGAAGACCTAATGAAAAGACCTAAGCCTATACTACCTGATGTGGAGACATACAATAGCTCTAATAAGGCTGTGTACTAGACCTTTTATACTAAGCTATAGGTAAAGCTATTACTTAACTAAGCTGTAATTAGTTCCTTCCATAGGTGCTTATAGTATATATTTAGCAGACTTAAAGGAAATACTACTGCAGCCTTAGCCCCCTAGATGGATTAGTACAGAAATAATCTAAATATAACTTAAGTAATGCTAAATAGCTTATATAACTAACTTAATCTTATGTTCCTTGACCAGGGCAGAAGTAAGAAGGCCCTATAAGAATTATAAACCCTATACTAAGGTAGTCGCCTATTTAATAAGCTGTTAGCAGACCTGAACTAACTACTAATAGAAGCTAGAGGCTATTCTTAGTCTAATAAAGTAAAGAAGAACTATCTAGATAGTGCTCTAAGCTATAAGGTAGAGGGAGCACTTACTAGTATTAAGAAGGAAGAGACCTTTGTAGACTACTACCACTAAGTATAATAAGTAGCTAACTAAGTAGAAGCCCTATATGTAAGGGGAACTAGCTACTCTAATTAGCATGGAAGGAATATATAGACTACTAATTATAGTTGTATTACCTATATTCCTATGCCCTAGGCAAACCCTACCTTAGCTATAATAAACCCTAATAATACTATGGACTGGGAGCCTTCCTCTATAATCTTAGCTTGCTAGCAGCGTCGCGCTAAATGAGTTAATGAAAATAAGTTATCCTATTATTATAGTGAAGGAAGATGCTTACACTATAGGGTATTAGACTATATAATTAAGGGCTGCTAGTACCTAGGAGCTATTCCCTTATAGAGTAAAGAGCTAAAGCCACTGTGTACCTCTTAAGCTATTAGACCCCTACTTAAGGATAATAAAGTAAGTAAGTTAGAAAACTAGTTACTCCTATGAAAAGACTCTTACAGGGGCTAGTTAAATAGTTAATGTAGCTAAAGAGCTGGTATTACCTATACCCTAAGGAAGAATATGTACTTACTAGTTATAGATAGTTCTAATAAGCTATTAGATTTAATGCTCCTGAATTCATTATGTTAGGTATTATTAATAAGGAATATAATTATAGAATCCTTCCTAATATTAGATGCACATCTTATGTAGTTATAGCTGAACACTTTGCCTAGAAGCTATAACTAGAGTAGATTAAGATTAAACTAATTCATCTAGAGAACTACACTAGCACTATAGGAAGTATTATTTTAATAATCACCTAATTCTCCCTAGATGTTAGTGGTAACTACCAACACCTAGTCTATGCCTATGTAGTACCTGAGCTAGGTGAAGACACTGATTTAATCTTGGGAATTCTATGGATGAGGGATTAGAGAATAGTAGTAGAGGCTAAGGGACCCTAGCTAAGGCTTATAGATAGGTTTATAGTAGAGAGTATAAAGAATAAGCTAAAACTAGCAGTAAGATAGATTAGCACTTAGGGATTTACTATTTATAACTAATAGCAGAGAAAGGACAGGACTATATAGATCTTCACTACTAGTATTAAGGATATTAAGAAGGCCTTGTGGGTTAAGAAGCATACTAACCTAGCTATAAAGCTACCAGTGCATTACTATAAGTTCCTAGAAGTATTTGATAGGGGGAAGGCTAATAAACTACTATCACACCATCCTAGAGTTAATTATTGAATTAAACTAGTCAAGGATGAGAAAGGGAAACTAATAGAACCACTATAGGGACTGCTCTATAGCATGTTATATAGGGGACTCCTAGTACTATAGAAGATGTTAATAGAACTACTAGAGAAAGGCTTTATTTATATTAGTAGCTCTACTGCTATAGCACCAGTGCTGTTTACCTGTAAGCCTAGAGGGGGACTATGATTTTATATTAACTACCACACTCTAAATATAGTTATAAAGAAGGACTAGTACCTACTTCCCCTAATTAATAAGACCCTGGAATATATCTTAAAAGTAAGGTAGTTCACTAAGCTAGATATAATCACTGCCTTTCATAAGATCTGTATAGCCCTGGGAGATAAGTAGTTAACAGCTTTCTATATATAATTCAGCCTATTTAAATAGCTTGTTACCCCTTTTAGTATGGTAAATATACTAAGCACCTTCTAATAGTATATAAATTAGACCCTTCAGGACTTCTTAGATAAGTTTATGTCCGTGTATATTAATAATATGTTAATTTTTACTAATAGATTATTAACTAAGCACTAGTAGCATATCCGCCAAGTACTAGAGCATTTAAAGAATATAGGGCTGTAACTTGATATTAATAAGTATAAGTTTGAAGTGAAGAGCATAAAATACCTTAGTTTTATTATTAAAGCTGGTAAGGGAGTATAGATAGATCTAGATAAGGTAAAAGCTATATTAGAATGGTAAGCCCCTAAATCAGCTTACAGTGTGCAATCATTCCTTAGCTTTGCAAACTTCTATTAATAGTTTATATAGAACTTCTTAGAGATAGTATAACTATTAATAGCTCTAACCCATAAGGGAGCCCCCTTTATGTGGGGAGATAAGTAGGCAAGGGCCTTTAAATTATTAAAGAAGATATTTACTACAGCCCTAATTCTCATGTAGTT